AGTACAGAAACTGAAGTAAGTTGTGCAGGTTTACCTATCTAGGTTTTTCTGTATGCTTACACATTATCACGTCATACTGTTTTTAATTATTTTTTCTTATTCTAATACTGCTAATGTTTGTCAGTGGCCAGTGATGATATGGGTTTTTTTATGGAATAGTATTTTTCATAGCAATTTTGACGATATGTTATGACTTGATTTCGTATTTGTGAGGGAAACTACACGATCATGGCTTACAAGAGTGTACCGGAAGCAATTTAGGACTGACATGTTACCGGAAGTTAAAAAGACAATATTTTGGTTTTGTTGATGAGCCTCAACAAATGCATGAGTTATCAATAAAACGGTAGGCTATTCACTACCACTAAAAGCTCGGGACAGCTAATTAAGGGCAAATGGTTGATTGATTACGCAACACTTACTTGATTGCAATTACACAAGCTGAGCGTAGGTGTGATTTGGATTAATTTCACACTTAACGTACATATACGGACGCTATGAGGAGGATCGATGAGACACAAGACTTGTAGTTAAGCTAAAACATTTCTCAATTTAAATTCAGTGTGATCGAATAATCAAATTAGCGTATTGTAAGACGATGCCTGAACTGTGAAACCAAACATTAATGGTATCAACTCAAGTTTGGGTGCAGGAAAGTGTTTTTCTTACAAAAACATATTTTTACCCTGTTCCCCATTGTTGGAAAGTGTGTCGTCTGCTACCCCAGCTGGAGCCATCTGGTAACAATTGATCACAAGCTGTCAATATACAATACATTATAATACATCAAGATGGCAGTTTCCATGTAACGATAAAGTATTTCTAAGCAACTTAAAGATATGTACACTATCTAGATATATGTATTTTTAATTTGCTTAGAAATACTTAATCTTTACATGAAAACTGTCATCTTGATGTATTATTCTGTTTTGTATATTGACAGCTGCAGCTGCTGGTGATTGAGCCTGATTGCTGCCAAGGGCGCACCCTTCAATGCCTTTGTACAACGACAACATGTGACTATCGGACTCCAAAATTTCATATTTGTATCTATGATATTCAATTAAATAGAACGACTTTATTAGGTTCAATAAATTTACTAACAAATCTACCTATTACGCATTGAGCGATTATCTCCTTTAGCTGTATGCGTAGTATAGAGCTTTATCACGGGTGACCTTGCAATGCTGTCCCTGAGACATTAGAAAGTGGTATATAGGTAGATTTAATACTAATCTCACAGATGTAAACACATTTGATGATACATCTGTGTGTTTAAAGTTGATTTTGACAGCTCAGGTCAGGTCGGAACGAGCACTTCTGACAAAGATTTTCTCAAGAAAATACAGTAAAAGTGTTTGACTTTCACGGATCAGTTTTCTTTCAATGCGATGTACTGTGACATTATAAAGTTGTATATAGGTAGATATAATACTAGTCTATAGATGTAAACACATTTGATGATACATCTGTGTGTTTAAAGTGCATTTTGACAGCCTGGGCCAAGTCGGACCGAACACTTGTGAGACTGTTGAGAGTATGGGGAGAAGAGGTCTACTTTAACCAACTTGTCTGCTTTAAATACGATGAACAGTGACATTATTGAGTGGTATTTACTTAGATATAGTACTGTCCTATAAATGTAAACGCTATGCCGACTATGTATCACGATAGCTAAAAGTATTTGATACGTTTCAAATCCTATTTCGTTTAACGATTGCCCTTTTACATGTTACCTCGATCAGCGACGCTTACACACAGCTCCACTTTCTGGTTTTCAAGCGATCTACTCCGAATCACTTAATTATGGCGCACGTTCTTGGTTGATGATTGTTCATTAATGTCATGTGTGTGTGTTGCATCAATGATATGTAGGTATGGTCGCCGATGATGGAGTAATTAGCCAATACAACTTTTGCCCGTCTTGGCCCGGCCCGGCCCGGCCCGACTTTTAGGCAATCCCCCACTTTGGTGAAACCCACGAGCACGGGTATGGTGCTGACAGACCTAGAAACATAATAATATAGAAAGTGTTTTTGTCATTCCAACTCGTCAGGAACGTTGTTAATAACAATTGGCCTTTTAGCTTGGGAGCCCTACGCCACTGATACTTGACACATAAGGAGCCTACCCCACGCCAACATTGGTAGTCCAACTCATGGACAACTAGTAAAAACCCGACGGCTAAGAAATACTCCTGTCAAAAACCTAGTAAGCAAGCCTTCAACAAGTAATTCGGCACCCGCGAAGCGGGACGGAGACCCTGGAGCCGCCGATGTGTTGTCAGTAACTTACTATAGCCATCTTCTCGAGACAAGGGAGTTAACTGACTATAAAAATCCAGTGACTGCTTGTTGACTATACTGTAGTAGGTTAAATGGTCATTGTGGTCTCTTTTTTTTCTTTATCTTATTTTACGCAGGCAGGACTACTATATATGTTGTCAGCTCATTACCCCTCTAATCACTGGTGCACAACTTTAGGCTCAGAGCACTCCCCCAGCACCAGGGGACTCCCCCAGGCTCAGATCACACTCTCATGCTCAGATCACCCCCTCAGGCTCAGATCACACACCCCCACCCCCCCACCCCCAGGCTCAGATCACCCCCCACCCCCCACCCCCCACCCCACCCCGGCTCAGATCACACACCCAGGCTCAGATCATACTCTCCTCAGGCTCGAATCTCTCCCCCAGGCTCAGATCACTCCCCTCAGGCTCAGATCACTCCCCTCAGACTCAGATCACTCCCTCCCCCCGCGGCTCAGATCACTCCCCTCAGGCTCAGGCTCAGATCACTCCCTTAGGCTAAGATCACACTCCCAGGCTCGGATCTCTCCCCTCAGGCTCAGATCACTCCCCTCAGGCTCAGTTGTTGCTGCACCACCATCACACCATCCAGTTGTTTCTACACCACCATCATACCCCCTTCATACCATCCAGTTGTTTCTACACCACCATCACACCACCATCACACCATGCTATACCACAATCACACCATCATCACACCATCCAGTTGTTGCTGCACCACCATCACACCATCCAGTTGTTTCTACACCACCATCATACCCCCTTCATACCATCCAGTTGTTTCTACACCACCATCACACCACCATCACACCATGCTATACCACAATCACACCATCATCACACCATCCAGTTGTTGCTGCACCACCATCATACCCCCTTCATACCATCCAGTTGTTTCTACACCACCATCACACCACCATCACACCATGCTATACCACAATCACACCATCATCACACCATCCAGTTGTTGCTGCACCGACATCACACCATCCAGTTGTTGCTGCACCACCAACACACCATCCAGTTGTTTCTACACCACCATCACACCACCATCACACCATGCTATACCACAATCACACCATCATCACACCATCCAGTTGTTGCTGCACCGACATCACACCATCCAGTTGTTGCTGCACCACCAACACACCATCCAGTTGTTTCTACACCACCATCACACCACCATCACACCATGCTATACCACAATCACACCATCATCACACCATCCAGTTGTTGCTGCACCACCATCACACCATCCAGTTGTTTCTACACCACCATCACACCACCATCACACCATGCTATACCACAATCACACCATCATCACACCATCCAGTTGTTGCTGCACCACCAACACACCATCCAGTTGTTGCTGCATCACCATCACACCATCCAGTTGTTGCTGCACCACCAACACACCATCCAGTTGTTGCTGCATCACAATCACACCATCCAGTTGTTGCTGCACCACCATCCAGTTGTTGCTGCACCGACATCACACCATCCAGTTGTTGCTGCACCGACATCACACCATCCAGTTGTTGCTGCACCACCATCCAGTTGTTGCTGCGCCAACATCACACCATCCAGTTGTTGCTGCACCGACATCACACCATCCAGTTGTTGCTGCACCACCATCCAGTTGTTGCTGCACCACCATCCAGTTGTTGCTGCACCAACATCACACCATCCAGTTGTTGCGGCATCACGCAAAATACATCACCAAACTGTATGTGTCCCCCCAAAATGACCTGGATTCAGTTGCCACTGCCCTTCTCTACTAGCATTACAAGAACACAAAGTTTCTCTTAAGATCGACTTCCCAGTTGTTGGGACAATGACTTTTCCGTCATGTAGAAACTGACCGTGCTTGTCAATGTGAACCATATACCATATCTTTATGTTGAATTACCTTATAGTAAAATATGTCACATATCTAGATATAACATGACCATGTGTTATCGTAAAATACGTCACATAACTATATATAATATGACCTTGAGTTATGGCAAAATACATCACATATCTATATGTTATATGACCTTGAGTTATGATAAAGTACGTCACATAACTACATGGCCATAGGTTATCATAAAAAAACGCATTGTCACCATCAACTGGGTCTTTCATTATAAACTGTTCAATAATTTATGCAAACTACCTTCAACTTCCCATGAACGCATCCTTGTCTGCCATATAAAAAGCCAGAAGCGTTTGTTAGAGTATAACCAGTGTATAAATAATGCCTGTATGTGCTTCAATGTGATTGACTAAATACGTTGTTGAATGGGATTGAATTCCGGAAACCTTTCGGAATGTTCCCTGCGTACGAATATTTGTCTTGTATATTTTCATTATTAGTCGCAAATTTGAAAAAAACGTCCCATTTGGCTTGGCGGAATGGTTACTAGTACCCCATTAATTTCATATTAAGCTTGATGAATATTTTAATACTTCAATTGTTTCCACATTATGCGAACAATGGCAGGCGGGTTCTGTTATCACAGAAGCTCATACATGAATTATCAGTGTTTGCAAAATCACGCCCGACCTTTTAACGATTTACGTATCTCTGACGGGTTATGAGTCATAACATAAATCAACTCCCCATGTGTTCACATGCAGGGATAAGTCACCTGTTGTTTGTTGGCAATGAAAACACGCGGCACTGGCACCAGCAGGTAGATAGACAGGAGGATTGCAGAGCAATGACGACTCACTGATAGTCGGGCACTGTAGACGTAAGGTAACTGGATTAACTGGATTAACTTAAGAACTGCGTTTACCAGGAAATGAGAAGACACCAAACACAGGTAGGATCGCTTTGAATTTAGAGAGAGCGTTGAATGGATATGCTTAATGACTGTACGAAACGTGTTTAAGAAGTTTGTTTTTCCCAAGGGAGTATGAGGAAAATACACGAATTTTCACACGAATGTGTATTGTATTGCCACACCAATGGGACTGCAGTACGTCAGCAATGGGACTATATTACAACATTCAAAGCCTCACAAAAGTTTAAAGCCGTGTTTCGGTATAGACATGTTTATTTGTTTGTTGTTTAACGCCGCACTCAGCTATATGACGTCGGTCTGTAAATAATCAAGTCTGGATCATGAGCACCAATCTACACAAATGGGACCCGCAAATGGGAATGACATGGATCACACAGTCGATATTTACCTTAAGCTTAGTTTGCTCAAGACCTATTCTAACCCTTATCTTCACGGGCCGTATAGACATTCGGAGGACATTTTCAAATTTGACGCATCAATCACAAAAATGATGTAATTCTTTTTGATTCACTTGTACCATATGTTCCCGTATTTTTCTGTGGTTTACGATTGACTTGCCACGTGTGTTAAACGTTTAAGACCTGCATCTCTGAGGGGTGTCATTTTCATTATATTCACAGAACTAATACGACCTGCATCTCTTGGGGCTCTCCTCCCACACCGAGCTGTCTGACATGCCGTGATGTGACCAAAATGCTGTTCAAAACGTCGTTATGTTTTTTTCGATAGTGCGTTGTACCACCAAATCCTTATCTGAAAGATGAACCATAATCCTGAGTCCGATCAAGGAAGACAATTTCATTATATTCACAGAATTAATACCCGTCTGGATTCTCAACAATCTAAGGATTTACTTGACTTCTCGTTTGAATTGTGTCAAAACATTTGATTTTTCAACTTTCTACACTACTATTCCTTACGACAAACTTAAATTTGGATAGAGGACCTTTAGACACTGAAGTAGGCAACCCCATGTGTACCACCACCTATACTCCCTCCTTGCTGATCTCTTTTTATGCATATGAATCGATTCTGATTGGTCAATCAAAACTTGTCAAATCACAATAAACACCCTCTGATTAAAACAGCCGATTTGACGGCCGCGTCACAGCGGAAGCTAATATTCATAGAATAGTCCTTTTTTCAGTCAATGTCGTAAGGAATATTTACACAATTATATCTACAATTAAAGGTTACAAAATGCACAGATGCGGTTACTACAATATTCAAAGGCTGTGTGGCAATACATTTCGTGCAGAAAACACGATAGAAATCTACAAAGATAATGTCATGTATGTTTTGGGGACAACAGAGAGTTTTGGAAGATGGTGGCGACATTTTACTGATGTTGAGGCCTACCGCACACCTCGATCAGCCTCAAACATTTTCCTTGTGGGTTTGGGTAAGGGTATACATCTAATCGCACGTCGCTTCTCGAGCATCATTTGACCCCGGAAGTAAGTTTGACAAATCCGCAAAGCGCGCCCGGCCTTCTGATTGGATCAAACTCACGCATGCGCTAGTTTTGATTGACAGACTGGATCGGTCTGTTTGGCGCTTTTCTATATTCGACTGTGACGTGATATCATTTGTGTCACAATGAGCGATATGACGTCGTAATGGTGACGCGCGATGTAGAACGAAAGCTGTTATATGTTCGAGTGAAGTATTACGGTGTAAACAAACTGCTCGAGCATGTACAGCGCCATATTTTGTTCAAGGCTGTTGTCGTTGATTCCGTAATTCCGATCGTCAACCCACACTAAACACTGGACTCAACCCATGCCGCTTCACTCAATCTATTTGTTTACACCAAAGAGTTCGCGTTTTATTTAGTTGGTTCAAAATTCAATTTAGCGTGATCAAATCTACAGGTAACAGTATGTTTATCTCCTAAATATATACTATTCAAAACTAGATAATTAAATTTTTGTTGTGTTCATTGAAATTCCTGTATTCTGATTAGCTGAATTGGTCACCTGTTATAATGAATCGATAAACCCATGTGCAAACTGTATGAATCCATCGAGGCGCACTACTTGTATAACTGCGGAATGTCGGGGAACCCTAATATTACAGTCGAGGGAATTCCCCTTCTGCTTATGTGTATCGTCATGCACAGGACATTTAGCGACTTTGATGCATATTCATTGTCCAAACTACCATTTGAAACCGAAGGCCGAGAATGAATGAAACTGCAAACGTGCAGGCTCGCTCGCCTGTTTTTTCCCCCTCGCGAGTGGGTTCAACTTTCATGTCTTCGGGTTTCATTTATAACTAGCATTTTTCCAACTTTGTTTTACCGTAATCAGGGAAGTAATGTTTGAATCTGGCGATAACTGTCCATGTAATTTGAAACAGCCGACTTCTCCCGGACATATTTCTTCAGGTTTGTTATAGTCTGACTGTTGCAGTTCTTTTCGCCTCTTGCCTTAATTGGCAGGTCCAATGAACATTGTTTTGATCCTACTCTCCGTTGATTGGCTACTGACTGTGTAGGCGTGTCAAGTTATGTGCATTAATTAAACGATCACCTGATTCATGTCACGCCACAGTTTGTATTCCTACACCTGGAATGTTTATCAATCTCGTCATTTTTGCCTGTTTTGATACATACAACAGTTTTTTGTTAAACTATTGTAGCTGAAACATGTTTTACGTTGTCGAATTTAATTATAAGCATTGACTGTGTATTATTTTCCTGTTCATTGAGGTATGAATCGAAAAACCGATCTGCAAACTTTTGTAAGAATCCGCTACGTATATATGTGGTAGATATTTACATAACTCACATCAAAACGCAGGCCATAAACTAATAATGGGGCCTTTACACAGGATGGCGACGTTTGTGCCTCCCGTGTGCGACCATAAAATTTGCCAGGTTGTTGTTGGAGGCTCAAAGGAGGCAGAATGGTTGCCTAGGTTGTTCCAATGTAGTACACAGGAGGTTCAGGCATCGCCATGAACGCCATGGTCGCCGGCAATTTTTGAACATGTTCAAAACAGTCGCACAAAGGTCGCCGAGGAGGTTGGTTGCTCAAATGTGGCTCAAAGTAGGCAGTAGGGAAGCACAAGCATTGTCGCTGTTGCAGAATAAAGGCAAAGTGGTCGCTCAATTGTCGCCAGGTAACAGATGCGTTCTGCTGAAATATTTTCCCGTCAATCATGGGCTACGCTTCTGCCTCCCTTGTGCCTCCTTTGGGCGATCAACAGCGTGCATTGAACGATGACTGTGGCGACCGCTGTGCCTCCATTCGGCGACCACAGCAACCCTTGAGACACCATGGCAATGCTTCTGCCTCTATTCTAACTCCTTTGAGCTACCTGTTGTGCCTTCTCAGCCTGCCTATCAATAGAGGGCGTGAACCTGCAGTGTTTCATTTTGGTTGCAGACGCTGAACAACTCGAGTAGTTACTGCTGAACAACTGCTGGAGCAGTTACATAGAAACACGATTTTCTGGGTTTAGGCGACCATTGAGCGTCCTGGCCAGTTTTTGATCGCTCAAAGGTGGCACAAAGGTCGAAGCCTTGTGTAAAGGGGGCTTAACTCCCATAAAAGGGGCAACTCCGACTGTGGAGTTTTGCGAAATAACCTATAAATAACGTAAAAGACTTTTCGTTGTTGTGTATGTGCATCTTTTTAATTTTCTCCAATACAGGAAGGTAAACACATGCGTGTATGCAAACGAATCGAGTTAACAGTCTGGTTACTATCGCAGGGTATTCAGTACTATCTCGGTTGTTATTTTAGTTAAAGTTTTATGGAAAAAAATCCTTATTGTGAAAAGAGAATTATGAATGCAATTCCTACATATTTCTAGTTCTCGTGAAAGAACGATGACGATGCTACACTGGACAAGTATAAGGTCTTGGATCCGAGGGGCGTGTACTTTCACACTGAAAGGGTGCAAGGTATGTTTCTGCTTGTCGAATGAAGTGTTGCCTGCATTGACTGTCTGTTTAAGGTGGTAGCTCGGAGCACGCCTGTCGTTGATGTTTACCCTTTTCGTGAGCACCGGGTGTTTCACTTATCCATTCATATAATCTTCTCCACTATTTTGCCTTTTAACACCAGTGGAATCTGTTTCGACAGACAATTGAGATTTTATTTTTTTCATGCCCTTTCATGGAAATTGTGTGAGTGTGAGTGGCATGCGCTACCGGAGGGGAAGGACATGCTTACCCTTTTCGCGAACACCTGGGGTCATCACTGAATTACAGTGATCCATTCATATAATTTCCACTATTGACATGATCAGGTAGAAAGAGAAATGTACACTGCTATTACCTTGAACTACTGAGTGAGTGAGTATGGTTTTACTCCGCTTTGGGCAATATTCCAGCAATATCACGGCGGGGAACACCAGAAATGGGCTTTACACGTTGTACCCCTGTGGGGAGTCAAACCCGTCCATCGATGTGACAAACGAACGCTTTAACCACCAGGCTACCCCAATGACCCTTAAAGGAAGTAGTTATGTGTTCCAAGTTAGGACAATTCAGCAATTAACCGTTGCTTGCAATTATTTGTATCTAACTGCTCACAAATTACACCCACACCCCCCTTTCTGCGCACAGCTACATGACGATGTCATTGGTTGGGACCTCATAGCGTCTATTAGTCTATTTAGTGAAATTGTGTTCCTACCAATACATAACAAATAGACTTATCAATTTACAGATTCCATGTTGCTTCTACGGATTAGTGCTCACATGTACGATCATGGTGGGACTTTTCGCCCTTTCAAGGGAGCTGATGACGTCGAAATCTGAGACAAAGAAGATAGTTCTTATTGCGCGTGCACTTAACTACTCATCGAGGTCACATCCCCGAGACAATGTCCTTGAGAACCCAAAGATAATTTTGTTGTATGCCAAGACAAGGTATCAACCGGTCATGGACGAGTTATCTACGCTTCGTGGTTGCCCGGAAGTGAACTGTCGCATGACTACAAATCAGTCGTATTTACAAAGAAGCAGTGCCGTGATGTTTGCTGCGCTTTTCCTGAAGTTGAAAACTCCACCACAGCGGTACAAAGACCAAGTTTGGATTCTACATAACCACGAATCACCACGGACGAGTTGGGTTGGAAAAAGAAGTATTTGGCTACAGAGTTGGAAGAATGTGTTCAACTGGACAATTGATTACAGAAACGATAGTGATATCCCTGCTCCTTATGGTGTTTTACAAGCTAGAAATCACACCATAGATAAAGATTATTCTGCGATTTTTAAACGAAAAAAGGGCACAATTGCATGGATGGTAAGTAATTGTAAAACAGAAAGCAAAAGAATGGACTATGTTAAGGAGTTGAAGAAGTACGTCCAAGTCGACGTATATGGTGCTTGTGGAAACCATAAATGTCCAAGGAGTGATGGCCCGGCATGTTTCGAGATGTTAAGCGCAAAGTATAAATTTTATCTGTCTTTTGAAAATGCATTTTGTAAAGATTATGTAACAGAAAAATTCTTTCTATATTACGGACTCAACTTCATTTTGATAACTCGTGGGGGTGCTGATTATACTAAACATGCTGAAAACAATACTTACATAAATGCAATGGATTTTAAATCTGCTGAACAATTAGCCGTTTTTATCAAACAACTTGCCAACAATGAAACCAAATACACGGCATATTTGAAGAGAAAGGATAAATACAAACCTGTATATGAAGAATACATACGTAAGAAAGATGATGTCATTGTTTGGCGGTCGCATAGACTAGAGGCTCAGGCGATGTGTGAAGCGTGCAAAAGACTGTGGGATGTTGACAAATACAGGAAACAATATGATGACATAACAGCATGGTTTGACAAAGGCATTTGCTACGCAACACCGATAATGTGACTCATTAAAAACTGAGAAGTATATGTACCTTGATAAGTTTAGATTGTCAGGAAATCTTGATTTTTTGCATAGTTTTAGAGGGACAAGAAATGAGTATAGAGAGGTTTGTCGTTCTAAATCATCCGTCTATGTAAATACACTTGCTGTAGATATTGTCAACTCTAGTAAGCAAAATCCCAAAGCCTTTTGGTCTTATGTAAAGTCCATTCTTAGAAATCCCAGTAATAAACGCCAAGGCGATATAAGCAGTAAAGCATGGATTGAATACTTTACTCGGGTGCTCAATATTCAAGAAAATGTTACAGATACAGAATTCATGTCTTTTCTCAGTAGTTATATTGATGATATAGATAATTTGGAGATTGATGAGGGTATAAATGACATGATAAACCAGCCCTTAACTGAAGAGGAGATCGTCTTTGCTATTTCATCTTTAAAAAATAATAAAGCACCTGGCCCTGACGGCATTCCCCCTGAGGTCTATGTGGTGCGAGTGCGAGTATTTTGTTACCTTACCTTAAGATTTTGTTCAATTTCATATTTACGAAAGGGACATATCCTCCAAAGTGGTCAAAGAGTATTATATTCCCTTTACATTAGAAAGGAAGTACAAGGGATGTTAATAATTAGAGAGGCATTTCTTTGATGGACATATGTGGGAAAATATTTACTTTTATTCTTAACAAAAGACACAACGATCTTGTATGTTTTTATGACAAATTACCAGAGTGTCAGGCGGGTTTTCGCGAAGGATATTCTACAGTTGATAATGGTTTTTTCTCTACAGTGCCTTATCCAAAAATACTTGTCTAAATCAAAAGGTAGATTTTATTGTATATATGTTGATTTTCAAAAGGCTTTTGAATCGGTGAATAGAGATTCGCTATGGTATGTTATATCTACAAATTGTATCAATGGAAAGATGTTGAATATGATACGTGATATTTATGCAACAACAATTTCTTGTGTGAAACTTGATAACTTTTCTTTATCAGATTATTTCGAATGTCTTAGTGGAGTTAGACAAGGTTGCGTTTTGAGTCCTCTTTTATTTTCTATGTTTATCAATCAATTGGAAGACTCATTACAGACGTATGGTGGAAGAGGTATATTTGTCGGAGAAGATTTCAATGATCTGTTTTTATTGTTGTATGCTGATGATCTATGTATATTTGATGACTCAGTTATTGGTTTGCAAAGAAAAATTAATGTTTTATCTTCTTTTTGTAAAAAATGGGGTATGAAAGTTAACTTTGATAAAACTGAAATATTAGTTTTCCGAAATGGTGGAAAACTTAAAAATGTTGAAAAATGGTTTCATGATGATGTACATAAAAAGATAGGAACATATAGTTATTTAGGTGCTGTATTTTCAAACCGATTATCATGGTCAAAATGTTTGCAAACTTTAGTCCAGAAACATTAAACTTAAATCCCTTCCTTTACCAATATTGTTTCAAATGTTTGATACACAAATATAACCAATATTATTTTACTGTTCAGAAATCTGGGGAACCCACAATTGGAATGTTTTAGAAGCCATACAAACTAAATTTTGTAAATATTTACTTGGTGTCGGGAAATCTTGTACTAATGTTGCTTTTTTTGGGTGAATGTGGACGCTATAAATTGTATTGTGAGACTTATGTACATTGTTTGAAATATTGGTGTAAACTAACCACTATGTCAAATGAAAGTTACATGGGCTACTAACATTAAGAATATTTTGTATTTATATGGTTTGGTTTTGTATGGGAAAATCAATCTGTTGGTCACACTGATTTATTTATATGTGAGTTTTCACAAAGAGTTAAAGATTGTTATATACAAACATGGCATTCCCAAGTTAATGATTATAAACATCTAGAATGTTATTCCTTCACTCAAAACAGCATTTGTTATTGAACCGTATATTTTAAAAATCACTTGTAAAGAACCAAGAAGAATGTTATCACTATTAAGAATTGGAGAATTAAATATCATGGTGAATATTGGAAGAAAAAGTAATATTGATTTTAATTTCGATTTTGTCCATTTTGTAAGAACATCATTGAAACTCAATTACATTTTATGCTATCATGCCCATTATATGATGATATCAGACAGAAACACATTCCAAATATATATTGTAAATCTCAGTTATTTAAGCATATAGGCTCAGGCAATCTCACTGATTTACTTCAATGCTGTAAATGTATTATAGAGGCTATTGTATTACGTTCATCCCTTTTGTAATACTTGTTTAATGTTGCACCAATATGTATATCCTATATGTCAATATGTATTTGTACATGGGCCTGTGGCCTTTATACTGAATAAAGAAATTGATATTGACCGCTAACAGTTTAATATTTGGAACTTCTAATCAAAAATTGCAAATTGATACTAAAAACCTATGTAAGTATCGTAGGCAGTTTGGCAGAGTATAGGTTTTAACAGGGAATATGTATATGTCTTATATATTCCCTGAGTTAAATTAGTTAAATATATATATAGATAAATATTCACATCGTTGCCCAAATCAAATTATAACAGCAGCTGGACTATTATTACTATGGCAAACAGCACGGAGTCATGTGCAGGTCAGTGGCTCCTAATTAGTGCCAGAGAATGGCCGGTTGGCCACTGAAGCTTAACATTGTGGATGAGGTGCGGAATACTGCAGGCTGACCATGTATGTAACGTAACACGATACATGGCAGTCTGACAGTGAGGGTTAAAGGTAGTACGCTTTCTGTTAGTCGGGACTTGACCCTCGGACAGCGGCTAGGCAGGTTGGCTCTCTGACGCCTCTGATATGCTGCCTGGCCATGTCTGTCCCATCACCACAAACGTGATTATGCACATGCTGTAACTGATATACCACAAATAAAGTGTTGTGGACCCACTGATGGACTCCTGTGTTTGAAGGACAGATATCCAAACATAACAGCCCGGGATACATGGTGGAATCCAAGATCTCGGAACCTCTCTGCAACAACGTTCGTGAGCGAAATCTCCCCACAAGTCCGGTGATATCCATCCATCCTGGGTCCACATCACAACTCACGTCAAAACAGCAACTAACATTGTGAATTCGGAGAACAGTTGACCACACTGCCTTTCAACTGTGCCACGGAATCCACAATTTGGACGCTTTGCAGCTTTGTGAAAAGGTTTCCGTCACATCTTACAATAGTGACGTGTTTTTACGGCAAGTGGACCCCTGTTAATTACTTTCTGCCACCACTTAACGCTTTCTTTGTACATGTATACAATTTTCTGTCCCTGTTCCTTTTTCTCTCAGCTGTAGCATACACCTGTGTGTATATGTCCCGTCAACTTAGTAGCCTGTGCCCCTTCCCGACGTTTAGTAATATGCACTAAAATATATCAATTTGATTAGGGCGTTGTTTCACTGCTATTTGATGTATGAATGACATTGTGTGTTTCAAGTACGCCTGAGATCGGCTCGTAATGTTTTGTTAGTCATGAGCAGTAGTGTAAGAGAAATATTATGCGCCTGAAATTGAAAATGATGCTTATGATAAATGTAATGATGTTTATGATATATATTTATGATGTGTATGAGGATGCTCGTAAACCTGATATGATGTATTAATAGGTTGTATAGTTGACTTGAATGGTGTGATGTGATGAGAGTAGATGAGAGACAGGTAGAAAGGGGAGAGTTAAAAGTACGTACGCGAGAGAGAGAAAGAGAGAGTGAGTGAGAGAGAGAGAGAGCATTTATAGGTGTGACTGATCATTTACCGTTAGAATGATAAGCTATTAGCGAGCAACTGTGTGAGACTTGAGCGTCGTGTATATTATTAGTGACGGTGAATTGGTACATGGCACCTTACCATGATTCCTGTAAAGCTCTATTTTTAAAAAAATATTTTCTACCTCACTGCTCAGTGGAAACGTATTTGTGTAACAATGTTATTTATACATGGTGTACTTTATTTTATTGTGTTGATCCATGTACTTGACGTAATCTGGTGTTAATTAACACATTGTAATGTGCCGTCTGTTGTAGCAAAAAGAAAATCGGGTTCCACAGCATATATCTCAGTCTGCTTTCCTATTTTGAAACTATTGTTATTATTATACTAACTTATGGATTAATAATATACAGCTTACCGTGGATGTTGTTCAATTTTAATATGAATTCATCATTTAAACTTTGTGAATCAACCATGGTTGATACGAATCCTTGTATAATTTGTCACATCAGTACAATCTGAATGGTATAGCTATACCGTCTCTACCCTATTATATTAATTTAACATGTTTCATGCTTTAGTATTTAACTTGTATCATGTATATTGTAATTTAATCCCTACCTCATTCACAATGCTTTATAAGGACGTGGGACACGTCCTTCTTTACAGAAAGGGCGTATATCGTAGGCAGTTTGGCAGAGTATAGGTTTTAACAGGGAATATGTATATGTCTTATATATTCCCTGAGTTAAATAAGTTAAATATATATATAGATAAATATTCACATCGTTGCCCAAATCAAATTATAACAGCAGCTGGACTATTATTACTATGGCAAACAGCACGGAGTCATGTGCAGGTCAGTGGCTCCTAATTAGTGCCAGAGAATGGCCGGTTGGCCACTGAAGCTTAACATTGTGGATGAGGTGCGGAATACTGCAGGCTGACCATGTATGTAACGTAACACGATACATGGCAGTCTGACAGTGAGGGTTAAAGGTAGTACGCTTTCTGTTAGTCGGGACTTGACCCTCGGACAGCGGCTAGGCAGGTTGGCTCTCTGACGCCTCTGATATGCTGCCTGGCCATGTCTGTCCCATCACCACAAACGTGATTATGCACATGCTGTAACTGATATACCACAAATAAAGTGTTGTGGACCCACTGATGGACTCCTGTGATTGAAGGACAGATATCCCAACATAACAGCCCGGGATATAAGTTACGTACGTGTACAATGTTGTATCCTTTATCTCATTTAAAGGAGGTTAAACATTCCAGTAAAGACATAAGATGATATGAAGAGACTTCTTTGTGATTTTGAAATGGTGATAACGCCATAGTCATATAACCATACCCTTCTCCGTTGCTGATTAGTGAGTGAGTGAGTTGGGTTTGACGCCGCTTTTAACATTATATATCAGGGCGTGTCAGCTTAATGTAGGAGGAAAGCCCGAAGTGATGCAGGTCTCAGACGTTTACTACTTCGGTGAAACCCACGAGCACGGGTATGGTGCTGACAAACCTAGAAACATAATTTCGGCGAACCGGGATTCGAACCCACAATCTTAGGTTTCTGGCGTGCCCAAGGGACACAGCTCTGCACAGCGAATCGCGGCGCCTTAGACGAGTGAATTGATCTTCAGCAACCCATGCTTGTCGTAAGAGGCGAATAACGGGATTGGGTGGTCAGGCTCGCTGACTTGGTTGATGCATGTCATCGTATCCCAATTGAGTGGATCGATGCTCATGATGTCAATCACTTGATTGTCCGCTCCAGACTCGTTTATTTACAGACCGTCGTCATATAGCTGGAATATTGCTGAGTGTGGCGTTTTTGTGAACACAGCTGAATACACAAGGATGCCAGTGGCGTAACGTCTGCGTAGCCCAAAAAAACAAAACAAGTGCTTTGGAAAATAATAACCTTTCCTCGGAGCATATAAAATCATAAATCTTCTCTATTACGGCATTTATGTGCTTACAATTGTATTTCCCCCGATTACACCCCTAGGTGCATGCAGCAAAACACCTCATCACGCATGCAGCACTCAGTAAAAACACTGACATTGTATTGATAGTAAATCAGTCACTTTTTGGTGACGTGCCTTCGTATGACTGAACGTCATCTCGCATAAATGAGAAATATGCCGTTTTAATGACTAACAAACACAAACATCTATAGGGTATGGTATCCCACATCTTCCCGAGGCAAGAGAGTAAACTGACCATACAAGTCCAGTTTCCACCCTTGCCAAACTAGGCTGGTATTTTGGAGTTACATTTTGGCTGGACTAACGAGTCTATGCATAGTCCAATCAAAATCGCGCACCGAAATCGAAATCCGGTTCGTAAACTGTCGTGCAGATTTCGGTCGATTGCAGGATTTGCAAAGCATGTGCACCGCCAACTCGTTGTCAGCAGATATTTTCCAAATCTTTTCATGTTTTTAATCAAGGTGCTCACTTGATTTGATGCATTTCGCGATGTAAGACCCGTTTTATCATGATATAGAACTTGATCATCGATCAGAACGTCCTGACTGGGCGCCACCATTTTGTGTGAAGCAAACACAAGTGATACGAGAGGTGGAATCTGGCAATTTAGATATACATCGGTCTGTAGTCAGCAATTATACAGGTATATGACATTGGCCTGTAGTCAACGATATGATAGTAACAAATAAATGACACTGGCCTGTAGTCAACGATATGATAGTTATAGGTATATGACATTGGCCTGTAGTCAACGATATGAGAGTTATAGGTATATGACATTGGTCTGTAGTCAACGATATGATAGTTATAGGTATATGACATTGGTCTGTAGTCAACGATATGATAGTTATAGGTATATTACATTGGTCTGTAGTCAACGATATGAGAGTTATAGGTATATGACATTGGTCTGTACTTGACGATATAATAGTTGTAGGTATATGACATTGGCCTGCAGTCAACGATATAATACTTGTAGGTATATGACATTGGCCTGTAGTCAACGATATGAGAGTTATAGGTATATGACATTGGTCTGTAGTCAACGATATGAGAGTTATAGGTATATGACATTGGCCTGTAGTTGAGGATATGAGAGTGATAGGTATATGACACCGGTCTGTAGTCAACGATATGATAGTTATAGGTATATGACATTGGTCTGTAGTCAACGATATAATAGTTGTAGGTATATGACATTGGCCTGTAGTCAACGATATGAGAGTTATAGGTATATGACATTGGTCTGTAGTCAACGATATGATAGTTATAGGTATATTACATTGGTCTGTAGTCAACGATATGAGAGTTATAGGTATATGACATTGGTCTGTACTTGACGATATAATAGTTGTAGGTATATGACATTGGCCTGCAGTCAACGATATAATACTTGTAGGTATATGACATTGGCCTGTAGTCAACGATATGAGAGTTATAGGTATATGACATTGGTCTGTAGTCAATGATATGATAGTTATAGGTATATGACATTGGCCTGAAGTCAACGATATGATAGTTATAGGTATATGACATTGGCCTGTAGTCAACGATATGAGAGTTATAGGTATATGACATTGGTCTGTAGTCAACGATATGATAGTTATAGGTATATTACATTGGTCTGTAGTCAACGATATGAGAGTTATAGGTATATGACATTGGCCTGTAGTCAACGATATGGTAGTTATAGGTATATGACATTGGTCTGTAGTCAACGATATGATAGTTATAGGTATATGACATTGGCCTGTAGTTGAGGATATGAGAGTGATAGGTATATGACACCGGTCTGTAGTCAACGATATAATAGTTGTAGGTAAATGACATTGGCCTGTAGTCAACGATATGAGAGTTATAGGTATATGACATTGGTCTGTAGTCAACGATATGATAGTTATAGGTATATTACATTGGTCTGTAGTCAACGATATGAGAGTTATAGGTATATGACATTGGTCTGTAGTCAACGATATGAGAGTGATAGGTATATGACACCGGTCTGCAGTCAACAATATGAGAGTTATAGGTATATGACATTGGCCTGTAGTCAACGATATGAGAGTTATAGGTATATGACATTGGTCTGTAGTCAACGATATGATAGTTATAGGTATATGACATTGGCCTGTAGTCAACGATATGATAGTTATAGGTATATGACATTGGTCTGTAGTCAACGATATGATAGTTATAGGTATATGAATTGGTCTGTAGTCAACGATATGATATTTATAGGTATATGACATTGGTCTGTAGTCAACGATATGAGAGTTATAGGTATATGGCATTGGCCTGTAGTCAACGATATGAGAGTTATAGGTATATGACATTGGCCTGTAGTCAACGATATAATAGTAATAAGTATATGACATTGGTCTGTAGTCAATGATATGAGAGTTATAGGTATATGACATTGGTCTGTAGTCAACGATATGAGAGTTATAGGTATATGACATTGGCCTGTAGTTGAGGATATGAGAGTGATAGGTATATGACACCGGTCTGTAGTCAACGATATAATAGTTGTAGGTATATGACATTGGCCTGTAGTCAACGATATGATATTTATAGGTATATGACATTGGCCTGTACTCAAAGATATGATAGTTATAGGTATATGACATTGGCCTGTAGTCAACGATATGATAGTTATAGGTATATGACATTGGCCTGTAGTCAACGATATAATAGTTGTAGGTAAATGACATTGGCCTGTAGTCAACGATATGATAGTTATAGGTATATGACATTGGCCTGTAGTCAGCGATATGATAGTTATAGGTATATGACATTGGTCTGTAGTCAACAATATGAGAGTTATAGGTATATGACATTGGTCTGTAGTCAACGATATGATAGTTATAGGTGTATGACATTGGCCTGTAGTCAACGATATGATAGTTATAGGTATATGACATTGGTCTGTAGTCAACGATATAATAGTTGTAGGTATATGACATTGGCCTGTAGTCAACGATATGAGAGTTATAGGTATATGACATTGGCCTGTAGTCAACGATATGAGAGTTATAGGTATATGACATTGGCCTGTAGTCAACGATATAATAGTAATAGGTATATGACATTGGTCTGTAGTCAACAATATGAGAGTTATAGGTATATGACATTGGACTGTAGTCAGCACTATTACCGTCATATCGCATTGATTTGCAGTCAGAACTTTGACTTCAGCTAAAACTTTCAACACTGACTGGATACCCTGCTAAATTTGTATTTATAGCGGAGACTCGCAGACTGGTCACGTGATGTGTGGAATTCCCCTTCATGACAAAGAATATTCACCCTGGACAGCCAGCCAGCCATGAAATTCTATCGCGGGAGCGCCGCTCTGATTACAGGTAACTCAAACTGACCGGGCCATGAACTATCGTCCCTCCCAGATTGGAAGGCGTGTGTTTGTACTGGCGCAGCGCCCCACGTTGATCCGCTCAAGTGGGGGTTGACGCTACAGGAATTTCACAAACAGGTTGAGCAGTACTAGTATTTCTTAACATAAATTTGCCACGCGGTGAGGGGTTTAGATATACCTCGAAGCATTTGTAGACACTCGATACGATCTCCCACTTCCTAGAAGATACAGCGTTAAAGTAGAGGTAAGCTATTGTCTCCTTAGCACTGTCGCATACATGTACAATGTTCGGATATTTTCTGATTGTCGTTCTTTGGAGAAAACATGTCAACATGTTTAATGGACATTCTGAACTGCACATCTGCTGGGATGAGTACTCGGGTGTAGTTCCGGGCCGTTAGATTTACGACACATAGGTGGGGTAGGGGATACATTACGGGTCTTGTGTTTCAGTTCTGAAGTAAACAAGGACCGCCTCCGTGGTCTTGTGGTAGAGCGTCCGCCCGGAGAGCGGAAGGTCCAGGGTTCGATCCCGGGCCGCGTCAGACGTTAAAAGATTGTACTTGTTGTTACCCTGTCTGGCGCTCGGCATTAAGGGGCTAAAACAAGGACTGGTCGGCTCGGAGTCAGTATACTGTGTCTGAGTGGGGTATTCATGTTAAACTGCGGCATGGTATCTCAGTGAGCTAGCACTATAAATCGGCATCAGTCCGGACTAGTACAAGCAGCACACAAACACACATACACGTGCATGCACGTCGCTATATAAGTGCAATAATCTTGGACGCGACGTTAAACCCAATTTCACCTCACCTCACTGAAGTAAACAACTATAAATGTCAGTGTAGTGCAGATACAAATAACGTATATGTGTTAATGTTTATATACTACTGAAAGAATGCATGACGACATATCAATAGAAACAATCGGGTGTTCTTTGAGTTGTTTATGTTTATATGCGTTTAAATCGTTCAACAAAACCGTCGTCTCCTTATTGTGTTATAGGGTTTGTAGTATTCGTTGGATTATAGGAACACTTGCAGTAGAGGCGCGCAAGGGTGGAAAGATAACGAGTTGTGATCAGAGGTTAAAGGTTGTATGGGTCCCAGGGAGCTGACAATTAGGAGATAAACATACTGTATTTTCAATGTAGAGCTAGGTTACCTGTAGATCTAACCGCGCTAAATTGAATTTGGAACCGAACGCGCAGAATAATATCGTAACAATGATTGCTTACTTTGAAGTTCTCTGGTTTCGCGGAGGAACATTGCAACAATGTTATTTTGTCGGTATTTGCTGGCTCTCGGTCACACACGTTTCCCCATACTCAGTTACGCAAAGACAAAAAGTTCTTTGAATATATACAAATACGTCAACATCAACACAATTTTATTATCTGAACAAATTGACAACCATATTTGGGATTAACCTAATCTCCAAAAGAGATAACGGGAAAGTGAACAAATATATAAACATGACTCGATGCACCGAGTGAGTGAGTATGGTTTTACGCCGCTTTTAGCAATATTCCAGCAAAATCACGGCGGGGGACACCAGAAATGGGCTTCACACATTGTACCCCGATGCACCGAGGCGAGGTCAACCTTCAAGTGCGGATATATATATGACGTCTCATTTCTTGTTTGTTTCATTTGTAGCCGACCCGTGAAGATTCCGGGGTAGAATAGGTCTTCAGCACCCCATGCTTGCCGTAAAAGGTGACTGTGCTTGTCGTAAAAGGCGACTAACGGGATCGGGTGGTCAGGCTCGCTGACTTGGTTGATGCATGTCATCGTATCCCAATTGCGTGGATCGATGCTCATGATATTAATCACTGGATTGTCTGGTCAAGACTCGATTATTTACAGACCGCCGTCATATAGCTGGAATATTGCTGAGTGCGGCGTTAAACAACCAACCAACAACCAATCATTTGTAGCCACCATCAAACATGGACGTATGCTTTCTTTTGCCCGGCAGTTAATTAAATGGTATTGAGGGGGCACGGGTGGCCCAGTCGTCTAAGGCGCCGCGATTCGCTGTGCAGAGTTGCGTCCCCTGGACACGCCAGAAACCTATGATTGTGGGTTCGAATCCCGGTTCGACCCAATTATGTTTCTAGGTTTGTCAGCACCATACCCGTGCTCGTGGGTTTCACCGAAGTGATAAACGTCTGAGACCTGCATCACTTCGGGCTTTCCTCCCACATTAAGCTGACACGCCGTGATATAACTGGAATACTGTTAAAAGCGGCGTTAAACCCAACTCACTCACTCACTAAATGGTATTGACAGTTTCACGATATCATGTCATTTCTGCAATACAGTTCACCATAAGAAAATTATTTACAACAATTTTTCATTCAAATGTATGTAACAGTATTTGTTTGTTTAATTATCATAATGGTGTCACTTAGGTAAGAAAGGCCCCGTGACACAGTGAGTGAGTTAAAAAAATTACGTCGCATCGGCTTTATTTCAGCCTCATAGCGACGAGAGCAAGTTGATAGATCTTTACGGGTGGGTCATGAATACAAAGTTATTTTTAAAAAACAACGCGACACAGAGAGAATGCTGAGATCAAGATGTTTATTTGTATGAGTGCTAGTATTCGACAGTATATTTTAATGGAGAGAGACTTGCGTGACGTGTGAAATGTCGTTTTGATAAGGGTGATATGTGTATTTGAGAGCGTTATATGTTTATTTACGATATCCTGCACACACCTGTGTTCCTAAACACACCAGTATCACACCACGTTTCCAACAAATTATAATCCAATCTCAATAATAGGTATAAATAACATCAAATTCACATCTATTGTAGGACAAGACACGCATCCCAAAAGCCAAGCGGGCCTATCACTGTTCTGGGCTGCTGTAGGTTGTGTACAGGACGAGTGTTGACACTTCGCCTCGACACTGATAAGTGTACGGTACAACAGATTGGTGTATATCGGAGCATCGCCGTCAGACGACGTAATCAACACCCTTTGTTGTGGAAGACGATCACTCAATTGTTCGCCCTCCTTGAGTGAGACGTGTACCTGCTCAACACGCCAGGATAATTCATTAATAGGGAACTCAGTGTCATTAGGCTTGAACGACTGACGCACATCTGCTATTGAAATTGTTCTATTTTCATGTTATGAGAGTGAACGTGAACTCGTTTGACAACCGTATGAATAAGCAGACGACAGTTAAACAGCGTATGGACCAAGGTCTGCTTAGTTCTTACCCACGCCCGTGAAGTGTAGACTGCATACACTTCTTAATCTTTACGGACTGAAAACGAGATTATTTGTTCTATACACCAGTACGGAGATTCGTTAGCATTGAATAGGCTCGTTGAGTGGAAGGGTTACAATAGTGTTCTGAACAGCGTGTCGATCTAGAGCAGACAGCTACATAAACCTCCAAATGGAAGCGGCCGGTGGATCGCCTCACGTGCTGCAGGTAGAGGCAGACGACTCTTGTATTTCCTATTCAGAACAGCTGAGTGGTTCCGTGGAAGAGTACGCGTTTAACAGTCGGGTTAGCATGGAGGCCAACGTGGACGAATCCAGCAAATGTGCAGGCATTTCGCCAAAACTTGTGTGTACATCGTGTTCTCAAAGGTTCGTAAATCCACGAATTCTCCCGTGTCTTCATACGTTTTGTTCCGAGTGCATCTCCGGATTCCGAACGTATCCCATCAACTGCCCTGATTTGAATGATTCGGGTGAAAGGGAGGAGCTATCGAGTGCGAAGGTGTTGTCGTCTGCTCCGAGTTTAGATCAGCCGTCCTTCGATTCAGCAGACGGCAAAACAGACGACACTTACTATCACAAGAAACGCATGATTCTGTGCCCCGATTGCTTAAGAGAAGTTGAAATCGCAACGGACGTCAGCGAATTACATAAAAATCATGTGGTTGAGAGAAAACTAGCTGAAGACTGCTTGCAGAATATCAACAACAACATTCCCCAGTTCTGTGACTCCTGTGTTGATCTCACAGAAGGGTCTGTGGTGAGAGTGCGATGTGTGGAGTGTTCCGAGAGTCTGTGTTCCTATTGCGAACAGGCCCACAGACGACAGCGGCGAACCAAGGGCCATCACCTTGTCAGTGTGAACGAACCTACAGACACGGACAAAACGAGAAAAAACATTCATCGTCAAATATTTTGTCCTAGACATACGTCAGAAGAACTGAAATTGTTTTGTTCAAGTTGTGACGAGGTCGTATGCCGGGACTGTGTTGTGCTCGACCACAGGGACCACCAGTGTCAGTTCGTGTCATCAGAACTATTTCGAACGGAGATGGACTCGATGCAACTTCTCATAAAAAACGTCGTTCCCAAAGTCAATGCCGTTGAAGCACGTCTAAAAAGCGTCTCAACTCTTAAAGACAAGATTCGGACACGAGCGAAACAGGTGGAATCTGAGATTAACAAATTCATGGACAGTTACATCCAAGCTATCGAGAAACACAGGCAGGCGTTGATTGGTCAGATAGACTCACTAGTCAAGGACAGGGAACGAAGTCTGAACGTGACTGAACTGCACCTGAAGGATTCGAAGGGAGAGGTCGGAGAGACTTGTAAACTCGTGTCTGAACTGATCGACACAGGTTCAGATCTGGAGATACTGACCGTCAAGAAGTTAATAACCGGACGTCTGAACCGTCTGAACTCACTCCCTGTTGACCCGAAGACCAAGATCAACGATTTCGTAAGGTTCAGTCCCGAGGAGAAAGCAGACGTCATTAACGACTTCCAGATGTATGGGAAGGTGGTGTCAAGACAAGTGACCGCTGCCAAGTCCACCGTCGACGGTGACGGTAAGTTATGTTTGGATGATGATACATGTCTAGTTCAACAAATAATTGGTTGTATAGTTCAACGGATCTTTGGTTATAAAGTTCAACGAATCATTTATTGTATGGCTCAATGATTGGGAAGTTCAACAAATCATTGATTGTACAGTTCAATGAATCATTGATTGTATGGGTCAATGGTTGTGTAGTTCAACGAATCATTGATTATTAAGCTTAACGAATCTTTGGTTGTATAGTTAAATGACTCAGTGGTTGATTAGTTTAATCAATCATTGGTTGTATAGCTCAACGAATTATTGATTGTATAGTTCAATGAATCATTGATTGTGTGGCTCAATGATTTTAAAGTTCAACGAATCATTAGTTGTATAACTCAGCGAATCATTGATTGAATAGTTCAGTGAATCATTGATTGTACGGTTCAATAATTGGGTAGTTCGACAAATCATTGGTTGTATAACTCAACGAATCATTGATTGTATAGTTAAATGAATCATTGATTGTATGGCTCAAAGGTTGTATAGTTCAACGAATCATTGGTTGTATAGTTCAACGAATCATTGATTATTTAGCTCAACGAATCTTTGGTTGTATAATTTAATGGATGATTGCTTGTATAGGTTGCATAGTTGAAATGGGAAGGAAATATATTTGAGTCGTTTTTCCCAACATCACTGACTGCTTTCATGCAGACTCATGAAGATCCTGGTTAGAATAGGTTTTCAGCAACCTATGCTTGTCATAAAAGGTGGCTATGCTTGTAAGAGGCGACTAACGGGATCGGGTGGTCAGTCTCGCTGACATGGTTGATGCATGTCATCGTATCCCAATTGCGTGGATCGATGTACATGGTGTCCATCACCGGATTGTCTGGTCCAGACTCGATTATTTTTCTGACCGCAGTCATGTAGCTGGAATATTGCTGAGTGCGGCGTTAAACAACAAACAAACAAAGCTTTTCATGCAAGTGTGTGAATACGTACGAGCTCGTGCTCCCATGCTTATTCAAATCCCTGCTACTTAACACTACCGCGTGCTTGTATGATGCATATATTGCTGATATTTTCTCATGGTTTATTTTGAGACGCTCTCACGTTTCTTTATTTTCTTTCTGGTATGTTTCGTGAGTTGCCACATAAGATAAACACAACAAACCTTTACACAACACCCTAACATCAACACGCCGCTTATGCACGCTGAGCTGTTCACTGCAGCTATGCAACATTTTACTGTAGCACATACGGTGGTGTAAGGGGCAATAGATTAACATGACAATGGGGTGACGCATGACACAACCCGCGTGGTTCTATAGTATGGGGGGGTCCATCCAGGTTCATTTTCAGATTGAATTATGATTTACACTCACTAAAGTGTACCCAGGGGGGAAGAGTGAGTATGGTTTTACGCCGCTTTTAGCAATATTCCGACCCTACAGTTTAGAATTTTAATGAAATGATGGTCAGAAAATGTTTATTCCTATCCTCATGGAGATAAGATACACTAGATAATCGAGCACGTCCCTTTCTATTTTGACGTTCCTTACATAGACTAGCGGGTCCGGATCAATGAGGTCTCACTGTAAACAAATATGTATACTTGTGCTAGATCTGATGTCTTGAGATTGTAACGCAGGATAAAATGAGCGTATTTCTTCAGGTTTGGAGGCTATTATAGCATTAAAGAACACAATGAAATTCGCATATTGTAAATGTGCATTATTTGCAGAATGCATATATTTTTTTTGCAACTTTCGCGGTTTTGCCACGAAGAGCGAACCGAACCACTTGTGAACCAAGTTAAAGCACATTCACCCTGGAATTCTGACATCGCACGCGAGTGGTCTATTTTTGTGCACGTGCATGCATTTAGTCTATTTCAGGTGCACGTAATTGCACCTCTCTTCGTATCCGCCCGCTTAGCTGCATGCATTCCGACAACTCGCACACGTGCACTTAGAACAACCGTGGAATGAACTTGCACATAGATCGACACGGCTTAATCAGCCATCAAAGAACCATCGTTAGTACAGAGGATGTGGGAGTTATGTTCATGTATCTCGGTAGTCCATGTTACGGGTTTGATGTAGGAGTGTGGGTAGGGAGGAGATCAGGGGTCGTATGTAATACAGTGCTGTAGACGAGTCAAAGCATAAACGACCCGTGAAAATCCGGGGTAGAATAGGTCATCAGCAACCCATGCTTGCCGTAAAAGGCGACTATGCTTGTCGTAAAAGGCGACTAACGGGATCGGGTGGGCAGGCTCGCTAACTTGGTTGATGCATGTCGTCGTATCCCAATTGCGTGGGATGCTCATGATGTCAATCACTGGATTGTCTGGTCCAGACTTGATTATTTACAGACCGCCGTCATATAGCTGGAATATTGCTGAGTGCGGCGTTAAACAACATACAAAACAAACACTGGTACAGTGTACTGATTATCTCATGGAAAGGAATTCAACTCCATGCCAACATGCGATCTGTGGTGTTCTTTTGTTCGCGAGTACCAAAGTACTGGTGACATATTCCCTTGAACCTCTATTGTTTGTTGGTTGCTTGTTGTTTAACGCCACACTCAGCAATACGCTAGGGGTGAAGGAAAGGGGAGCCGGTCTGCACCGCGTGACTAAGTGAGAGTGGGTGAGTGAGTGAGTGGGGGTATTGCGCCACTCGTGTAGCACTTCTACATCACGACACCTATAGGCAGGATTTCATAAACTGTATCGGTAGGGGAAACCCAACTTCAGCCTACAGTGTGAAGAACAAACACTTTAACCACTAGAATAACCGACAATAAGATAAAATCTCAGAGAAACCTGGTATATTCTAAAACTGGGAATATCTACAGGCACAGCATGGGAACAAGCGCTATACGTGCATGTAACGAGCTTATGACTCACACCACGCGCATCAGACATGCAACAGGCATTCCCGTAAATTGGCTGTTTCGTTTCATTTCTGAGTTGTGGTTTTAACAGATTTGTTCATGGGAGGTTGCAGAGGCATGTAGGTTTGAAAGTAAATTACCGACTGAAACATAGTTAGGAACAAATCGTCGGTTTTGCGTAATAAACTATTCCGTGAGTGATAATTTTAAATTTTTTTCCTAATTAGATAAACTGCACAGCTGTTATTTTTTTGTCATCAGGCCTAATCATATCCCCGGACATATATATAGTGTGTAAACATGTTTCACGTTTTGCGATGACTCTAATGTTATAATTTCCGTTTCTGCAGACCATTAGCTCCTGGTAGTGCGAGATAAACACGGTCATATGAGATATCAACAATAAAATCCAGCAATATCTGCTTACCCTGTTCCATCCTCGGGGTTCAGGGTCACATACGCGATAAATCACACATGTGTGTCCTATACCTGATTAATACAGTGTCGCTATATAGTTGCGATTGTCTGATGCAGACTTGTTTATTTATAGTCTGTGGTCATGTAGCTGGAATATTGCTGAGTGAGTAAGTATGGCTTTACGCCGCTTTTGGCTATATTCCAGCAATATCACGGCGGGGAATACCAGAAATTGGCTTCACACATTGTACATGTCGGGAATCGAACACGGGTCTTTGGCGTGATCAACGAACGCTTTAACCACTAGGCTACCCACCCGGCCCTATCGCTGAGTCAAGCGTTAAACACAAAGATGTGGATATATTAGCAACTTCATGTTTGGTAATTTAGCGGTTAAATCAGTGGTTTCTTGGAACCAACTTTGGTACACTGTAATCGGAATTCATCTGTTCTATCGCGTCTGTGGTCAAGAAATAAACGATGCCCATTTTAGCCGGCTGTTGCAAGCTTGAGGTACGTTGGCCTTCTCAGTCACGGAATCCCCGCGGGGGAATGAATACATCAAACTAATTTCACACCTGTACAAGGTATGATTTGTGGTTTATCAATTGTGCTACTTCCGCTATTAATCAAATATCATCATGAATAGCGTCTGTTTATGTGTGAAAACCATCCCACCAATTTACCGAATGTATTAAAAGGCAACCCAGCGGTTACTAGCTGGTGCATAGCTTACGTTGCAACCAGCTGGCACTTAAGTTCTTTCTACCAAATGTTTCCGTTCGACTAAAATTAGCCCTCTCAGCGAGTACTTCTGATGGTGGTTACCCTCTCCGCCAGCTGGTCGGACGAGTTGCCCGTCTACAGTAGCGGTAAGAGAGATGTTAGGTTTGAGATAGTTGGATACATCAGGTCGGAGAGAGTTGACCCATGTTAAATCTTGTTAACATCGTGAGATGGAGATATTAGATACTGAAGCCGTGTCTTGCGGGTGCCGTGAGGTCGGGACAGCAGCAGCCTGAGAAGTTATTATGAACAAAACGTTATTATGTTTAGTTCGGTAATAGTGCCATTGAGCGTATGTGTTTATGTTTACAATATAGCCGGGCAGACCGACAGACAGATAATTTATTAAAGTCTCACCTCACAAGTACAGGGTAAAAATATGCTATACAAAATACAATAAAAAGTGAGCCGCCCTTTAATGGTTACGAGAGACTATATATGAACTAAAAATATACACAAAACATAAAACTATATACACTTAAAAGGTTATCTTATATCAAGGGTCTTGGTACGCGGAGTCGTTTATTTCCTTTGAACGTCAGGGGGTCGGGTAGCCTTGTGGTTAAAGCGTTCACGCCGAAGAACCGGGTTCGATTCCCGACATGGGTACAATGCATGAAGCCCATTTCTGGTTTCCCCCGCCGTGATATTGCTGGAAATCTGCTAAAAGCGGCGTAAAACAAAAACTTACTCACTCATTCGATCATCACATACCTACGTGTCTTGATTATCACTATCATCATCAGCAGCATCGTAAGTATGTAGATGCTGGTACAGGTGAGTGAGTGAGTTGGGTTTAACGTCGTTTTAAACAGTATTGCAGTTATATCACGGCGTGTTAGCTTGATGTGGGAGGGAAGCAAGATTGATATCAATCTTAATCATTTACCACTTTGGTGAAACACATGACCACGGGTATGGTGCTGACAAACCTAGAAACATAACCAGGAATCGACCCACGATCATAGTTTTCTGGACACTTAATAATAATAATAATAATAATAATAATAATAATAATAATAATATAAAAAACAAAACATGAATGATAATAAGATAGATAATGACATGTATTGTGTTTTGGTTATATAAATATCACACGGGTGATGATGATGATGATGGTGATGATTGTCAAGAGGATATTTATCAATTATTTATTTTCAGACGTGGCTTCACATCTGTCAGTCTAAGGCAAGCTTACATAGCGAAATGAACATTGACTTAACAAGGTGGTTGAAACAGACAATGTGACGTGGCATATTCTATTGGCTATTGTTTCTCAGAGCTTAAATTACGTCTTCGCGCTGGGTGTTTCCCCGTTACAACAGAAAGAGCATTCCGAGGTTCATAACACTAATTGTCAGTCAGCGTGACTAGCATGGAGAGAAGGCTGTACGTCGTAACTAATTACTGCAAACCATGGTCTTGAATAACCACCACCCTCCCTTCAAACAGGGAACTTATTTTGGGGTCTTGCTCGCCGCGAATAGCTGCAAAATTGCTGATGCGGCGATAAGCAATATTCAATCACCCATTGGTGTCTTGCTCGTTCTTATACCTCGGAGCTTTACGTGTTGTTGGGCGGTTGGGTAGCCTAGTGTTTAATAATTTCCGCTCGTCACGCCGAAGATTCGGGTTTGATTCCCCACATGGGTACAATGTTTGAAGCTATTTGTGGTCCCCTGCCCTGATATTGATAAGTCTGAGACCTGCATCACTTCGGGTTTCCTCCCACATTAAGCTGACACGCCGCGATGTAACTGGAATACTGTTAAAAGCGGCGTAAAACCAAACTCAATCACTCACTCACTTATATTGATAAAAGCGACATACAATCACGCACACTCACTCGCTAACCCACTCACACATATAACCAAACGCACATCCATACACTCACTCACCCATACACTGACCACCCACTCACTCACTCAAGTGCCTGGAGAGACACCAAGCCGTCACATCATAGTAGCGAGTGAAGCCTCCGAATTTTCAAACTCAAGAATTTACAAGGGATATTTCATATTTTGACTATATGCGTACGTCTGGTTACAGGTAGATGTCGGAAAACTAGGCGGGCGGACGTAGCCACTTAGGGGTGTTTGTGGTACTTAGTTGACGTCTTAGAAAATCTGCATGATGGCATACCAAACACCAGGGTCATGTACAACTTATGAATATCTTCATGAATAGTTGACATAAATCGCCCCACGAATGAATGTCAGCACCCCAGTCAGCACCCTAGTGTCCCGACGAGACAACAGGTACCCTGACTGATCCGTTTCATTAAGAAAAGACCCGTGTCTGTATAATGTGATACCCTGTCTGGTTGACGCGATGTGTGGAATGTAGGTTGTAGACACTGGAGATCCAGGGTGATATAAGGTATATCAGGTATGTTTGACACGTGATATACCAGTATGTCAGTGGGTAAACGTCTCCTGAAATGGACAATAACCCTTTGTACTGTGGACCGTGTAGAGTCAGAATGTTTTTGAAATTTAGTGCTCCGTCTTCACAGCAAATGAAAATTCCCCAAAATATTCATGATCGCTTTTTTGTTCAGTTTATGACGAACCATTGCTTAAGTACACCAGGTGATAGTAATTAGAGAGGATTATTTCCACCGTGAATAGACACAACATGTTACAAGTGTGTATAACTACACGTCGTACTCATCACACTGTTGCCTGTAATGAGCTTCAGCAGTCGGACCCCCACACAGATCCCTGCCGCGCTGTGTAGGTTTACACAACAACTGGGATACATTGCAGGAATGACATAAGCTCCACACATCCCCACTACACGGCTATTCTTGGCACACATCTGAGTACAATGCAACGCAAGGCGAACATGTTCGCAAAAACACTGCCTACTTTACAAGGGGAACATTTTTGTTTCTGTTTTTAACTAATTGCGAGATTATTCTCAGCAACGTAAGAGGGTTTGAAGCTGTTACAAATTGTTTTGTTGATTTGTTTAACACCGTTGTGAGTTTTAACTTAAGTTCGTGTTCTTGATGAGGTGAGGTGAAATAGGTTTTCACATTTTATTGCAGGCATGCGCGCGCGCGCGCGTGTGTGTGTGCGTGCGTGCGTGTGTGTTTGTTTGTGTCCAATGGTCCTAGTCCGGACTAATGCCGATTGCCCACTGAGATACCATGCCGCAGTTTGACATGGATACCCCACTCAGACACAGTATACTGACTCCGAGCTGACCAGTCCTTGTCTTAGCCCCTTAATGCCGAGCGCCAGGCAGAGTAACAACAAGTACCACCCTTGAACGTCTTTTGGTATGACGTGGCCACTGGATCGATGTTTTAATGATGATCTTGGCATGCTATGTTTAGTACGCACAACCGGGCACACTGTACGTCACCAGGGCATGGTCAGAACAATGTGTGTGAGATAGTGAGGAAACGGTGTTTCAGTGCATGGTGTCAGTGTGGGACATAGTTAGCATTGTGCTTTGAGTTGGGTTAAGTGAGCTTATTTAGAAGCCGCTTGCGACCTATGAAGATCTGGGGTAGAATAGGTCTTCAGCAACTCATGCTTGTCGTAAGAGGCGACTAACGGTTGGTTGGTTTGTTGTTTTACGCCCCACTCAACAATATTCCAGGTATGTGACGGCGGTCTGTAAATAATCGAGTCTGGACCAGACAATCCAGTGATCGACATCATGAGCATCGATCCACGCAATTGGAATGCGATGACATGCTTCAACCAAGTCAGCGAGCCTGACCACCCGATCCCGTTGGTCGCCTCTTACGACAAGCATAGTCGCCTTCGCCTTTTACGGTAAGTAGGGATTGGTGAAGACCTATTCTACCCCCGATGTTAATTGGGATTTAGGTTATACTAAGTATTATATGCTTACACTGGATATCCTGTTACAGGTTTGAGCACAGCAAGGATTGGTCACAAGTCTGAGATGACTTTGACTGTAAGAGATACAGAGCACGTGCAGTACAACGGAAGTGACGTCAACGTCAGAGCGTGGCTTATCTACCAGAATGAAAGTCTCAGGTAAGTTGGAGTGTATATATCTGTATGTAAAAGTATTTCAAGTTGGATCACAGTTTTATTGATACTTCAATGAAGATCTTTAGATGGTACATAGAAGGTGGGATATCTATGAAGGCAGGATTAACTTATGGACTTTAAATGCACTGTTTCCGTCAATCTGATTAAAATCATATCTTAGTTCTCCCTATCGCTAAACAAAGCTTTGTTTAACGGCAGCGAGAACTTAGATCAGAGTTTAATGAGATTGTGTTTCTGTAAATTTGCCTTTATCAATTCCTTAGTACCAAAATGTCCATATTTTACTAAACACAAGTGTCCTGGGATGTTTTTAGAATTTTTTTTTGTTTTGAGTTGCGCTTTAAAACAAACAATATGTGGGGGTGAGGTGGGGGGTGGGCGTCACATTTTTCTAAACATCCATCATGTACTGTGCAGTTTGAATATTATAATAAACTTGAGGACAAATTCCTCAGCATTTTCAGAATTCTGATTAAATTTTGCCCCAAAAGACCCAGGTTGCACCCCCTTATACACCCAGAGAAGATGTAATAGGTAACTTCTTTGATTTAGCCATTGACGTCTTTCGTGGTGTGTTTATCACTGTCAGCACCTAGACGAGTATGTACACGCTGATGATGTGTTCTTCCCCTCCACAGAAGCGTTCCTGTAAACATCTCCTGTAAGAAGGACGGAACCCACCAGCTGACCTTCACCCCGGTCCAGAAGGGCACGCACTTCCTCCACGTGGCAGTCAGTGGCCAGCCGGTCAAGGTAGGGAGAATATTCGGACTAAAATCACAGCGTTAAATTAATAGCCTCTCTGCCTATAAATCTGTATGAAAATATGGTCCTTGCTACATAAAGGCCTAAAAATAAAACTTCAACAGAATATATATATATGGCTCGGAGGTCTAGTAGACAGAGCGTCCGCCCATAGGGTGGAAGGTCAGGGGTTCCATCCCGTCGCGTCGTACAAAAACCCCGTTAAAAGATGGTATTTGTTGTTATCCTGCCTGGCAGGTGTCTGAGAATAATGTTAAACTGCTGCATGGTATCTCAGTGGGCTTGCACTGAAGAATAGTAGCATCTGAAATTGAATGCTATCTATGATAAGCTTGTTTATCATTTAAGTATTTTATGTCCATCTTCAGGATAGCCCCTTCAAGTTCAGTGTGAAGGCAAGATGGCGGGAACACAAGGGTATTTGGCAGTGTTGCACCTTCTGTCAGACCGGAGGGAAGAGGGACGTCACGTGCGGATGCAAGGGGGCAATGCCAGGTGAGCTACATCTTCAGTTCTGTTTGTTTGTTTGTTGTTTAGCACCGCACTATATTACATCTACATGACAGAGGTCTGTAAATAATCGAGTCTGGACCAGACAATCCGGTGATTGACATCATGAGCATCAATCCACGCAATTGGGATACGATGACATGCATCAACCAAGTCAGCGAGCCTGACCATTCAATCCCATTGGTCGCCTCTTACGACGAGCATAGTCACCTTTTATGTCAAGCATGGGTTGCTGAAGACCTCTTCAATTCTAACCAATCGTAATGTCTTTATGAGAGACGATAGTAAGTTCAATTGTTCACATTGTTGTCCTGTTCAAGGGTGAACTCATAGGTTAGACTTAAAGCAAAGCAAAGCAAATGTTATTGACACAATGATCCTAATTGAAGATAGAGGAGAGATTTTGATTCGTTTGTCAACCGTAGGACATGCTTACCCTTTTTGGGAACACCTGGTGACGCTGATTTTCAGTGGTCCCCTCATATAATATCCACAGCTATTTTGGCCTTTGCTCCAAATGGAATCTGTTTTGGCAGAAAATCTAGGATGGTTGTTCTCTTGCATTGACAGTTTATATTTGTGGATGTTCCAGGTGGGTTTGCAGGCTGCGGGCACGGACATGGCAACCACCCCGGCGGACCTCACTGGTCGTGCTGTGGGAAGATGGTGAAGAACTCGGAATGCTCTGTTACCAGCAGACCCTCTCCCCTCAGACAGGTCACGTTATGAAGCAGTCACAGTTGATCACTGGAAAACACACTTGTCTGGTCAGACTGGCCACGTTCAACAGCAACTGACTGCACAGCAGCACATGACCACGCGAACTTGGCCACGTTAGAAGCTGGCAGCAGATGATCAAACGAAAATGGCTGTGTTAGAAGCTGGCAGCAGATGATCAAACGAAAATGGCCATGTTAGAAGCTGGCGGGAGATGATCAAATGAAAATGGCCATGTGAGAAGCTGGCAGCAGATGATCAAACAAAAATGGCCATGTTAGAAGCTGGCAGCAGATGATCAAACAAAAATGGCCGTGTTAGAAGCTGGCAGCAGATGATCAAACGGAAATGGCCACGTTAGAATCTGGCTTCTGATGATCACACGAACCTAGCCACGTTAGAAGCTGGCGGCTGATGACCACATGAAAATGGCCACGTTAGAAGCTGGCAGCAGATGATCAAACGAAAATGGCCATGTGAGAAGCTGGAAGCAGATGACCACACGAAAATGGCCACGTTAGAAGCTGGCAGCAGATGATCAAACGAAAATGGCCACGTTAGAAGCTGGCAGATGATCAAACGAAAATGGCCATGTGAGAAGCTTGACTTCACTGTGTGCATCAAGTGGCCATTGTAAGGTACCTCGTACACTCCCCCCTCCTTGATCAGAGTCATTATGAAGAACTCAGCCACCCTCCCGTCCTTGCTTAGATATGCAACGTAGCGAGAGTATTTGGCAGGTTGCAAGTCATCTTGTTTCACATCTTTGCTGAGGCTTCTCAAGTGAACAGCAGATGGTGTTGAGAAGATAACACATAGAGGACAGCAAACGCTCTCATATCTGTGTCAAACATGTGGATTTCAACAAAAATATAACATGGACAAAACACTCTCTCCATTTCACTCTTCCACCAGACGGCCACGCTGAGCAGCCAAAGTTCAGGAACATAGAATAGTCTCATTCTCTGTTAACACCACATTACAGAGACAACTGTCTCGGGTACAGGTTCCCCAGACACGTGACTTGAGCTGAGGAGAGATGAGAAGTCAAGTAGAAAGTCCATTCTCTGATCCTCTCTGCTGTCAGACCATGTTATAAAGCCAACGACAGGGTAAGACAGACGTCATCTAATGGAGCACGGACAGAACAGAGTACTACTATTCCTGTGTGTACTGCTCAAGAATCCCATGTCACCCACAGAAAGAAAGGCCAGGCCACAAAAGCTAGAACTGCCAAGTGACATCAGCATTTGTTGACACTAACAGTCTCATCACAGACAGACAAATCACAAATGACCAAGAACACAAATTAACAATAATATGTTTTGTACAAATAACATTTCAACATGTATTTATTTATGTGGGACATGTTAAAAAAATAAAAGTGTTAACCAAAATATTTCTACCAGTATTTGTTTTGTTTGAATGGCCATGAAACAATATGACAGCTATATCACATTGGCCTCAAGCGAGCAATATTACAACTATATTACATATTCTTCTAGGCAGCAGTATCACAGCTATATGGCATTGGTCCTTTGGTTGTCTGTTTCTAACGACACTTGCCTGAAAATATCCAATCTGGACCAGATAATTCAGTGGTTTCATAGTATGAACTTCATTGCATGATATGCCATTTGATCAGGGTGAAATGAATTACCATCAACCTGGTCCTCACACATGTGACCACCTAACACTTCCTAGTCGAACACACCAGATCTCACACATGTGACCACCCAACACTTCCCAGTCCAACACACCAGATTCACATGTGTGACCACCCAACACTTCCCAGTCCAACACACCAGATCCACATGTGTGACCACCCAACACTTCCCAGTCCAACACACCAGATCCACATGTGTGACCACCCAACACTTCCCAGTCCAACACACCAGATCCTCACTTGTGACCACCCAACACCTCCCAGTCCAACACACCAGATCCTCAGGTGTGACCACCCAACACCTCCCAGTCCAACACACCAGATCCTCACTTGTGACCACCCAACACCTCCCAGTCCAACACACCAGATCATCACATGTGACCACCCAACACTTCCCAGTCCAACACACCAGATCCTCAGGTGTGACCACCCAACACCTCCCAGTCAAACACACCTGATCCTCACTTGAGACCACCCAACACCTCCCAGTCCAACACACCAGATCCACATGTGTGACCACCCAACACCTCCCAGTCCAACACACCAGATCCTCACTTGTGACCACTCAACACTTCCCAGTCCAACACACCATATCCACAAGTGTGACCACCCAACACTTCCCAGTCCAACACACCAGATCCTCACGTGTGACCACCCAACACCTCCCAGTCCAACACACCAGATAATCACATGTGGCCACCCAACACCTCTCAGTCCAACACCCCAGATCATCAAGTGTGGCCACCCAACACCTCCCAGTCCAACACACCATATCCACAAGTGTGACCACCCAACACTTCCCAGTCCAACACACCAGATCATCAAGTGTGGCCACCCAACACCTTTCAGTCCAACACACCAGATCATCAAGTGTGGCCACCCAACACTTCCCAGTCCAACACACCAGATCCTCACTTGTGACCACCCAACACCTCCCAGTCCAACACACCAGATCATCACATGTGACCACCCAACACTTCCCAGTCCAACACACCAGATAATCACATGTGGCCACCCAACACCTCTCAGTCCAACACACCAGATCATCAAGTGTGGCCACCCAACACCTCCCAGTCCAACACACCATATCCACAAGTGTGACCACCCAACACTTCCCAGTCCAACACACCAGATCATCAAGTGTGGCCACCCAACACCTTTCAGTCCAACACACCAGATCATCAAGTGTGACCACCCAACACCTCCCAGTCCAACACACCAGATCCTCACTTGTGACCACCCAACACTTCCCAGGCCAACACACCATATCCACAAGTGTAACCACCCAACACTTCCCAGTCCAACACACCAGATCCTCACGTGTGACCACCCAACACCTCCCAGTCCAACACACCAGATAATCACATGTGGCCACCCAACACCTCTCAGTCCAACACACCAGATCATCAAGTGTGGCCACCCAACACCTCCCAGTCCAACACACCATATCCACAAGTGTGACCACCCAACACTTCCCAGTCCAACACACCAGATCATCAAGTGTGGCCACCTAACACCTTTCAGTCCAACACACCAGATCATCAAGTGTGACCACCCAACACTTCCCAGTCCAACACACCAGATCATCACATGTGACCACCCAACACCTCCAAGTCCAAGACAACAGATCCTTACGTGTGACCACCCAACATTTCCCAGTCCAACACACCAGATCCACACGTGTGACCACCCAACACTTCCCAGTCCAACACAGCAGATCCTCACGTGTGACCACCCAACACCTCCCAGTCCAACACACCATATCCTCACGTGTGACCACCCAACACTTCCCAGATCCAACACACCAGATCATCACGTGTGACCACCCAACACTTCCCAGATCCAACACACCATATCCTCACGTGTGACCACCCAACACTTCCCAGATCCAACACAGCAGATCCTCACGTGTGACCACCCAACACTTCCCAGTCCAACACACCAGATCATCACATGTGACGACCCAACACCTCCCAGTCCAACACACCAGATCCTTACGTGTGACCACCTAACACTTCCCAGTCCAACACACCAGATCCACACGTGTGATCACCCAACGCCTCCCAGTCCAACACAGCAGATCCTCACGTGTGACCACCCAACACTTCCCAGTCCAACACACCAGATCATCACATGTGACGACCCAACACCTCCCAGTCCAACACACCAGATCCTTACGTGTGACCACCTAACACTTCCCAGTCCAACACACCAGATCCACACGTGTGATCACCCAACGCCTCCCAGTCCAACACACCAGATCCACATGTGTGACCACCCAAAGCCTCTCAGTCCAACACACCAGATCATCAAGTGTGACCACCCAACACTTCCCAGTCCAACACACTAGATCCACACGTGTGACCACCCAACGCCTCTCAGTCCAACACACCAGATCCTCACGTGTGACCACCCAACACCTCCCAGTCCAACACACCAGATCATCACATGTGACCACCCAACACTTCCCAGTCCAACACACCATATCCTCACATGTGACCAACCAACACCTCCCAGTCCAACACACCAGATCCACATGTGTGACCACCCAAAGCCTCTCAGTCCAACACACCAGATCATCAAGTGTGACCACCCAACACTTCCCAGTCCAACACACCAGATCCACACGTGTGACCACCTAATGCCTCTCAGTCCAACACACCAGATCCTCACGTGTGACCACCCAACACCTCCCAGTCCAACACACCATATCCACAAGTGTGACCACCCAACACTTCCCAGTCCAACACACCAAATCCACAAGTGTTACCACCCAACACTTCCCAGTCCAACACACCAGATCATCAAGTGTGGCCACCCAACACCTCTCAGTCCAACACACCAGATCCTTACTTGTGACCACCCAACACTTCCCAGTCCAACACACCAGATCATCACATGTGACCACCCAACACCTCCCAGTCCAACACACCAGATCATCACATGTGACCACCCAACACTTCCCAGTCCAACACACCAGATCCACACGTGTGACCACCCAACGCCTCCCAGTCCAACACACCAGATCCTCACGTGTGACCACCCAACACCTCCCAGTCCAACACACCAGATCATCACATGTGACCACCCAACACTTCCCAGTCCAACACACCAGATCATCACATGTGACCACCCAACACTTCCCAGTCCAACACACCAGATCATCACATGTGACAACCCAACACTTACCAGTCCAACACACCAGATCATCACATGTGACCACCCAACGCCTCCCAGTCCAACACACCAGATCATCACATGTGACCACCCAACACTTCCCAGTCCAACACACCAGATCATCACATGTGACCACCCAACGCCTCCCAGTCCAACACACCAGACCATCACATGTGACCACCCAACACCTCCCAGTCCAACACACCAGATCCACACGTGTAACCACCCAACGCCTCCCAGTCCAACACACCAGACCATCACATGTGACCACCCAACACTTCCAAGATCCAACCAGCAATGAAGCAATCAATCCAAAACCTGAATAAGTTACTTTATTTACACAATCACTTGCACTGTTATACAGAAGTCAAACAACAGTAGAGTATGTACAAACTATCAACACTGTAGGCTTCTTGACAAAGAGGACTGAAATACAATAATAAAACATATGTTAAAACAGTAAAAAGGTTCTGTGGGTACATGTTTTAAAATTGACACTAAATATGAAATTAAAATTGAACCTATATAGGCTCCATCCATGTCAGGCTTAAAAAGACGGAAACATGCAAAATGAAAATAAGTGTACAACTGAAGACTGCTTGTATCACACATGTACATATAAGTGCTTGAACAGAGTTGCTTTTTGTAACTGTCAGCAATATTCCAACTACATCACAATGGTCCTAAAATCATATGTTGACAGACGAGTGTTTGACCGCGAGAGCAACGGACCCATGCCACTAGGGTACAATGACACCACAGAGCTAGGTCACTCATTATATTCATCCTATCCTCAAAACCTAAGCCACTAGGGTACAATGACACCACAGAGCTAGGTCACTCATTATATCCATCAAATCCTCAAACCCAAGCCACTAGGGTATATTGACACCATCCAATCCTCATTTAAGTCATCTCTCATGACAAGCATGGGGTGTTTGGGAGAGAGGGACTCCTCACATATGAAAGGGGGTTGAGAAGGGCATTATAATAAAAAGAATTTTTGAAACATATGACTGGATGTGGCACAATTGTGTTGCAGTCATGTTGCACAAAACAGTTATGCTGCACTAAGCACAGTTGTGTTGCACAGTCATGTTGCACAAAACAGTTATGTTGCACTAAGCACAGTTGTGTTGCAGTCATGTTGCACAAAACAGTTATGTTGCACTAAGCACAAACATGTTGCACTAAGCACAATTGTGTTGCAATCATGTTGCACAAAATAGTTATGTTGCACTAAGCAAAAACATGTTGCATTAAGCACAGTTGTGTTGCAGTCATGTTGCACAAAACTGTTATGCTGCACGTAGCACAAACATGTTGCAGTAAGCACAATTGTGTTGCACAGTCATGTTGCACAAAACAGTCATGTTGCACAAAACAGTTAAGCTGCACTAAGCACAGTTGTGTTGCAGTCATGTTGCACAAAACAATTATGTTGCACTAAGCACAGTTGTGTTGCACAGTCATGTTGCACAAAACAGTTATGTTGCACTAAGCACAGTTGTGTTGCAGTCATGTTGCTGAAAACAGTTATGTTGCACTAAGCACAGACATGTTGCACTAAGCACAATTGTGTTGCAATCATGTTGCACAAAATAGTTATGTTGCACTAAGCAAAAACATGTTGCATTAAGCACAGTTGTGTTGCAGTCATGTTGCACAAAACTGTTATGCTGCACTTAGCACAAACATGTTGCAGTAAGCACAATTGTGTTGCACAGTCATGTTGCACAAAACAGTCATGTTGCACAAAACAGTTAAGCTGCACTAAGCACAGTTGTGTTGCAGTCATGTTGCACAAAACAGTTATGTTGCACTAAGCACAAACATGTTGTACTAAGCACAATTGTGTTGCAGTAATGTTGCACAAAACAGCTATGTTGCACAAACATGTTGCACTAAGCACAGTTGTGTTGCACAGTCATGTTGCACAAGACAGTTACATTGCACTAAACACAGTTGTGGCCCTAAGCACAGTTGTGTTGCATAAAGCAGTAGTGCTGGAATAAACCATAGTCATGGTTCACTAAGCACAGTCATGTTGTAGGAAAGATGATATTACAAAATGAAACACTCATTGACTAGCAAATATTATAGGATTCAGCCTTGGGGCCAACTGAGATCAGTGGAAGATGTGCTTGCCAGTCCCACCTTTACAGATGTAATAACACCGCAATTCTTATACTTTAGCCGTCAACAGTAATGAACACAGAAGCCTTAAACAGTCGGTTTAAATATACTGAACAAAAAATGTCAGGGATCGTGAATATTTTTGGGGAAACTTGTGTATAGTGTAGACCGAGCCCATAATTTCATACGCAACATCCTCAAAATATTCATGATCCCTAACTTCCCTAATATTTTGTTCAGTATATCTAAACCAACTGTTCAAGGCATCTGTGTTCATTAACCGTTGATAGATGTGATTCACATGAAGCAAGAATGTTTGGTAGGACTACAGATACAACACTTTTCATCAAATAGGGAAAGAAAGTACCGTATTTGACATAATAAGCGCCCCGCTCTAATAAGTGCCCACGGCGATATTTGCTAATATATTGACTAGTGAACAATCCCAATTGGCACCCCTTCCGAAGACTTATTTTTTCGCGTATAATACGCACTCGTGTGTTATATGCACCCTTAATCATGGGCAATTAAATTCTGGAAAAATATATCTGTCGTACATAAACATTTCAGGCGGTCGGCATAAACCACGAAATTTATCTTTCAACTCCACCAAAATAATATTCTAATAAGAGCCCCCTATTTCTAATTTTGAGAGCGCCCTGGGCGCTTATTACGTCGAATACGGTAAATACATCAGCAATCGTTTGAATGTACCGGTAGGCTGCTTTGTAGTGAAGCAAGCATGGATGATAATCAAATAAGTCATTTAGTATGACCTTAGCTAAAAAACAAGATATGGAAAGAGTTCCAAACATAATGAGTGAGTATGGGGAATCGAACCAGGGTCTTCGGCGTGACAAGCGAACGCTTTAACCACTAGGCTACCCGACCGCCCCTCCAAAAATAATGAATCTACAACCTTAACAAAGATATATTTTAGAGAGAATATACACTATTCAAAAGAAGTTAAAGAACACTAATTTTTTTTCATGAGACTAAAGTTTATCTGTCATGTGATTAACTATAGTCATATGAAAAGATTGTGGACTTTTAACATCTATTGAGTAGTTTATCTTTTCATCATACCATAAAACAACAAAATGATTCGATTCAAGTGGAAATAGACATGGCAGATAACGAAATTGTTTGATCGTGAACAACAACAAAGTAAAGCAATGAAACAATAAGCATAAACCTACATGGACATATAAGGAAACCACAAGACCATGACACATCTGCCTACACTTCTCTACACTGTGTAGCAACTATTACCAAACTACTCCATCAAAATTACACAGAGATATTGACATAATCCTCAAATTTAACCTTGATACAGAATAATAAGGTCACTGGTATATTCAACACAAAAACCAGTTCAGATGGACTGGTTATTAACACATACCGGGTATGTATATATACAGCTTTACAGATTGACTTATATGTTACCATGGTTACAGATAATATCTACATCACTCCCAGGTTTATTTCATCACTGTTATCACATTGGACTTGTGCTCTACTCATACGCCGTGGTATAATAATGTACGAGGAAGAGCAATCATTTAATCGGTTAAACATCAAAACACATACAGAATCAAATCTATTAGGATAACATAGATGGTGGACATTTGCAACGGTGAGTGAGTGAGTTGGGTTTACTGCTGTTTGATCAGTTATATCAAGACGTGTCAGCTTCATGTGGGAAGAAAGCCAAATGTGATGCAGGTCTTAGACATTACCACTTTGGTGAAACCCATGAGTGTGATGGTGCTGACAAACCTAGAAACATAATCAGGGCAAACCAGGATTCGAACCCACCTCCATAGCTTTCATGCACGTCTAACTGAACATTTTCAGCCACACTGCCGGCATATATCACAACAGCGAAAAGCAACATCAACATGGCCAACATGACCAACATGGCCAACATGATCAACACAGAACAAGGGGTTGAAAGTCTCCAGACTTACTAATACAGTATTATATCCCCATTGAATGTGATCTAGCAGCAAGATATTAGTCAAAGAACTTCAAACAAAATTCCAGCCATATCACAGCAATGGCATGAAGAATACACTTCACCTTGTTCCTATGTTGGAATAGAACTGAGGGACCCTTTCCACCACATGATCTTATTGCTAAGGTGATCGTAAGTCCCATACGATCACATAGGCTTAAGATCATCATAGCGCTAAGATAGCTCCGTGGAATAGGGTCCTGATCTTCAGCCGGCCACAAACACTTTACCCGCTGTGCTATCTGGACCAAATGAGTTATAGATCTAATAGATCTCACTCTGAAACTGTTTCAAAGATACATTCAGTTTATTTATTTCGCAAACATATTGGAAGATAATTGTGACCTATCAAAACAAATTTTTGGTTCACTTTATTTTATTTTATTCATTTGCTTTACAAATAGACATTAAAGTGAGTGAGTGGGGTTTAGCACCGCTTCTAACAATATTCGGGTTATATTGCGGTGTGTCAGCTTATTGTGGCGGTGACCGAAGTGATGCAGGTCTCAGACATTTACCACTTCAGTGAAACCAACGAGCACAGGTATATTGCTGACAAACCTTGAAACATAATCGGGGCGAACCAGGATTCAAACCCACAATCATAGGTTTCTGGCGTAGCCAAGGGACACAACTCTGCACAGTGAATTGTGGCGCCTGAGATGACGGCCAGAAAAGCCCCCAAATTGACATTAAAGGAATTATTTCATAAACTTAATGAATTTCCATATAATATCAATACAGGAATATTTCATATTCAACCAAGTGAGTCTAAAAAAGCAAAGTTACCAAAATGTGGTATGTTTGTAAAGGCAGTGTAACATAAAATAAACAAAGATAAAATAGGGAGAAGGGATGGGACGACTCACTGATACAACAATGTAACATGACATATTAAGTTGCACACTAAGTTATCACAGGCTGAAATACCAACAGAAAATGACAGCTCTGTAACGATTACTTTGTTAGGCTAAAAAAAATATTAAAATTTGGTTTTCAGGCATGGCTTTTGAAAATACAGTAAACTAGGGTCATAACAAACTCAAAGGGAGATCTAATTCTAGTTCATTATAACCGTAGTTCGTAATAAGCATGTATACAGAAAATATACAGCAAAATGCCGGGACAAAAAAAGTCAGTTCGTTATATCCGTCAATTTGTTATAAACCTGTTTGTTATAAACGTAGTTTACGGTATAATACGGTGTTCTTTTTGTGGTTGTTCAAACTAGTATTTAACCAAATAAACAGTTGTGTAACCAAAAAAACAGTTATGTACAATCAACCTGGGAAAGGGCCTCCCAAAATAAATGTATTCCCCGATGAGTAAAAATACTGGAATACAGTATTTGACTACCATTGGACTTGGAATATTTAAGAATTTTTTTGTTTCTTTAAAAAAATGGAAATAAAAATGAAACGTGTAGTGAGCTTTACGATGATGCGGGCGGAGCCTGAGAACCAAGACTATTAATTTTTTAGCCTGTACAGTAGTTTTTAGTGTGCACAGTAAATGCATTACAGCATGAACCCAATATTCTCAACATCCTCGTCAACCTGTGACACTCTCTCTGTACCATGAAACATACTGGTCTTGACTTTGTGTATCGTCCCAATCCCATTGAAGAATTAAAATGAACAAAGAGTATACACATATTAAGCATCTTCCCGAAGCATGAGAGTTAACGGACTATAAAAGTCCAGTTTCCACCCTTGCCGAACTAGATTGGTATTATGGAGTTACATTTTGACAGCAAACTGTCGCGCAGATTTCGGTCAATTGCAGGATTTGCAAAGCATGTGCACCGCCTGGTCGTTGTCAGCAGATATTTTCCAAACCTTTTCATGTTTTTAATCAAGGTGCTTGCGTGATTTGATGCACTTAGCGATGTAAGACTCGTTTTATCACAATATAGATCTTGATTATTGATCAGATCGTCTTGACTGGGCGCCACTGTTTTGTTTGAAACAAATGCAAGTGATGGAATCTGATTGGTCCATAGGACAGGCTTAGAAGGGACATAACTCGTAATAACCACTTGTGGCGCTACGATCGAGCCCTGGAATTCCAGCCAAGTTCGGCAAGGGTGGAAACTGGACTTTTAAAGTCAGTTAACTCTCTTGCCTAGGGAAGATGCATATTAAGATGAACTACACAACATTAAAATGATCAGGTTAGTGTAGCATGGTACACCATATTATCGCGGTAGTTAATTAATAATGGATCAGAATGGCAAACACTTACTGACCTATTAAATATGTCATAAATGTTTCTTGTTCTTTGTTCAACTTTTATGACATATTGATCGATGCTGATTTTCTTTACCGAGGTCGGTAAACAAAGTACCTGTCATTAGCGACTCAAGTGCAGGCAACTCTGTATTACTGAAGTATGGCTATTTTCTGTTACGATACATCACTTCCTGTTTTGGATTATGCATAATCAATATGCATACGACCTAGGTTGGGTTAAAGAACTTCATCCAAACAAATGGGTTCTTTTCTAATCAATTACGAATGGAAGTAGGGGTAATTCCACTTCAAAATCATTTCAGAAACTATCATAAAAAAGTTAACATGTATACTTACGAGTAGCCATGACATACTGCAACGAGTCCTGTATTCGATCAAGCAATAAAATATCACGCTTAGATGTGCATAGGTAAACAGTTGACAGGGGGTGTGGACTTCAAGATTTACCGTTACCGCAATAATATGGAGCCAGCGATAATAGAGAGTCATACCATACTAACAAGCTTTTCTCCGAGAGTACTTCCTCGTTGACCTGAACTCATTTTCTCCCCGACTTCTCGTTAGATGTACCCATTACCTTCTCCTGCTGTATGCGAGCATATTTAGCGTGATTTTTCTCAGTTTATTGATTTACAGATCCACAAGCCCTAAAAATATATAAAGTGGATTTTCTTTCTGAAAAGCACTACATTTTCTTATTCCCCTAAGCAAACTGATGTGTGAATCACGTTCAATACTGTGCATACAGAAAGTCAAACATCAAGTGCATCAAGACACGCAATATACAATGTATTCAGATAACACGGAAATTCCAATTTTTCACAAACAAATCTATAAAGTAATATAACAGTGTGTCCCAGTGGTGACCATTCTGTTACACCAGTTGTATGTGACGACACGCTAAAGTACACGTTTGTTCAAAGAAACATTTGCATCCAACTGAGATAGATACAACACTGCTACACTCCGACCCTACACTTAAGCTACCCTGGTTTTGTTCAGGTTGTTTTCCCCCAGGGGAAACACTCTTGACAGACCACAATGTCTCCCTCCGTACCACCATCTGACTGCTTTGTACTGTGGCTCACATGTGCCGGCGCAGGTCACAGTCATATTGTCCCTCGCAAGTAAATATCACACTTGCAATATCAATATTAAACCATGCATTTATCATTGAGGAAATTAAAAAACTAGAAAGTTGTGTAAATACATTTAAAATCAACACAAATCAACATGATCAAGGGTGACATTTTATATAAAAATGTTTCTTTCCTTCCAAATTTTAGCTGTATCAGTAACCGGAACAAATTTGTTTACTTTCTGTTTCGCTTTTTGTAACATTGATCTACTTTAAATATTTTCAGCTTGATTGCACTATGTTTTGTTTGACCTGACATTTTAAAACAAATCTAACACCAGTTTGTCCGAAAAAGAACCAACTTCAACAAAGAAACAGTTCTGTGAAATGTATAAGCAACGCTTCAATGGTTCGTTACCATGGTTACAGCAAAAACATGCTGGACAAAGCATTGGAGGGCCAAGCATAGAGGGAAGGAAGTACTAAGAAATATGTAAAACTGAAATTGGTTGCTTCAAGTTCATTCCAGTTTGTGCTGGTTTCAGCTTCCCCCGGCTGCCTGCATTGCCGTCCGCTCCACTCGGAAGTCATACTGGTACTGAAGAGGAGAGAGGAGGGATGGTATCAACATGGAGGCAATAGATTGCTCGTCTTGGGACTCAGAAAGTGTTGTTTAATGCCAATTAGCACTATTCCAGCTATATCATATGAGTTTGTGAAAAATGGAGTCTGGATCTGGTTGACCAGTGGTTGACAGCATGAGCACCCTTACAAAGTGTGACAGTATGATAGCCATTGTGGCCACCAGAGTCTCAATCAGTCAACTCTTAATATAGGAGTCTCATTTAGTCAACTCTTAAAATAGGAGTCTCATTTAGTCAACTCTTTATATAGGAGTCTCATTTAGTCAACTCTTTATATAGGAGTCTCATTCAGTCAACTCTTTATATAGGAGTCTCATTTAGTCAACTCTTAATATAGAAGTCTCATTCAGTCAACTCTTTATATAGGAGTCTCATTTAGTCAACTCTTAATATAGGAGTCTCATTGAGTCAACTCTTTATATAGGAGTCTCATTCAGTTAACTCTTTATAGAGGAGTCTCATTCAGTCAACTCTTTATATAGGAGTCTCATTCAGTCAACTCTTTATATAGGAGTCTCATTCAGTCAACTCTTTATATAGGAGTCTCATTCAGTTAACTCTTTATAGAGGAGTCTCATTCAGTCAACTCTTTATATATGAGTCTCATTCAGTCAACTCTTTATACAGGATTCTCATTTAGTCAACTCTTTATATAGGAGTCTCATTCAGTCAACTCTTTATATAGGAGTCTCATTCAGTTAACTCTTTATAGAGGAGTCTCATTCAGTCAACTCTTTATATAGGATTCTCATTTAGTCAACTCTTTATATAGGAGTCTCATTCAGTCAACTCTTTATATAGGAGTCTCATTCAGTTAACTCTTTATAGAGGAGTCTCATTCAGTCAACTCTTTATATATGAGTCTCATTCAGTCAACTCTTTATATAGGAGTCTCATTAAGTCAACTCTTAATATAGGAGTCTCATTTATTCAACTCTTAAAATAGGAGTCTCATTTAGTCAACTCTTTATATAGGAGTCTCATTTAGTCAACTCTTTATTAGGAGTCTCATTCAGTCAACTCTATATATAGGAGTCTCATTCAGTTAACTCTTTATATAGGAGTCTCATTCAGTCAACTCTTTATATAGGAGTCTCATTTAGTCAACTCTTTATATAGGAGTCTCATTTAGTCAACTCTTTATATAGGAGTCTCATTCAGTCAACTCTTAATATAGGAGTCTCATTTAGTCAACTCTTTATATAGGAGTCTCATTCAGTCAACTCTTTATATAGGAGCTTCATTCAGTCAACTCTTTATATAGGAGCTTCATTCAGTCAACTCTTTATATAGGAGCTTCATTCAGTCAACTCTTTATATAGGAGCTTCATTCAGTCAACTCTTTATATAGGGGGCTCATTCAGTCAAGTCTTACAATAGGATTCTCATTTAGTCAACTCTTTATACAGAAGCCTCATTCAGTCAACTCTTTATATAGGAGTGTCATTCAGTCAATTCTCATACCTCATTTTCAACATCCATCATGGACTTGTATCTGATCTCCGGAATAGTTATCTGCAAAAGAGATTAAGAACAAATTAAGACCATCCACTTGAGTGAACATCGTTTTACACTAATAGTCCAAAATATATCATGGCTGCTATATTTGATGTGTAGGCATCTTAATATATGAAACCTCCAGCCTACATCGGGCATCAAATACATCCACATGCTCAATGACACCTGCATAAAGAAAATCTCTTAAAGTTTTACAGGTTTAACATACATACATCATTTGTCTTCAACCGGGAGTTGAGTTGCCAGGGCACTCCATTCAAAGCTGAAAGAGAAAATTACACAATAAAAAACATGCAGGGACCTAGCTGTGCTATCTACTTGTGAGTGAGTGAGTTTAGTTGCTTCGAACAGTATTTCAGTTATACCACGGCATGTCAGCTTGAAGTGGGAGGAAAGCGATGCAAGGCTTAGATGTTTACCACGTCTGTGAAACCCATGAGCACAGGGATGGTTCTGACAAACCCAGAAAACTAATCAGCGCCAACCGGGATTCGAACCCACAATCATAAGTTTCTGGCATGCCCAAGGGAGGCAACTCTGCACAGTGAATTGCAGCCCCTTAGACGACTGGGCCACCTGTGCCCGTTATCTAGTTGTGAGCCATGTGGACTCTCAGTTACAGTGAGTGAGCCAAGTTGTACACTACTGCCTGCTATAGTTAAGCAATACAGGGGACAACAGATATCTTCTATTCTAAGGAACTACCTCCATTACATCATTGCCATAAATTCTTGTTTGGGCTGACCATCACACTATGAAATATGATGTTGACATAAAATGCCAGAAGTAGAAGATCAAGAACAAAATATCAGGCAATAGACATCTGTTTTCTTCTGTCTGTCTTCACTGCTGTCAACTATCTAGGGATACTAGAAGCCAGATCCCAGGAATTATCAAACAATAGTTATAGGGTTTTCCTCACAACTAATAGATAGGTTGGAAATGAAGAGGACATCTGTTGAAAATCTAAGACTTTATTGATGGTCAGCCAAAACAGGAATTTCCGGCTATGATGTAACAGATGTAAGGTGTTCAAAGGAATCCCAATGTGGGAGATTTGACCTGGGTCATTAGCCTGACAAGCTAACACTTAACCACAAGGCTAACCCACTGACCCACCTTCAGTAATGTTTGTTTGTTTTTAACGCCGCACTCAGCAATATTCCAGCAATATGACGGTGGTCTGTAAATAATCGAGCCTGGACAAGACAATCCAGTGATTGACATCATGAGCATCGATCCATGCAATTGGGATACAATGTTATTTATTAACCAAGTCAGCGAGCCTGACCACCCGATCCCATTAGTCGCCTCTTACGACAAGCATAGTCGCTTTAAACGGCAAGCATGGGTTCCTGATGACCTATTCTGACCCTGATCTTCACGGGTCCCTTCAGTAATGGATTCAGGAATGGATTGACTTACGGTTGATGTGAGTAAGTGAGAGTTGAGTGGTGAGGGTGCCCTGCTTGTGTCCGTTCACAGCCGGCTGGCCACCAGGGTTCATCTCATATGGCAGCGACGTCCCTAGTGGGGTCCTGGAAACAACAAACACTACAAATCAGCTGTCTAACACTCAGAAACAAAACAAAACCTTTACAGCTGTCTAATACTCAGAAACAAAACAAAACTTTTAGAGCTGTCTGTTTGTTTGTTACTCAACTCTATATTCCAGCTACATGATGGCATCCCGTAAATAATCGAGTCTGGACTGAAATTCCAGTGATTGACATCATAAGTGTTGATCTACGCATTTGGGATATGATGGCATGCATCAACCAAGTCGGCGAGTCTGAGCACCCAATCCTGTTAGTTGCCTCTAAAAACAAACATTGGTTGCTGAAGACCTATTCTAACCAGGATTATCATGGAGTTATAGGCTGCACAGAATGGCAGGAGACAAAGTAAAAAATAAGTATAAATCAGATATCCTAGAAGTTTATGCTGTCATGGTTAGGGATTAACGAAGGCAGCCTTGTTAATTAACATTGTACCCCTCCTTCATAACCTTAACGCATCAGCCAACAGAAAGGTGCTGTTCTTATCAGTACAGTTCTTACAACCAAACATTGAGAGGACTTAAAAATTAATTAAGAGAAAGTTGTTTTTTTAATGTTGACTAATTTCTGTATCAAAAGAAATGAAGTAAAACAACGCAAGTGGAAGGGAGATGACTCCGTAACTTGTCATTCAAAGAAACACCCAGTCTGTTTTGCAGATCCTGAACAAATATATCCAACTACAGCCCATGCAAGTCTATAATAGTTGGCAAGTCTAGACTACTGCAGTTTCGGTTTCTGAAAATGAAGAGCCTCTAAGATATTTTCATTTCAGAGTCTAGATGTTAGTCTAAGAAATCCCCAGCAATTCTTTAACATAGTTTTGTTACATATTTCAACCAACTGACCATGACATTACCTTAGAAAAAGATATTGCAATGTTATTTTTATTTTACACACAGGTGCCTTCCAATTATTAAAAATGATAAATTTATTATTCTTGACTACTAGCTCCAATACTGTGTTATAGGTTAACAATAGCCATCCTGATCTACATGGAGTGAGACTCACAGACTGATGGTCCCCGCACCCCCTCCAGCGTGTGGCATGGGGTAGGGGAGCTGGCTGGACAGGTGGCTTGCCTCTGTCTTTGTCACCCTCCCCATCTTGAAGCACATGGACAAGTGGTTCAGCTCTCTGAAACATGGACACAACTCAAAACAATGGCATCCTTGGGGACCAGTTCAAAAGTTCATTAAGGATAAATCTTTTTTTATAAACCTCCAGTGTTGTTTGTTTATTGTTGTTTGATACCTTTTACAGCAAGCATGGGTTCCTGATGACCTAATCTACCCCGAATCTTCACGGGTCAAACCCTCCAGTGACATCATCCTATTGTTCTCCAGTCGGGTTAAATCTCATAAAAGGGGGCGTTGTAAATAGCCCTGGGATTATATATGATATCCCAGGCATATTAGCTGCATAATATATTATAATTTCCCGGATATTTTATATAATATCCCAGGGATTTTATTAATACAACTTCTACTCATATTTTGTCCTAAATGTAAGAACAAATGACAAATGTTTTCTTTATATTCTCGAGGATCAAATACGCAACCTTCGTATCTGTAGCCCAGTGAATGTCCCACTAGGCTACAGAGGCGCTGATAAATCACAATGCTTTTAAGAATATCTTTTTCAAGTACTACACAACAGCAACAAATATTTTACGCCTGTTTCCGTTTCACCCCAAACACAACTACCAGCTTCTCACCCAACAAATGTGTAGCCATTTGGCGGCTTCCGCGTCCCTTTTGACATCAGAATGAGCTCTGTGATAGCATCATTGGTCAGTGTTTGGTTCATCAACCGGATACATAACAATCGCTTCTTCAGCGCTTTTTCTCCTGAAGCACAAACATTAACAGATAGAAATAGTATTTACTGTCATTGCCAACAGTGTCAGTTGCCAAAGACACGATACTTTTTGTCACAATACACTACACTACTCAAAAGAAGTTGAAGAACACCTGATTTTCTCCTATGGCGATGGGGGCACGGGTGGCCCAGTCGTCTAAGGCGCTGCGATTCGCTGTGCAGAGTTGCGTCCCTTGGGCACGCCAGAAGCCTATGATTGTGGGTTCGAATCCCGTTCACCCTGATTATGTTTCTAGGTTTGTCAGCACCATACCCGTGCTCGTGGGTTTCACCGAAGTGGTAAACGTCCGAGACCTGCATCACTTTGGGCTTTCCTCCCACATTAAGCTGAAACGCCGCGATATAACTGGAATACTGTTAAAAGTGGCGTTAAACCCAACTCACTCACTCATATGGCGATAGTTACTCTGTCATGGCTGGTGGGTATTGCAACACACAGCCTTCCACTACTTTAAGTAGTATATATTTAACATGATTTAAATTTGTAATACAATACATGAAAACTTAAGTCATTTACCATGTTTATTCTAATGATACAGTGCATTGTCAAACCATGTTACCTATCCCCAGATCTCTATATTCACTTCGACTCAACATACAGGAAACTACGTTCATAACAAACATGTTTATAACGAACTGACAGATATAACAGACATATTTTTTGGTCCCAGCCATTTGCTATATATGTGCTGTGTATATGTTTATAACAAACTGGGGTTATAACAAACTCAAATTAGTGGTCCCGTTGAGTGTTATAACCTTAGTTTACTGTACTTAAAAAACTGACATGCATCGTGTTGCCATAGCAACTTACGTGTATCCTGTGTGAAGTCCAGAACGGTGAAGCCAGGGGGTACTGGGTCCTTCTCATTTATTATCACAACATCAACTAGAACATCCTGATTCTGCAAGGCACAAAAAAACAAATACATCACTTTAATTCCTCTTCCAAGTGACCACATGTTGAAATCATACAAAGGCAACTTGAAAACTAGACGAGGTATTCAACATTTTAAATGTAACTTTGTACATGAAATCATTTGAAACTAATATTAACATTAAGGACAAATTTAATTCCTAATATATGTAAAAATGAAGACACTATCAGCGAAAACTATTTTTTCAAAATGGTTGAAATAGGTACTGTGAGACACTGTTTACCAGCTTACCCATGCCTTCAGCATGACGAGCGAAAGCTTTAACCACAAGGCTACCCCACCATGCCCACCGCAATTTGGACAACATGCGGTGGGCATAATTTCACATAAATATTTCATTTAGTCTACTCATTCATCATCATTATGCCATCCTGATAAGTCCTGATAAAGCTCTCGAAATTCATGCCATTCCACCAGCCTTAGACAACTAGATTGTGCAGAGGACATGTAAGAACCCAATGATGGTAGTCGTCATGGACTAGTAGCACTTGAGTTCTCAATGCTCCAATTTTGTTATTTTTCCAATTTTACAAATTTGAACTGAATAAAACAGCTAGAAAATGTAAACACAGTAGACACTTTTCACTCATTCAAGCAGGAGGAGCCATAAACTGGGGATGAGTGAACAAAATTTACACAAGTCCTACGGTAAGTCTTAAAAAACATGGAATTTCTAAGACTGCTGCTTGATGTATTTATCACCTCTGCAGGGACTGTCTTCTCCACACACAAGTATCTGGTGACTCGACGGCCGAATATTCCATCCTTCCACAGGTCTGCCTCCTCCGCTCCATTGAAGGTTTTCTCAATCTGACAAGACACAAGGATTTGTTTGTTTGTTTGTTGTTTAACACCACACTATTCCAGCTATATGATGGGAGTCTGTAAATAATCTGGACCAGACAGTCCAGTGATTGACATCATGAGCATCAATCCATGCAATTGGGATGATGACATGCATCAACCAAGTCAGCAAGAAATACTCTCACACCCATTTGTGTCAGGCTGTGTTCAACATTTTTAAACACAACGTGTTCTTCTGCATGCAATCAGATTCCAACTCTCTTATCACTTGCATTTGCTTCAAACAAAATGGTGGCGCCCAGTGAAAACGATCTGATCGAAAATCAAGATCTATATTCTAATAAAACGGGTCTTACCCTGCAAAGCGCACCAAATCACTTGAGCACCTTGAATAGAAACATGAACAGATTTGCAAAATATGTGTCGACGTCCAGTTGATGGTAAGCATGTCTAGCACATCCTGCAGTCAAACAAAATCTGCACGGTGAAATCTATGTTGTTTATGAACCAGATGTCAGGTTTGTTACACAATTTTGATTGGACTATGCATAGACTCGTTAGTCCAGCCAAAATGTAACTCCGAAATCCCAGCCTAGTTCAGCAAGGGTGGAAACTGGACTATTACCATGATTACAGTCAGTTAATGCCCTTGCCTCAGGAAGATGAGTGATGCACTACAACATTAAGAAGACACAAGTTTCCACTTACAACAGAATGATTCCCCGGACATTTGGCAATGTCTGTGACGATGCAGACTGACACGATCGGAAGATCATTAGCCATTGAAGCAGGCTCACTCTGACCTGAAAACAGGAATAAACATCAACATGATCAACATTAAGTCATCTTGTTCACAGTGTAGCAGACATGGAAGGCCTGACAGTTCATAGAGGTGTACACACATCTCAAAATATCAATGACCATTTCTCATCAGTGATCACCCACAGCTTCTGCCTACTGTAACTAGTCCCTCTCCTAGACACAGAGAATAATTAAAAAAGAAATCCAACTCAATAGTGAGGTAAGGTGAGGTGAGATGGAGTTTAACGTCCAAGATTATTGCACTTATATAGCGACGTGCATGTACGTGTGTGTGTTTGTGTGACTGCTTGTACTAGTCCGGACTGATGCCGATTTATAGTGCTAGCCCGTTGAGATACCATGCCGCAGTTTAACATGAATACCCCACTCAGACACAGTATACTGACTCCGAGCCAACCAGTCATTGTTTTAGCCCCTTTATGCCCGCGCCAGACAGGGTAACAAGAAGTACCATCTTTAAACGTCTTTTTGTATGACGCGGCCGGGGATCGAACCCCGAACCTTCCACTCTCTGGGCGGACGTTCTACCACTAGACCACGGAGGCGGGCCCAACACAATAGAGGTGTAATGATATGGTGATACACTATTGTATCGTGATACCAGGCCCACGATACAATACATCGACTTACAACCCATGTATCACGATACATATGATACATTACAAGTATTATTGGTGTAAACGTGGTAAAAACTTGTGAATAATAACGGAACTGTTTAACCACCAGCTTACCCAGAGTCTCTAGTATTTCATGGCTGGACATAAATAGCATAACATTCAAAGTGCCCTCTACCAATAAATTTCTGCCTTACAATATCCCATTTTTGATTTCTGAAATTCAATAACAAATGTTTCTGGGTTGTAATTCACCTGTGAAAAGAAAGAATATCAACTTGAAATCAAAGTCCTGTATCGTGATGTGAATCGCATCACAGTCATAGTATCAGGACATGTATTGTATCATGACCAGACCATATCATTACACCTCTACAACTCAAGTCTAGAATGATTTGGCAAGTCTAGATTGCTTCAGCTCCAAGCATTGTTCTGGTATCCATTTGGATTTTCCTGTTTATTTAGTAGATATATACGTATTTTTAAATGAGGTAACTTTATTTCTGAAACAAAATGTTAGTCTGTACTGTAGTGAGTGAGTGAGTATGGTTTTACACCGCTTTAAGCAATATTCCAGCAATATCACGGCGGGGGACACCAGAAATGGGCTTCAAACATTGTACCCATGTCGGGAATCGAACCCGGGTCTTTGGAGTGACGAGCGAACGTGTTAACCAGGCTACCCAACAGCCCCTAGTCTGTACTGTATGTAACCTCCGTTCACTCTTCTCAAATGTATTTACAGTTCTTTTTGTGGATTTATCCACAGCGCTTAACCATGTTAACACTATTCAAATCTGTTTCATAATGCAAAACTAATGGAAACGTGTGTCAACCCAAATATTATTTATCAATATGATGAAATGATTAGAAATGTTTCTTATCAACAGGTTCTCAATTCGAAACAGAAGAAAACATCACTTCATAATTTGGGCTGTCATGGCCTGCCTATATTGCCATGTTACAACTACAATACCTGCTTTACAAACACTAATGATGAAAGCCATATGTCTTATTCCCTGTATACATGGTATAATATTATCATGACATAACATTTATACTAAGTTTTCCTATAATAATTAGATCCACATCCAGTGCTTTTATGAGTTATCATGGTGTAATATTTATACATCATTTCATATAATTATAGTTTAGCAAGTAATACTTTATACATCATTTCATATAATTATAGTTTAGCAAGTAATACTTATCATCAGGTAAAATGCATATATAAAATATCAGTATTCAGTTATAGCTTGTTAGATAGATGTTAGCCTAAGGTAATGGGAGCGCATCTCCTAGACATACTATTCAATAAGACAAGAGTTATGTCTACATAGTTTAATAGATTTGAAGCTTTTAGATAAATGCCTAAGGTATTATTGCCTTGAACTATTTTATTTAAGTAAATCTGTCACCTGTATTAGAATAACATTCAGCAATTACTTCAATTTAGACTCATTAAGGATTAGCCCCAATACAAGCTCGTCTATTGTGATACCATAATCTCTTTCCAAGCACCCAGTAAATATGTCAACAAGATTAGTGCCAACAGGATTAACAGGATTAAGTATTCACCTCTGTCTAGCCATTCATTTAGCATAGGGCACAACCCATCGTGTATCAACCAATCATATTCCTTTTTATTGTTCTAATTTTTGTTAAATACATACTGAAGCAAAATGTTAGGCAGAAGGGGTTTGACACTCTAACCAAGCAGATCTCTCTCCCACAGCCTAGAGGGTTGTACCAACTCTCTGTGGCACCCCCAGCTATATTTCTAAGATATTGTCAATTGCTCATTATTAATTGTTCTTGTAAATAAAATTGTAATTAATCTCCTATGACTCCGGCTCTTTGCTGACTAATTCCCCCAAGAAAACCAGCATGCCATTTGGACGGTTTTGTTCATCCGAACATTCCATAATAATATTATGAAGATCAACATTCTGGATGCGGACTGTGTCTGCAGAAAACAATAACAAGCAGGTTCCACTAGTCCTTAGTCCTGCACCATGACCGTGGAATATATTTATTTTATGAAAAAATAATAATCTAGAAATGCATACAAAAGCAAGTCTAGCCAGCTCAAGCTAGCTCTATTCTGAAATCAGCATAGGGTATTTTTTTATTTTTAGAGTCAAGAAGGATATTGTGTAATATATGATTTCAGAGACTAAATGTTAGTCTAACTAGTCCTATATACATGATACACCAGTTAGTATAAATCTTCTCAACAATAGCTTAGCGTGAAAGACACAAGTTCAGCACCAGATATCACCACTGATGATACCTACTGCTCTCAGCAAGCCTTGGTGTTTTAATCTTTGATCGACTCCTGTTGACATATTCTATATCTGAACAAATGCTGAAGGCACTCTATTGGCTATTTCTTGTTGCTACAGTGATCATCCTCTTTGGCTAGGACCCTTGACTTAATTTGCACAGTGATAACTGTTGTAACAATATTCAATATTCATCAACAGGCATGTTTTTAAGATCCTTAGGGTTAGGAACCCTATTCTGTTCAAACATGCCTCCATGATCATTAGGGTTCAGCACCCTGTTCTGATCAAACATGCCCCATTCTTGGCATGCCTCTCTCGGCAATATTCCCGCAATATCATGGCAGGGGACACCAGAAATGGGCTTCACACATTGTACCCATGTCGGGAATCGAACCCGGGTCTTCGGTGTGACTACTACTACAACTGTGACAGTGAGGTGCATGACAATATAGCATTACATATCAATATGACTGTTTCGCTAGCTCTCCGTAGGTTTTCGATGACAGCTAGAGGCAAAATGCGCAAATGTACATAGTTTTTCTAGTTTTAGATATTTTCTCAATGAAAGTCAAACATATCATGACATATGTTTATCTAAATGTGTAGACATGTCCAAAATGAAACTGATGAAAAAACATGAATGGACATTGTAAGTGTAAGAGGTACTAGACTGGCAACAGAGAACTTTACGTAGGAGAGTTGATTGGCCCCATACGACCAAGGCATATTTATATCACAGTCATGGCTCTGATAAACATTTGCTTCTAATCTAATTAAGCTTTCAATTAATACATTTCTTTCTGACTATGCACCCATTCCTTCTGATTTTTATATGTTTGAGTAAAGACAAAGCTTCAGTCAACTTCAGTTGACGATCAGCATGATCACATTGTTTTAAACTACAGTAAACTACGGATATAACGAACTCAAAGGGACTACTATTTTTAGTTCGTTATAACCGTAGTTCGTTATAAGCATATATGCAGCATAACTACAGCAAATAGTCGGGACTAAAAAGTTAGTTCGTTATATCCGTCAGTTCGTTATAAGCGTGTTCGTTATAACCGTAGTTTACTGTATATATAAATACTTTTTGCCAGGCCTCCAGTCAAAAACTTCCGATTTGAAGAAGTTTCAATTAATACTTCTTTCTTTTTAATTTGCACGTAACATAAACATGATAAAACATGACTGAAGCCAGTTTGCGGCTTCACTGTGCAGAGCTCGATTGTTTTGGTTTGAGAATTGAATCGGGCATGAACTAACGGAGTGTTGTCACACTCGGAAATAATTTCATGCATGATTTAAAAACACACAGAACTGTCAACTTATGGCCCCAACTTATTGTCCCTGGTTAGCCATCTCATTCTATGGCTTCTATTATCAACTGTTAATATCAAATATCAAATCATATATTTCTGAGTAAATCCATATTTGTTAACGATTTTTGCAGATCATGTTTAATGAACAGGTATCAGGTAACATAGCAACACTTTCAATTTTTGACTGGGGCCCTGACAACACAGACAACAATGATAAATCTAAATCTTGCACAAGATTAAGCCAATGAAAAGATTCGATTCCTTGTCTTGAGAAAATATCCATGACATTTTCTCGAGTGTCTCCCTAACATCACCATAGTCCTTGTGACAGACAACCTCACGAGACTGCCGTGGTGACTCAGTGTCATACCATCACTTTACAAATACTGTTTCAAACCTTTCGTCTGTTTTCTGTTTGACTGAGAGCGGATCTTCACACACAAACATTTCATCTTTATTCCATTCGTCCGTTTTAACGCCACTAGTTTACAGTGTGACTTATATGGCCATTAAGATGTGTATACACATTTCATGATCTTACCTATTGTAAATCGACGATAATCAATCAAGTAACAGATGTGAAATGTTCATTCGTGTTTGGAAAAAGTCCTTGCTCAATACGTTTCTAAATATAGATCGTGGGACGACTTCCGGGTAAAGTTTTCTCGAAAGTTTGCACGAAAATGAAACGAAATCGTATACGACTGAATAGGCCCTTATGGTCATTTCCAAAGTGGGTTGAAAAACTAAGGAGTGTTCTTGACAAACTGTCAGTGATGCTGCTCATTTCAAGTCAATCAGTGATTAAACTAGGTGTTTGCTTCAACCCACACAAAGACACACTGCAATGGCGAGATATTTATGACAAATTAATTCAGACAACAATAAAACAAAGGACCATGTAACTAATGATAACAAAATAACTTGATATTTTGCGAATTTTTTGTTAATTATTATTATTATTATTATTAGTTACATGGTCCCGTGATTAAACGTACGTCATATGGATATTACAAATTTCTTCCGTATCTAATCCTCGATATCACCAGTCCTTGTCCAATTTTAGAAACAGGAAATATATGCATGTACATAGCTATGCATGTATAAAATTAAATATAGCATTTACTGAACGTGAAATCCGTAAAGGACCGTGTTAAAATAGGTCTTCAACAACCCATGCTTGCCGTTAGAGGCGATCATACCTATGTTTGTCGTAAGAGGCGACTTACGGGATGGGATGGTCAGGCTTGCTGACTTGGTTGATGCATGTCATCGTATCCCAATTGCGTGGATCGATGCTCTTGATGTCAATCACTGGATTGTCCTGTACAAATTCGATTATGTACAGACCGCCGTCACATAACTGTTCAAATGAGCTGAGGACATGATTGATCTAGTCAAAGGCCCCCTTGAAGAGATAGGTCTTCAGAGTATTTTTAAAGTTTCTTGTGGTAGATTGTCCAGTAGTCATGGGCCAGCATGTTGAAATGACCTATCGCCATGTGGTACCACGTGCAGATGTTGATCTTTTGATCGGAGAGAACATGCTGTAGATATGCAGGCTGCCAAAAATGAAGAGTGAATAGACTCTTTGTTGGAATGGTAACCAGTGCAGTTCAGTCAATATGGGAGTGATGTGTTCTCCCTTAAGGGCGGGCCATTTTGAAAAAAACAACACAGCTCATATTTTTGTGTAAATAATTAACTCAGCCCCCATCTGCTTGAAAAACAAACAAACTCAGCCTCAATAAAAAGTCTTGAAAGCGATATGGCAACCCTCTTCGATACAGAGTATTTCGTGAACAAAGCCACATGAGAGGCAATACGTCTGTAATTAATAATCATTTCAAATCTTTCATTTCAAGAGGTCACCTCATGCAAGTCACTGTGTTGTATCCTCGGAGAAGGTTTATGGACTCCACTTGTCCGGCTCTGATATGATTGAAACAGTCGACAGTGATGTGAGATGACCATAGTGCATCATTTACCCTGACTTGGTAAAAAAAAATAAACATAGATTAAAAATAAAAATAGTTTATTACAATAACCGAAACTGACAACCAACATTGTTGTTCCCAAAAAACAGAACATGACCCATGTCAAGGAACATACTTGTATTGTCAAAAGACATGAATTAACAACATCATTACGTTCAAGTCAACATCAAGTTATGGCCTAATGTGTACCCTATTGCAGTTTGAGATGCATCAGTTGTGAGGATGAAGGGTTTGTTTTGGTCGGGATATGCAAGGATGGGGACTGTTGTATGGGCTTGCTTTAGCTTTCGGATGCCTGTTGAAAGACACGTCTTTTTCAGAAGGTTGTATTTCAGAAGGGGTGGCGATGCCAGAAACTTTAGCTACAAATCTACAGTAATACGAGGCCAAACCTAAGAAATGGCGCATGTCATGGACACTTTATGGGGTGGGATCTGTGTGACTATCTATTTTTGAAGGATCAACGTGGATGCCATCTTTGCTGAAGATATGCCCAAAGTAGCGAACCTGTTTTGTGGCGTATTTATTTCTGCTTGATTTACATTTACCTTAGACTAACATTTAGTCCAAGAAATATTCGTAAAAAAATATTTACCTACGAAATAAAAAAAAATGAATCCAAATGGGGCCAAGAACAATGCTAAATTTCAGAGGTGGGGCAATCCAAACTTGCCAAATTAGTTAAGACTTGAGTTAAGACTCCTTTATTTAATGTATCCTCTAGGGCCTGGGAGAAACAAATACACCAATACAGCCCATGCAAGTCTATAATAGTTGTCTAGATTACTGCACTTTCTGAAAACGAAGAGAGTTTCTGGGTTCTTTTTTATTATGTTTTTGACATAATTTAACAACTGTTTTTTTCTGTAAAATATTTTCATTTCAGAGACTAGAAATTAGTCGAGCTAGAAAGAGTAACCGTACGTCTGTGTTAAAGAATGTGACATACCTTAGTCCCTTTGGGCAACCAGGCCCAGACACTCGACCGTTTGATCGGGTGCTCAGGCTCGCTGACTTGGTTCATGCGTGTCATTGCGTGGTTCGATGTTCATGTTGTCAGTCACTTTATTGTCTGGTCTTGACTCGATTATTTACAGACCGCCGTCATATAGCTGGAATATTGCTGAGTGCGGCCTTAAACAACAAACAAACAAGCAAAAAGTAAATATGTTTGTTGTTTAACGCCGCACTCAGCAATAATCCAGCATTATGACGGCGGTCTGTGTAAATGATCGAGTCTGGACCAGACAATCAAGTGATCGACATCTTGGCCATCGATCCACGCATGACATGCATCAAGCAAGACTATCTCAGGCGCTGAACTGACGCCCGTCAGGCAAACTCTTGAGAGAGAGAGAGAGAGAGAGAGAGAGAGAGGGATTATCGGACTTACATAGCGACATCCATGCACGTGTGTATGTGTGAGTGAGTTGGGTTTAACGCCGCTTTTAACAGTAATTCAGTTACATTACGGCGTGTCAGCTTAATAATAATCGTTATTTATTATATCATCAGATAACCTCCGCCTGTTTTGCCTGGCACATATTTAGGAAATCTACTAATGCCGTCATTCAATAATTGGGAACAAAGAGTTGCATATGAAGTTATGAAAAAAGATAATTTCAAGTACAGATCGAGAAAATGTTTCCAAAATCCCCCAAAGGCACTGTTGCTCACCCGGTACAATCAAAGAGAGGTAACTGTTTTAGTTTCCTCCAATTTGAACTCAGTCACATCTATTGATTTTCTCAACCACAGCTAATGACAGAGCTTAACATTTGACATGACCTTGTTACAACCTGTACTTCACACTATGTGACCTTGACCTTCCATCTTTGCCAATCATTTGTGAAAACATTCTTTGTTGCAAACTTAGGAAGTGAAGGATATTTTAAATGATTTCTCATGAATTTACCCAAAACTTCCGGAAATGTGAGCCATGATTCATTATGTGACCTCTATTGACCTTGATCTCATGGACCAACCAAATGTTGATGCAATTGAGACCCTAACCTGGAGATCATGCATATTAAGTGTGGTCACATTCTGTTCATAAGTACTCATATGATCATATACACAAGTGTGTTATGCCTAATTCACACCCGGCCTTCAATGTCATATGCAAGAACATATATATTTGCGACCATGAAGAGGGTAGAAAAGGCCTTCAGCAACCCATGCTTGCCGTAAAAGGCGACTATGGGACTATGCTTGTGGTAAGAGGCGGCTAACAGGTGTTTTATCTGGAGACTGAAATATTGTGAAAATCATTTTCCTTGATATGAATTAATAATAATGATGTTGCAATAATTAAGGCCATCATATTCGATTTTGTTGTCTGCCATCATATTCGATTTTGTTTTCTTAGTAGTGAGTGAGTATGGTTTTACGCCGCTTTTAGCAATATTCCAGCGATATCATGGCGGGGGAGACCTGAAATGGGCTTCACAAATTGTACCCATGTCAGGAATCGAACCCGAATATTCAGCGTGATGAGCGAACGCTTTAACCATTAGGCTACCCGACCGCCCCTTGTTGTCTTGGTAAGAAAACAAACATGTATGTAGAATCTTTATTTTGTCATGATGATTCATGTACGTCACATGTGCCCTCCGAGGCAGGCACCCTTGATTTTTCTTCCCTCTCCATCCTGAAGAGTTCAGCCTGTGCAGACAAGTGCTGCCTCCTGTGCTGGAAGTACTGTTGTCTCTTCCTCTTCTTCTCCTCTGTCACATCGGGCGGGGCAGGTGGAAGCAGTGTGTCGGACAACTTGTAGTACACGGTGCTGGTGTCGGAGTCACACACTGCAAGGGTGAGGCTGGAAATAGAGTATTATACATGTAAGGGCCAACCATTGGATATAAAGGGAGTGTAGAGAGAGAGGAAGGTGAAAACAAATTCTCATGTTTTCCAGATAACAGATTGTTCAACTTAGTGTTTTGAACAAATATGCATTCTGGGTGAAATTTGGTAAATTTGAATGGGAAAAAATGGTGATCATCATGGACTACATGATCATGATGATTGATTCTTTGTAAAAAATATTAATTACTCTGTACTCTTGTAAAAAATCTGTAAACTTGACAAGTCCAAACCTATGTCTCAAAATACTGAACATTTACACAACAGTATCTCAAGTTGGGTACAAAATGTTGGGAATTGTTTTACCAGAGCCTTGGCAGAAAGTATTTAGATATAGTATAAAACGATCTGATCGTGCATACACTAAGGTTAATGAAGCTTTGTCTTTACTCAAACATAGAAATTCAGAAGGAATGTGAGCACAGTCTGAAAGAAATGTGAACATTAGCGACTTGTAGTATAACCATGGAATTTTAAGATTATTGTCATTAATCAATATATCACATGACTAACCACGGATCCGGGTAGTCCTGTAGGTACCTAGGTCCTACTCAGGACCCACCCGACCTGAGTACTCGGGTTACCCGTCCCAGCCCTAAACTGTTTCAAAGTTTCAAAGACTTACTTCCCTTCCAACATGATCTTCCCGAGGCAAGGGAGTAAACTGACTTTTAAAGTGGAAACTTGACTTTTTAAATCAGTTAACTCCCTTGCCTCAGGAAGATGTCCAACATGGGCCTTTGTCAAAAGTTTATTTTCATTTCTGAATTTAGTTTCTGGGGCTTATAAAATGCTTGATATGTCGTGATCATTGTACATGTTCTTTGTAGCCAACATACCTGTGTGTTTGTTTGTCCCCAATGACCAGGTGCTGGAAGTGAGTGTGTATGTCCTCTTGTGACATCGCCATGGTGACATCTGTTGGCAGGAATACTTCACGCGGCTGACCTTCACCCCTGCGAGCTGACACAAACATCATGTTCAGAGCTCCACAGTGGTGTAGTTCCACATGATGCCATGTTTTTGCTGGGAGAAAAGAAAATGAATCTACCATTGACAAACTAGAGATAATTTATGGATAACAACTTCTTTATTTACTGTAAAGGCGATTGTAAACAAAGAAGTTGTTATCCATAAATTATCTCTACTATCTCAACTTCTAAGAAATGGCAAGATTGTTGCAAATATAAAGCGTCATGCATGCATATGTGTGTGTGTGTGTGTGGCTGCTTGTACTAGTCCATACTAATGCCAAATTTATAGTGCTAGCCCACTGATATACACCATGCCACATTTTAACATGAATACCCCACTCAGACACAGAATACTGACTCCAAGCCGACGAGTCCAGGCAGGGTAATAACAAGTACCATCTTTTAACGGTTTTTGGTATGACGTGACCAGGAATTTAACCCCAGACCTTCCACTTTCCAGCAGACGCTCTATCTACTAGACCATGAAGTTGGTCCAGAAATGAGCTTCACACATTGTACCCATCTAGGGAATTGGACCCGGCCTTCGACAAGCAAACACTTTAACCACTAGGCTTACCCACCATCTCCAACTCGGTAAGCACAATATTCCTTAAAATCAGTGTTTCATAAAATGATCTGTTATTTCAAGAAATCATTCGTGATTTTGGATTATCTTGCATGTTCACATTTTATGTTTTGACTGTCATAGTTTGACATGTACATTACTGGGTTTCTCAAGATGTGAAGTGGATGCATACTGATCAGAAATTTGTTGATTTCTTGGGTCAGTCAATAACTAGGACCCCTGGCAATCTGAAGCACTGTACACATGGCTTAGATCTCATGAAAACCTTTTACTCAGGGCATATTCAGTGTTTGAAACAAGCACCTGCCCAACATGGGTACAATGTGTGAAGCCCATTTCTGGTGTCCCCCGCCGTGATATTGCTGGAATATTGCTAAAAGCGGTGTAAAACCATACTCACTCACTCACTCAAATTTGTACGGTACTTATGGCCTGCAGTCTATTTGTGTGTCAATTTATTTGTCACAATAAGCTGCAGTTTTTTAATGAGGGCCTGTAGAGTTTAGTCAATGACTGCAGCTTTTAAAGTCTGTGCGTCCTGATGGCAGCCTGGCAATATTTTTCATTTCAAACACTGGGCACATTTCCAACCTTTAGTGTCTCAATTTGTTACCTTCACATAGATCCATGTACACTTGGAATGCGATATTCACTTGGCCCTCATTTCCAGGACATATCTGCAAAGCCTCCTCTAGCTGAAACACAACAGTAGCTGGTTATCAATGGTCTTGGCTGGGTCGGTTGGCAGACTGAGCAAATTTGATTCAAGACCCTCAAACTCCACTTTTTGTATATTTTAATATGTATATCAATGTTGTAATTAATAATTAGCCTAATTACAAAGAGACAACGTTTTTGTAAAACAAAAGGAACAGTTTGTTTGTTTTGTGTTTAACACACACTCAGCAATATTCCAGCTGTATGACGAGGAGTCTGGACAAGACAATCCAGTGATTGACATCATGTGCATCGATCAACACAATTAGAATCGATGACATGCATCAACCATGTCAGCGAGCATGACCACTTGATCCCGTTAGTCACCTCTTACGACTAGCATAGTCGCCTCTTACGGCAAGCATGGGTTGCTGAAGAGCTATATACTAGCCATAATCTTCACTGGTTGCAGAGTAAGGGCTAGAACTACTTTGGGTTCAAAGGATAATCCTCACTGGTCTGACATTGACCCCGTACACAACATGATAAGTACCCTGGGTCAGAGACTGACCAGTATGTGGGACTGCAGATGTATTAATGGTGATAGTTACACTGAATTCACAACTGGGTTCATTGCACATATATTTTGTTTTGTTACAGCTGACATTGCCAAAAAGCTATAGTTTTGAAATAAGTTAACAGGAAAACACAAAAACATAATTTTTTAACTGAATAATCACCTTTGATGAAATCATAGAAATTGCATATGCATTTTGACCTTTGAATACACTAGATCTTTTGCTTAGTTCAACAGATAATGGAATAATTATAAGTAAGAAATTGACGCTGTCAAATCCAGTGAACGCTTTCATATCATAGGGAATGTTATCCTAAGTTGTTATGCGTCTGTAGAAAAGTTCACATAAAGAAAATGTCAATGAAACTTTGAAGAAATGGATATTAATGCCACTAATCAAATCAAAATGTAACCATTCTTCTGAACCCAGACAACTTACAGAATTGAAACGTCATATATTCCTATACACAAATAGACATATGACCCTGAAGACATTGGCCTCCCGTCACAATACATTATGTGGTAACTGATTAAGAATAATGGTGTTCGGCTTGTTTCCACCTTGGAATCAGCTCAAATCATTTACGGCATATCTCATATATCCATTGCAGATTAGGATTAATGCAGGCTTTTGTGAATAAAAATAGCTGAAAGACTATAACCTTTGGATGTCGATAACCTTTCAATGTGTCCATTACGTTATGATAATAAGATAAATGTGGCCTAATAACACATAGCAAGCAGACGTCGAGCACCGGTTCAAGCACGCATGGTCATGCAATACCATGGAATTCCCAAGAAAGTATTAGCTTAACAACTAATTGTCTATATCTACATTCAACGTTTGTCATTTTTAAACAAAACAAGTAAAAATGTAGCAAAATATATTTTGAAAATACATTTTTCAATTTTATATTGTAATATGATTAGTAATATTTCAATATCACCTAAATGTTGAACGTATTGAATCATTAATATATATTTAACTGTAGATAGTTGTTAAGTATATATAGTTGAAATATTATCTAAATATAGCCAACCAATCACCAAGACGCGAATGCTTGTCAGTTCCTAAAATAAGCACATGACGTTTGTTGATACTTTCTAAAAATAGAACCTAAACAAGTTGCTGGGGTGTTGTGCAAGCTTTGCATATAAGCGAGCGAACAGTTTTGATTTTTGGTCATTTTCACGCCTCTTGGCGGACGCCAAGGTCCGAAAATACATTCCGCTAGAACAGAGATTGTTCAAAGGCACCGTACATTAAGTTTAAGGATGCTGTCATTTGCGGAAGGCAGTGTAGACTGGCCTAGAACTTCAAACGGGTTCGAGAGAAATGTGCCATTCAGCCATTTTAGAAGATCCGTGTCAATGCCTTCTGAAAGTTCGGCTGACCGTTCCGAGAATACTTCTCCTGTTGATGAAATCAGATTTGAGGACATCTTCTGCCAACCACCTGAGATGCCTCTCAGGAAACTTTCACTCAAAGAGAAGAAAGCAAACAGAAAACTGAGACTGGTGGAAAAACACGAAGAAGTTATGGAGTTTCAGAAAAGCGTTGTCAGTGAGAGTGAAACTAAAGATTCAAAGAAGGAGAAGAAAAAGAAGAAGAAGAAGAAATGGAGTAAAATGGAATTGTCTGACCTCGGATTCAACATGTCTCTTCTTCCAAGGCCTTCAAAAGCTTCTCATATCAATGATCAGGAAGTGCACAGCCTCCTTGAAGAAATTGATCAAGAGTACTTGGCTATGGAGGAGAAAATCACGCCGTTTGAACATTTACAGAAATACGAAGGAAAAAGGTTAGAAAATAAGTATTTGCGTGATGACAGAGACAGAAAAGTAAGAAAAGCTCACAAACAGGTGAAGGACAAGTACTGTAAGAATATTTTGAATAATGATGGAAGAAAGAAACTTTATGTCCATCACAGAGTGATGAAAACTATGGAATTGGATCCCTACAGAGCACATCTCCATTATCCAATGCCTCCAAGGAAAAGTGAACCTGAAAATTCTCGACAGTATACCGATACTAACAATAATAGGAGCAGGTCTGCCCCTGTGCAGAATCTTAGCCATGCTTTACATAATGACGCTGTGCCGGATGACCTGCCAACCGATTTGATATCTCTGCTCATTTCCCTACAACACCGAGAACTGTCTCCAGAAGATTATGAAACTCTTCTGCGATTGGACGAGTCGGTGGCACCTAAAACTGTGGCAGAAGATATCCTTGGGTCTTTCAAAACGGATATTGTTGGTGAAGAAAGTGCGGGTGAGATTTGTGCTGTGTGTATGGATCCTTATGAAATGGGACAGACCAGGAAATTTTTACCCTGTGATCATGTGTTCCATGACAATTGTATAGACATGTGGTTGAAGAACTCCTCTATGAATTGCCCCCTAGATGGTCTGCCTGTGGACAGCTGATGTTACGTGCAGTTTATATTATTAATCACATCACTGCTCCACTTCCGTCAACTTGTGTCAAGATTTCTTACTGTGTCATGAATTGGCAGTTCTTTTGACTGTCATTTTGTTATTAAATCATTTATATATGTATTGATTCTTGTATGTTTTTATGTTTTCCCTTGAGTTTTACATAGGGTCCTATTCCAGAAAGTGATCTCAGTCAATACTTCAACATAGATTTATTGTAGTTATAGTTTTGATATTGCTTTATGGGATAGCTTTCTGATCATGGATATGATGATTTGTTTGTTTAGTTGTTTAATGCTGCACTCAGCAATATTCAAGCGCTCTGTAAATAATCAAGTCTGGGTCAGACAATCCAGTGATTGATATCATGAGCATCGACCCACACAATTGGGATAAGATGACATGCATTGATCAGGTCAGTGAGCCTGACCATCTGCCTCTAGTTGCCTCTCACGACAAGCATAGTCACCTTTTGGACATGATGATGATGATGATGATGATGACTTTGCTTTGGTAAGCAGGCATGTTTTCACTTCATCAATTATCAATATGATCAAGTGTATCTTCATACTATTTTGAAAAATATGGACCCAAATGCAACCATAGCTTCATTTTGAGCTTGATTGGATTGCACAATTTTAATAATAGCAATCCAATAAAATCATTCTCATGAGAGAGAGAAATTCTGTGCTGAGTTCGAGATGGAGGGGAGGGAAATGAAATGAAGCTATGGTGGCGAATGGTTCCATGGTATTTATTATAATAGAATGAAGATATTAAATATTCTACACTTGATAATTAACATGACTATGGATGGTTTCATTTATGCTTCAAAAGGGAAGTTTAAGAAAATCATCTCTGATGAGATTCCGGTACAGCTTGGCCAACTTGCACAAAGCGATCTAAGACTATCTTAAGCCTATGTCAAAGTATGGGAGTTACGATCATATTAGCGCTAAGATCGCTTTGTGCAAGTGGGCCCAGAATAGGCGGCAAGTACACTGAGGTTATCAAAGACGGATTACAATGGGGTTCAGCGGTTTCAGCTTGACCTAGCTGGTTGTGCATCATTACACCCTAAACCTATGATTGTGGGTTCAAATCCCGGTTCGCCCCGATTATGTTTCTAGGTTTGTCAGCACCATACCTGTGCTCGTGGGTTTCACCGAAGTGGTAAACGTCTAAGACCTGCATCACTTCGGGCTTTCCTCCCACATTATGGTGACACGCCGTGATATAACTGGAATACTGTTAAAAGCGGCATAAAACCCAACTCACTCACTCACTCATTATACCCTAAACAGAGTGTGACCACCTCCATAGTCTAGTGGTAGAGTGTCCACCTGGAGAGCAGGAAGTCCGGGGTTTGATCCCCGGCCACATCATACCAAAAGATGGTACTTCTTGTTACCCTGTCTGGCGCATTAAGGTGCTAAAGTAAGGACTGCTCGGAGTCAGTATACTGTGTCTGAGTGGAGTATTCATGTCAACTGCGGTATGGTATCTCAGTGGGCTAGCACTATAAATCAACATCAGTCCTGACTAGCACAAGCAGCCACATCCGGGGTAGAATAAGTGTTCCGCAACCCATGCTTACCGTAAAAAAGGTGACTATGCTTGTCGTAAGAGGCGACTAACAGGATCGGGTGATCAGGCTCGCTGACATGGTTGATGCATGTCATCTTATCCCAATCATGGATCGTTCTCATGATGTCAATCACTGGATTATATGGTTCAGACTGGATTAGTTACAGACTGACATCATATAGCTGGAATATTGCTGAGTGCGGCGTTAAACAACAAACAAACATGCAGCCACACACACACACGCACACACATATATATGTGCAATAATCTTTGATGCGACATGAAACCCCATTTCACCTAACCTTACCTTAACAGAGTGAAAAGTTGATCATGGTATCAACCACGGGTTCATCTTGTCCAGACATTACGGACGGGGTCACCCAGAGTGAGTTTGCTTCAACGCCACTTTGAATAAAATTTAGTTGTATCACGGTGTGTCAGCATGTGAGATGAATACCTGAATTGAGGCAGGTCTCAGGATTCCAACCCATGATCAAAGGTGTCTGTGGCTTGCTGTAAAAGGCGACTATGCTTGTCGTAAGAGACGACTAACGGGATCGGGTGATCAGGCTTGCTGACTTGGTTGATGCATGTCATCGATCCCAATTGTGTGGATCGATGCTCATGATGTCAATCACTGGATTGTCTGGTCCAGACTCGATTATTTTTCAGACCTTTTCACCTTTTACGGCAAGCATGGGTTGCTGACGACCTATTCTACCCCGGAATCTTCACGGGTCCACTTAATTAGGGTAAACTGATATGCAGTGAAACATCGTTAACTTGAACACAATCAACTTAATATATCATGTAACAGGAGGTTTCTTCTGGGTAGAACCCTAGAGTCAATACTCTATTGGGGGAGGTGGCACAGTTGTCGAAGTCAATGTGCATCACTGTGCAGAACTGCGATCCTTGGGTTCAAATTCCGGTTCATCTTGATTATGTTTCCTGAATCGTCTGCACCATAGCTGTGCTCATTGGTTACATCTAAGTAGTACATGCATAGGACTTTCATAACTTTAGGGGGCGGTCAGGTAGCCTAGGGGTTAAAGCGTTCACTCGTCACGCCGAAGACCTGGGTTCGATTCCCGACATGGGTACAATGTGTGAAGCCCATTTCTTGTGTCCCCCGCCGTGATATCGCTGAAATATTGCTAAAAGCGGCGTAAAACCATACACACTCACTCACTCATAACTTTGGGCTTTCCTCCCTTACCACCTCCGTGGTCCAGTGGTAGAGCGTCTGCCCAGAGAGCGGAAGGTTGGGGTCAATCCCCAGGTCAATCCCCAGCCCCGTCACACCAAAAGACATTAAAAGATGGTACTCCCACCTGGCATTCCACATTAAGGGGCTAAATATAAAAGGGTCGGAGTCAGTATACTCTGTCTGAGTGGGGTATTAATGTGAAACTGCGGCATGGTATCTCAGTGGGATAGCACTATAAAATCGGCATTAAACTGGTCTAGTACAAGCAGACACACACAAACACACGCATGCACGTCGCCAAATAAGTGCAATAATAAATAGTTCAAATAAGAATGCTAAAAGAACCTCAGATGACTAGTTTTTTTATTACCACAGATGAAGTCACACACAAAAAGTTAGAGAAGTTTTTAACAGATATATGACCATCTTCCTGAGGCAAGAGAGTTAACTGACTATAAAGGACTAGTTTCAGTCACAAACCACACTAGAGTTACCTCCCTTGGTGATTTCATTGTAAAATACTATCTGTTGCAAAACATTTAAAAACATTTGACTTTAACAATCACTATATTGCTTTCATACTCATTTTCCAATAACAGTCATATCAAATTCACAAAATAGCAAATACAAAACCCTCCACTTGATCTTGATGTAGCTAGTGGACCAGCAAATAATGCATTTTTACATTGCTATATGTTCCGAAAAACATTATATCATACATAGAGGATTCATCACGAGTGTTTTTTAATATGGGAAATATCAACCGAGTCTTAGTTAATCGGTATTTGCCAAGCCTTTGGCGAGGCAAATACCGATTAACGGGACGAGGTTGATATTTCCCATATTAAAAAACACTCGTGATGAATTCTATTTATCATTTTCACATTTTTGCTTCCAAATTAGGGAATAATTGCATTAAACATTAACATCAGCAACTTGTCGAAATCTTACGTATAGATCGTGCTTAGTGATACATGTTTTCCATAGCCATGTAAACCAAAATAAACAATTCGCTGAGAAAAAAAGTTCCTCGGATTATTTTAAACAAAATACTTGAACAGACTTTTGTAGAATAATTGAAACTTTAATAACGGTAACAACAATGATTCTGTGTAATCTGATTATATCTCTGGTGTAACTTCACTTATAATATATAGTTTCAAATCAAACCGCTCGCTCTTCCGGTTATCTAATTTGCATATCTAATTTGCATACTTATGTCATTGGGGTATGACATACATGTTTTTATGTCATAAGCTTATGTCATGGATAAATGCTTAAGTTAAATGATAAACTGGATTATTTCCATAATTTCAATACATACAATATTAACTTTAATCAATTCTCTTGGAGGCCAACAGGCGCTTTCAGTCCATCCACTGGTTCAAACAGTGAGTGGGGAAGCCTCGTGGTTAAAGCATTTGCTCGTCATGCCAAAGGCCTGGGTTTGATTCCCTACATGGGTACAATGTGTGAAGCCCATTTCTGGTGTCCCTGGCCGTGATATTGCTGCAATATTGCTAAAAGCAGTGTAAAACCAAACTCACTCACTCAAACAGTGAATGAGTTGAATATTGCATCACATTGGCAATATTACCTCTCTATAGTGATGAGAACAAGTTCATTATTATTGAATTAAAGCAGTTAAATATCACAGTTGAAGAATAAAACCATCCAAAGCTGGTAAATAACAGAGACTGGCCTACAGTGTATATAAACCATGATGTAGTGTCAATATGTCAATGTAAAGCACACTAGTACCTTGGTCCTATTCAAGATTTCAGTAAGCACAATACACTGGGATCTATATTGGCAACTCATTTTGTCAAATCAGTTCCCTGTAAGGCTTACAAAAATAAAAGAATTGGTTCTCAGGCAATGTTTTTTAGAAAATATAGTGCGAGCGGTCTTCTTTTTTGTTTTGGTTGTTCAAACTATAGTATCCAACCAAATAAACAGTTGTGAACAATTGTGTACAATCAACCTTGGAAAGGGCCTCCCTACATAAATGTATTCCTTGATGTGAAGAGTACTGGAAAACAGTATTTGACCAGCGTACGTGTCTCCACGTACAAATCATGATTTTTAACACGCACAAACAAAACACAATATATAAACAAATCTTGATTAGCAACATTTGGGGATGATGTGACCGAGGGTGTCAGTTGTAACCAAGCATCACATCTGACTCACATCAGGGTCAGGCGTTCCAATGGAAGTACAGCTGATCCTTCATACACAGACTGACGCAGGGTGGCAATAGGCACCCTCCCATCACATGCTTCACTGGGATATTATGTGCGACAGTGGGGTGCAATGTCAGCCACAATTTTCTATTTTTCTGTTCACAGATTCTTCCTACCAGAAGCAAAAGACACAAGACACAACTAGAAAATAACATTTAAATCTAGGGCTGGGACGGGTAACTCGGGTACCCGGGTCCTGTGGGTATTGAGTAGGACTCGGGTACCCACAGGACTACCCGGACCCGTGGTTAGTCACGTGATATATTGTTTAATGACAAAAAAGTATCTAGAACTGTCTGGTTACACTACAAGTCACAAATGTTCGCATTCCTTCTGACTTTTTATATCGTTGAATAAATATATAACTTGAGTCAACTTCAGTGTATGCATGACCAGATTGTTTAATACACGTATCTAAATACGTTTTGCCAGTGCTAAGGTAACAAAATGCCCAATCGGACATTTTGTACTTATCTCTTGAGGCCTACAGTGGGTACCCGGGTTGGGTCGAGTAATAGGGTGGTGGGTACCCGGGTAGTGTGTGAGTGAGTGAGTTGGGTTTAACGCCGCTTTTAACAGTATTCCAGTTATATCGCGGCGTGTCAGCTTAATGTGGGAGGAAAGCCCGAAGTGATGCAGGTCTCTGATGTTTATCACTTCGGTGAAACCCACGAGCACGGGTATGGTGCTGACAAACCTTGAAACATAATCGGGGCGAACCGGGATTCGAACCCACAATCATAGGTATCTGGCGTGCCCAAGGGTAGTGAATTCAGACTCGTCCCAGCCCAATTTAAATCCTATTTTAATTTGCCTTGCTGCGCAACTTTGATAATCTTATTAAGATCAGATCTTAGTGCAGGCTACTGCTACCCATAGCTTTGGTGTACCGGTAGTGAGCGCTAAGATCTGATTTTAATGAGATGGCATCTTTGGAGGAATAGAAAAATAACTGGATGTCACAACAAAAATCAAAGTTAATATTTTAAGAATTTAAATGATAACTGATCAAATGCATCTGGTGTACTGAAGAGGCTGGAGCACATTGTGTAAAGAAGCAACATACTTTTTTTTATCACACTGCTGAAGAATAAAACTTTCATATTCGTTATAACTTTGCATAAAACCAAAAACGTGATAACAAACACATTATTTTAAAAATGACGTAAATATTTTGTTCCAAAAGCTGATATATCATCTGATCTTTTTCATTGTTAGTGTCTTTCCTTTATCAACAGATAAATAAAAGATTAGAAATTCAGAAACTATCCCATTTGTCACAAATACATCAAAATGGTACTTCTGTGTACTCAAGAAATATACATGTATGAAATAAAATCTTCAGTTTTGGCTTCTTGTTGAAGCAAGCTTCCCTGGTTGCTATGGTGATGTTCTGTTTGATTATGAAGGCAGGATGGCAACCAGCTCTTTAGCAAGACTCGCAATTTCTTCGTATTTCTTGGTCCTTGATTTCCAAGAATCTGGGATGCTGCTCAGTCCATTCTGCGTGAAACAAAAATTAAGAAAAATGCTAAACTGATTTCAGATAAAAAAAATTAAACTGTCTCAAACAGACCACGCCTCTTCTTGTGATACCAAGTGTACCTTCCATATCCCAATAAAGTCACTAGTCGTCTATCAAGTAAAGTAATGTAACTCTCTACCCAAAGAGAGAAATCTTGATCAAAGTTGTTCTTTTTATTATTGATCAAGCATATTGCATAATGAATTGTGCCAAGTTGAATGCCATGATTTTCAAAATTAGCATTGAGAAAAATGTCAATTTTGAAACCTACAAAGCGAAATTCCAGAAGAGTAAAAAAATTGAAATCATCAGGTAAAGAAGGCCACATTCACAACTATTCACCTGTGCTGCAAAACACGCTGCAATGAATCCTCCACGTGAAGCATTGCAGCCTCCTACTCTCATGGTGGCGTGGACAGCGCCGACGTAATCGGTACCCGTCAACACGCCGTGCAGGGCCGACTGGAGGGCCCCTGGCAAATCTGGAAACAGGGTCATGTCACATGATGCAATCTATCATTGAACATCGATGTACACTAGGTTCTTGCGTTTATTTAATGATTCAACTTTTCTAATGTGAGGTGAGTGGGTGCTGGTGTGTGCTGTGGTTAGTTACATTGTGTCACCTGAGTATAGGTCATACATGTCCTGCCAGTTTTATCCAGTGGTAACAAATACAATCTGATTTATTTTATTTTATTTATTTGAAACTTAATGAACCATGTATCAGAGCTGGACCACCTGATTCTTTAAGCTGACTTAAAACAACAAGTATAGGTTGCTGGGGACCTATTTCAAACCAGGAATCTCCTAGGTAGTGTTCTACCTCATAATCTAGAACCAGTGGTCATGTGCCCTGATAACTTAGAACCAGTGGTCATGTGTCCGGATAATCTAGAACCAGTGGTCATGTGTCCTGATAATCTAGAACCAGTGGTTATGTGCACTGATAATCTAGAACCAGTGGTCATGTGTCCTGATAATCTAGAACCGGTGGTCATGTGTCCTGATAATCTAGAACCAGTGGTTATGTGCACTGATAATCTAGAACCAGTGGTCATGTGCCCTGATAATCTAGAACCAGTGGTCATGTGTCCTGATAATCTAGAACCAGTGGTCATGTGTCCTGATAATCTAGAACCGGTGGTCATGTGTCCTGATAATCTAGAACCAGTGGTTATGTGCACTGATAATCTAGAACCAGTGGTCATGTGCCCTGATAATCTAGAACCAGTGGTCATGTGTCCTGATAATCTAGAACCAGTGGTCATGGTCCTGATAATCTAGAACCAATGGTCATGTGTCCTGATAATCTAGAACCGGTGGTCATGTGTCCTGATAATCTAGAATCAGTGGTTATGTGCACTGATAATCTAGAACCAGTGGTCATGTGTCCTGATGATCTAGAACAGTGGTCATATGCCCTGATAATCTAGAACCGGTGGTCATGTGTCCTGATAATCTAGAACCAGTGATGTGTCCTGATAATATAGAACCAGTGGTTATGTGCACTGATAATCTAGAACCAGTGGTCATGTGCCCTGATAACCTAGAACCAGTGGTCATTTTCCCTGATAAGCTAGAACCAATGGTCATGTGCCCTGATAATCTAGAACCAGTGGTTATGTGCCCTGATAATCAAGAACCAGTGGCAATATTCCCTGATAATCTAGAACCAGTGGTCATGGGCCCTGATAATCTAGAACCAGTGGCAATAGTCCATGATAATCTAGAACCAGTGGTCATGTGCCCTGATAATCTAGAACCAGTGGTCATGTGCCCTGATAATCTAGAGTGAATGAGTGAATATGGTTTTACGCCGCTTTTAGCAATATTCCAGCAATATCATGGCGGGGGACACCAGAAATGGGCTTCACACATTGTACCCATGTTGGGAATAGAACCGCGTGACGAGCGAACGGTTTAACCACTAGGCTACCCGACCGCCCCCTGATAATCTAGAACCAGTGGTGATATTCCTTGATAACATAGAACCAGTGGTAATGTGTCCAGATAATCTAGAACAGATGGTAATGTGTCCAGATAATCTAGAACCAGTGTTTATGACCCTGATAGACCCTAGAGCAAATTGTAAAACTCACGTCAGTCTTTCCTGAATTTCTCGGTGACAACTGTGTGGTGGGGCTTGTCTGTACAGGCCTTGACCTCTTTGAGGAAACTGATAACCGCCCGGTCCAGGTCCTGGGGGGCTTGTCTGTGGGGGTCCTCCAACTGGCTGATCACCTGGTCAACAACACTTGGACTCGGCCCATGGACAATGTAGTACTCAAGGATTCTAAAACCATATATCATATTTCATGAATAAATATATATAAAATAAATATTTCTATGTGGACAGTGAGTGAGTGAGTATGGTTTTATGCCACTTTTAGCAATATTCTAGCAATATCACGGTGGGGGACACCAGAAATAGGGGGAATCGAACCCGGATCTTCGACATGACAAGCGAACGCTTTAACCACTAGGCTACCTCACAACCCCCTATATGGACAGGGTAATGGGGGAGCAAAGTGGTCAAAGGGTTCACTGTTCATGATGAAAGCCTTGGTTTTAATCCCCATATTGGTACAATGTGGGAGTTGGATATTCCTCGGTTACCCCACCGCCCACAATGTGTGTCACCCACTTCTGGTGAACCAGAAGCAGAGGTAAATCATTTTCACTGAACAATCATTCTTGTCTGTTAGTACCCACAGCAGGGTTAGAAATTGGCACTAGTCCTGTAGTCCTTGCCAAACTGGCCAAAAATTAAGGTATCACAAGGACTAGTAGAAATTTGCCATTTTTAAGGGTTTTGCTATGTGTTATCATTATAAGGACTAGTTGACTACATATGTTAGTTTCTACCCCTGCACAGAGGTTACATGATTAATGTTCTGAAGGCTGTGCAGTGCCAAATGAGGACTAGGCCTTTTTGCCTATATGGGGGCCGTTTCCCCAACGGTGAGTGAGTTGGGTTTAACGCCGCTTTTAACAGTATTTCAGTTATATCACGGAGTGTCAGCTTACTGTCGGAGGAAAGCCTGAAGTGATGCAGGTCTCAGACATTTACCACTTTGGTGAACCCCACGAGTACGGGTATGGTGCGGACAAACCTAGAAACATAATCTTTGGGCAAACCAGGATTCGAACCCACAGTCATAGGTTTCTGGCATGCCTAAGGGACGCAACTCTGCATAGCTGCGCCTTAGACGACTGGGCCCCCTGTGCCCCCCAAAAATCTGGACCTGTTTCATCTCAAGATACTATTCCACCTTTGACAGAGATAATCACATATGTCATTCTATATATAAATATATATTTGACATGTTATGAGAATCAGTTTTTTATATCATGGAAAGATAAACATATCCTCAAAAGTGGAGTAGTATATATTAAAATATACAGTGAGTGAGCGAGTTAAAACATAGCATCACATTGGCAATATTTCAGCCATATCGTGACAATAATGTACACATATATCATTTACATACATAATTATATTTTGACTGAAAATAGGACAACTATAAACGAACAAGACTTCAAGTCACCTCGCAGCGGCAAGCCCGATTGACACAGCAGTGTCAAAGTTTTGGGTAACACGCAGAACGTTCTCAACTTTATCTAGCATCTCTGGCCGTCCTGCGTACAGCGCCACCACAGGCACCATCCGCAACACACAGTCAATTTGCTCATCAGTCTCCGAACCTGGGAGGCAGAAAAATAAATTTGGTGATTCCCCCGATAATTGCAATGAAGGGCTGTTTTTAGGATCAAACACAGCCTGAAAATCTTTCCATGTCCTTATCTAACTTAAAACATCTAAAGCCTAATTCAGCTTACACATACATATATTTTACGTGTCTATGTATCTTGCCTTACATATAAGCTGGAAATATTTCCAAAATATCCACATTCAACCTCTAATATTGAAATATGATCACATAATAAGATTTTCTGATTTAACAGCATGCTTATTTGTGATAATTTGCAAGAAATATATACTTGTAAATTTTACAATAAATTGTATATTTATAATACCTATCCTATTTATAAAATACTTATCCTTTCTCACACTATGCATTTCTTCCTTCTTCTTTTGATCCGATGTGGAAACATGCTTGAACAAACTTTCTAGCTTCTAGAAAACAATGCACCCGAACACATCCCAGCATCACCATGGTTACCACACAAACGAATGGGTCACACACTATAATCCCTTGCACAGTGACATGCATGATGGGAAACTACCGTTGTGGCCGCCATGGAAAGTGGAATGATGAGTCTCTTCGGAAAGCGACAAAGTGTTCGCGCAGCCTCAAGATAGATCCAAAGAGCTCGAACTGGACATAAAGAGATGTCCTCATGGTCAGCAGGGTTTAGGATCAACGCCAGAGACGGGATGGTGAACAAATGATCTGGTTGGCCTGGAAGCTGTTTTTTACGCGATAAATTCCATCGTAGTCCCAGAAAAAAACTTCCCATTCTGTAGTCTCTTGAACTGGACCAAGTTCGCAAGGGCCATGAGGAAAATGGTCTTGAAGGTGATCAACTCAAAAGGCTTGTCAGCAAGCGGTTCATATTCTGCAGAAGTCAAATGACAGAGGATGACGTTGAGATCCCAAGGAGGTGGCTGGAAAAGAGGTGACTGGTCCAACAACATGTAGGACCGAATGAGTACAGCGTTTGTGCAGTATAAACTTATCCACAATCAAATCGATTTTATCGAGTATTTGCATCTTGGAAATCATCTCGAGACCCGAAAACGTTAGCTTGAGGTGCTCGAATGAAAATTTCCAAGATGCAAATACTCGATAAAATCCCGGAAATAGACACACACAGAGTATTTATAGATATTGTCAACCTATTGTTATCGATATTGTAAACCTATTGCTTGCTTCAGGGAATGCAAATCATATTTTCACCCTTTGACATTTGGTCATGTGACCCAAATTAGCCAATCACAACACAGAACACACTTTCTATAGGTTAACAATGAAGAATAAAGGCAGGACCTGTGTTGATTCAGGGTCACATCACAGGATCTACAACTGGAGGAACAGGAACTGCCTGTGCGGGAGGGTGTGAAGAAGTCAAAGAATCCAAAGAAGTATCAATAGTCCGGAACAAGTCGTATGGGCAGAGGTCACCGCCTGCAGGAGTGATTTCAAGTTGAGCTTGGGCTTGATGGTCCGATGAGGTCAGGAGAGGCCGTGTGGATGGAAGGAGCATCACCAAAGAGGTTGGTACAGATGAGGTAGGAGGCAGCCAAACTGAACCCTGAGATGACGATTGGGAGCGACTCGGAGAGCGTTGATCCACATGAAGAGATGAACGAGGAGAGAGGGACGTCCAGGCTTTTCAAGGCAATGGTGATCCATATGTTGATTCCAGTGAGTAGTATTCCGAGTGGGAGCGGAAGTCAGGATAGGATGAATCATAAGGATAAACCATGCCAAGGAGGATACGATTCCATGTGTGAAGGGTAGTTCTCCCAACCACGGGGATGGTGTGTATAAACCACGCCAATGAGGATACGATTCCATGTGTGAAGGGTAGTTCTCCCAGCCACGGGGATGGTGTGTATAAGCCACGCCAAGGAGGATACGATTCCATGTGTGAAGGGTAGTTCTCCCAGCCACGGGGATGGTGTGTATAAACCACGCCAAGGAGGATACGATTCCATGTGTGAAGGGTAGTTCTCCCAACCACGGGGATGGTGTGTATAAACCAGGCCAAGGAGGATACGATTCCATGTGTGAAGGGTAGTTCTCCCAGCCACGGGGATGGTGTGTATAAACCAGGCCAAGGAGGATACGATTCCATGTGTGAAGGGTAGTTCTCCCAGCCACGGGGATGGTGTGTATAAACCACGCCAAGGAGGATACGATTCCATGTGTGAAGGGTAGTTCTCCCAGCCACGGGGATGGTGTGTATAAGCCACGCCAAGGAGGATACGATTCCATGTGTGAAGGGTAGTTCTCCCAGCCACGGGGATGGTGTGTATAAACCACGCCAAGGAGGATACGATTCCATGTGTGAAGGGTAGTTCTCCCAGCCACGGGGATGGTGTGTATAAGCCACGCCAAGGAGGATACGATTCCATGTGTGAAGGGTAGTTCTCCCAGCCACGGGGATGGTGTGTATAAACCATGCCAAGGAGGATACGATTCCATGTGTGAAGGGTAGTTCTCCCAGCCACGGGGATGGTGTGTATAGTCGCTGTATTGATAGGGATCCCAAGCGTGTACATCCAATATATCATGATAATCGCAGGAGTCAGAGCAATCTCGTTGATCTGTATAAATGGAGGACAGAGAGCGAAACCTACGAAGAAGTGTCAAAATCCTTACAAGTGAGTCAATCCTGAGAGAGTCAATCTCTGTTCTGTTGACTGTGAGAGCAACGACTGTGAGAGCGACTTTTCCAGGAACAGCAACTCTTGGATGAAGCACAAAACCGATCCTTGCTCCATCGATCTTCAATAGAGGGTGAACGTGTTATTTGAAGAGTGATCAACATCAACTTGAACAGAGCGTGAAGGAGCGGAAGAAGAGAGTCGACTAGTAGCTGACGGTCTAGGAGCGCTCAAGGGGTCGATTAACGTCTTGGTTTGGCCAAAGCGACTGTGAAAGGCACCATCCAAGTCAGCTTGCGGTTCAGATGTTGAGACAGGGACGCTACAGGGACGGACAGTTCTTGATCCTGGACAATAACGACCACGTCAGTCAGAAAGCTATCACACACCCCGTCAGCAGCTACTGAGAGAGCAGGCAAGACGGAATCCGAAGGCGGTTTGACAGCAACGGAGGAGGGGACAGCCAGCTTGGATGATTTGTTAGGTAGACAATGTCTTATGGTTCTTATAATTTTAAGTATATATGGTGGAAGCTGCAACTAACATAACACGATATTGAAATATATTCTTCCTGATAAAATCATAATTTCAGATACAATTTCTTTCCACCATTACATCAAAATTCTTTAAAGTGGTATCACTGGGTACATTTTAACTGAATCACCAGTAGATTGGGAGGAAACGTGTGCACAGCTGATTGCTATTTCCGGCTTTGTTTACGATAAAATACACACGGTAATTTTAATCTCTGCATATAAAACAATGCCTTTGAGAGCAGGAAATACATTTTAAATGGTAAAATCATCATGTCTAGTGATGTTTTATATCAAATTTCGTACTTTTATTGACCAAGTTTGTTATGCCTGTTTATTCACCTGAAGTCGTTGAAGTAATAAGATAACGATCATCAATTATTTGGACCCCGAAGGTAGCGTTGTTTGTTTTTTAAAATGTCCAGACAGAAAAATTTAAATGTCCGGTAAGCCATATTTTAAATTGGACATTTGAGATTCCCAATCAGACATGTCCGTTGCATATGACCGTTTCCGGACCCCTGGTAGACATAGGTAACCATATGGATGCTGGAATGTGTTTGGGTGAATTGTTGGTAGAAGCTGGAAACTCTGTTCAAGCACGTTTCCACATAGGATCAAAAGAAGAAGGAAGAAATGCATAGTGTGAGCAGACATTCTTTCTGTACTTTGCATCATATTGGACAATCATGACAATACCTGTCTCTTCCATTTTGCTCTCAAAGTTCTTCAAGAAGTGTTTGATACTGGCATGGCGCCATGGTCCTTTTAGTGGAAGGTCTGCAGAGGTCACTGTCAACATGATAAATACCATAACATAGAACTACTGAAGAACTACTGACATACAACAACATGCATGCAATGGCCATCATCAAAGCTTCATTGTAGCGGTGAAACAATACATCAGTTCACCAGTGCATCATGAGTTTTCATGCGAAGATACGATAAGCGATACATTTCTTTCTGTATTGATACAAGACAATACACTTGCTAAAACATATTTCTTACTACTCGTCTTATGACCGACCCCACAGCGTTTGTGTCAGTCAAACATTGCAATATGTGCAGTAATTAGTGTTTCAAGTTTGCTTATAAAAATAGCCGCTGCAGCTAGCTATTCCTTTTGAACCTGCTCTGAAATATTTAAAGTCCATGAAATATTTAAGAAGTGTCCATGTGATTTGACGTATATACGAGTATTTATAAGATATGTATCGAATCGTGTTCTATGTATCCTTTCAGCCCTACTTCATGGGGATGTACACAGTTCTCCATCACCCACAAATTCATGCCGTACCTAACAATATATACCCCACCCTCCCACCCCATATATATAAGCGGTAGCTATGAGATGTTATTTTCAACCAACAAATCAAGAAGGGTCTGCTTCCAGTGAGAGGGCAGCTTGTGGCTGCTCTGACCAATGAAAGCTCAGATTACACTGCATGAACGACAATGTTTCTTGTTTGATCGTGTGCAAAATGGACCATATCCTGGTGATCATTGGAGCTACACACGACTGCAATGGTAGGGTCTGTAAAACGTTCATGAGTAGATTAATTTCATGACTCATACTATTACTTGAGAGGATGACAGATGATTCGAAATAATTAGTCCGACGAAAGTATCACATGCTGCTGTGTCAGATAAAATCAGTTCTGACACTCCAATATGAGACCTCTTGGCGTTATGATCTAATGGCACCTCGGGAGAACTTTATAATCAGCCAATCAGTGTTGATGTTTTTAGATTCTCTGTACGAGTTAGCAAAGAATTCAGACCATCATATTTTATTTCAGTGTATAGAAAAAGGTACAAAAACAACTGATCCAAATGTAAATAAATACGGTAGTGCCGTTATATTGTTGTCGTTTCTGAGCACCATGGCAAGCCTACATCCAAAAAGGAGTACCTTCGAAGAAATATTTGTGTTTTTTAGTAAAACTACAATTTTCCGAATCGAGACAGTAAAGAATAATCATTTTAGAAAGATGACATTTGATTGGCTGAAGAAAACTATTTCAAGCTTGGGAGAGGGGGCAAAATAATTTGTGTTCAATCATGGAAAACTGTGCTTGACTCACGCTTCTTCTCCTTCGTCCCAGCGTAGGCGGCATTGACAGCACTCTCATAGTCAGACTTGGGACCAAATCTGTCATAGGTGGCCTTCTTCAGGTCTTCTACATCAACACCTGTCAAGTGAGATGGGGGCAGTGGCAAACAAATAGACAATATTTGGCCCTTGTCAAATAACACGAAATTGTCTCCTTTTAATGTCAAGACATGAGATAAACATGTAACTGGACTAGAAAGACAAGTGTTCTATTTACTGTGTATTTTCTAACCTTACGCTGAGAAACATGCATTCACACAGAACAAATGTAGTTTCAGCTCAAGTAAAATTTCACTTGAGTGAGAAAAATTTAATTGTTTCAGATATATTCTGTATTTTATCACTAATTTTGTCACATAAAACCAGAGGGACAGAAGCTCACCTTCAAAACTGATTCATTTACAAAATATTTTTTTCACCAAAATAACATTCTAGCCCCCTATTTCTAATTTTGAGAGCGCCCTGGGCGCTTATTACGTTGAATACGGTATTAATGGACGGACGACAGACAATGTGCAATGCCACAAGGTCACTATGACCTTCAGTACTAGAGAGTCAAAAACAATATTATACTGGTCTGGCCAAATCTGGCATTTCAGAACTGAGGAGTATGTGACAAATTTGAGTTTTTCATACATCAAATTCTACTTCACATGGAGGTCAGTCGAGTGTTTGAAATAATCTTAAAACCAACAAGACAGGCAGGCAGGTGACCCATAAGTGTTGCCTGCCCATCTTCAACGTTACCTGCCCGCATTCAGACATTATGAATATTGAAAAAACACAAAAAATAAGAGATAAATCACATCTTGATTCAATTGAAATAATGCAAACAATCCTGGAGAATCTACGAAGGAGTTATGATATAACTGAATTCATAAGTACGTAGTCTTTAAATTATCTGCCAGACAGTCGGGCAGGTGGAGGAAAATTTCATGCAGCCCGACAGAAAAGTTACCAGCCACGGGCAGCTGGGCAGGCAGTTATTTCAAACATTGGGTCAGTCTTTTGTTCAATTATAAACTCATCTTAAAGTTGCTAGTAATGCTGCTGATATATTCATAACGATTATTACACAGTTCTAAGGTAATCAAATGTCAAAATGTGTTGATCTCCCCAGTGTCTTGTCAGGAACATGGTTACTATTTGAGTTGAGTAGTTTTTTCTTTAAGCTGCTCGCATACTGGCAAACAAACCTTTGTTACTTCATCAGAATATTCCAAGCATGACCTATGAGTAATGACGATGTTCATATTTGTCACATTATGAAATCATGTGACATAAAATTGTCATATTGTCATATATATCAATTACCTTGGCTCTGCACCAATGATTTCAATATGACAAAGGACTGGTCACCATAGCAACTGTTGAGTCCAGTTTCCAGACAATAGAAAGGGTTGGCGGACGGTGTCCAGAATTCTATGTCATCTCTGTCCTTGATAAGGTCAGTCAGCTTCTCTTCATTGTATATCCAGTGCAGGGGCTGAACTGAAATATAGAACGTTGAGTCAGTGAGTAAGAAAGTAAGTTTATTGCTGAGTCAGCAATACAGAGTGACCTGTTTGCAGACAGTCTAGTCTAGCTGTTGTTTAACGCCGCACTCAGCAATATTCCACCTAAATGACGGTGGTCTGTAAATAATCGAGTCTGGACCAGACAATGAAGTTATTGACATCATGAACATCGATCCACGCCGTTGGTATATGATGACATGCATCAACCAAGTCAGCGAGCCTGACCACCCGATCCCGTTAGTAGCCTGTTGCGACAAGCATAGTCACCTGTTACGGCAAGCATGGGTTGCTGAAGACCTATTCTAACCTGGATCTTCATGGGTCAGTTTGCAGACAATGTCAGAAATTCATGTTGTTGTAGTTACTAGTGTTTTGGCTTTGTGGAGTTGTTTTTTCTGCTTGTTTGTTTAACGCCGCACTCAGCAATATTCCATCTATATGACGGGGGTCTGTAAATAATCGAGTCTGGATCAGTCAATACAGTGATTGGCATCATGAGCATTGATCTACGCAACTGGGATACAATGACATGCATCAACCAAGTCAGTGAGCGTGACCACCCAACATGGGTTGCTGAAGACCTATTCAAACCCGGATCTTCATGAGTTGATAGATGTATGGCTTCGAATCACGCCTTTATAACATTCTACCCAAGTCTGATGTTGATTTCACACCAGCCTTCACAAGCTGCGTTAGAGTGCAAATTAGAGAACATTGTAGCCATACATAGTTCTGGGCCTAGCTACAATTTCGCAGCAAAGGCAAAAGAGATCATGTTGTACATTAGATTAAAAGTTTAGCATGTTTAGGCTATTTGCTAGCAACCAGTTTGTAATGTCTTTATGTACACTGAATGTAGTGGTCTATGGGAGATAACTCCGGACGGCTAAATGTGTTCATGGTATGGTCTAGGGGAGATAACTCCGGACAGCTTATGTTATTAAATGTACTCTTCAGTTAGGGAGTAAGAAAGGAGGGAGTTCCAATATGTCTGCCTGCGTGTATGCCATGTGCTCTGTGTGAATTAAAACCCTTTTTCTAAATTTCCAGAATCCATTATACAACACAGTTATCAATGAGGAACAATTATTGCCAACCCATTTATAGTGTGCACATGATCGCATTTCATTTTACTTTTGCGCGTTTCATTTGAAGTGAGAAATATTTATCTGAAAATGATTTAACAAAACTCACATGGTAGGAAATAATTAAAAAAACTCCATATATGATATAAGCACCTTGCTCAAATACAACTTTAGAAAAGCTGTGCAGGTGGTGTCAAGTGACTTCCTTGCGTAAACAGGAATTTAACAAAACATTGAAAAACATTTACTTCTGTCATTGCTTTTTAGTAATTGTCTGTCATTTCTTCCCCAAAATACAATTCTGAAACCTGATTGAGTTATTTTAAAAAAAAATGCATAACTTGTGTACATCGCAAAAAAACATATTCATATACAAACTGGGCTAGTGTTATGGGTAATTATGTGCAGATCGATTGTTGGGAATATTGGTTCACATCAGGCTGCAGACAACAAATTGATGGAAAAAAACATTAATAATATATTTTGATTAAAATAACTGCGTGCAGAGATAATAAAAATGGTAATTTGTCTAACTAAGGCTGTGCGCATGATCACATCGACCATGCTGTTTAGTCAATGTGAAACTTCTATTTTCACTTACTATCGTTGTTTTTTTATTAGAAATGTACTCAAACCTTTTTCAAAGAAAATGTAATAATCAAATGTCCTCACAGTATTACACAAATCAACGTTATTGGTACATTCAACTTTATAGGCAGGGCCTACTACTACATGTAATATTTCAGAAATGACACAAAGATAATGGTATAACGGATTGCAAGGTAGTAGATATATAGGCCTAGCTAATTTTTATTGATTTGCAATAAGTCCATAACAAAGCAAAATGAAAAAATCAATTTCCCATCTTTTCACAAAAGTCACGAGAAACATTTTTTTTAAGAATACGTTATATTTTTTGACTGGCCTAAAAGGGCGGTGCAAGAGCTAAAATTGCCAAAAAATAAAGATCCAAACAGTGGAGATTTGACAGTCAATGCACGCGAGCAGAGACCACAATATAGATTTATTTTTTGGTCTCTGACGCGAGCCAGAGTCTTCTCTTTCGGAACGGACCGTGACCCTGGCGGTCACAGTCACTCCAGGTGATCGCGTGACGATCTGGGCTACCGTGTCCACTTCCCCGTTCAGGAAGTAGGACGTGCTCCAATGTCGGTATGCTATAATAATACTCACTGGCTGCATCAGCTACGAGTGCACCCACAACAGCTGCCTCCCGTCTCTCCGCCACTGTTGCCATGATCAGCTGATAGTCATGACGTCTCAAAGGTCCACCTGAATCTCCGCGCTGCTGCCTGCTCTATCGTGGTTATGCAAATCCTACCGTAGAATGTATGCAAAATATACAGTGTTATATCTTAAGTTGGAACTTCTAGCCCTAGGTCACAGGAATTCTCTGCTTATATATAGGGGGTTACTGACTAATGACGAGTTCCTGTGGCCCCAGTGTGGGGTAAAGCCTACTGTTATGTCTGAAAAGGGACCCAAGGTCTGTCACAAGCAGTACAGGGGAGGTAACTCTGTCGTGTAATGTGCAAGTCCCTACCGTAAAATCCCTAATATTTATAGTTATACCGTATTCGACGTAATAAGCGCCCACGGCGACATTTGCTAAGTTATTGGCTAGTGAACGATCCCAATTAGCACCCCTTCCGATTGATCAATGTACACAAGACTTATTTATCCGTGTATAATACGCACTCGTGTTATATTTCACCCTTAATTATGAGCAATTAAATTCTAGAAAAATATATCTGTTGTACATAAACATTTCAGGCTGTCAGCATAAACCACAAAATTTATCTTTCAACTCTGTTTTTTTCACCAAAATAACATTCTAATAAGAGCCCTGGGCGCTTATTACGTCGAATACGGTAATTAAAAAAGTGGAGTAAGATTGAACAGTTTTAATTGGCTAGCACTTTCAACTCGTATTGTGCCTGAGAGTTAGAACTTTACTGTGCCTTTTCTATATATAAATATATATATTTGTTGCCTCTCACAAGCATAGTCATCTTGAATGACAAGCATGGGTTGCTGAAAAACAATTCTATTCTGGTATTTGTACATGAGGTCATGACAACCCAGGTGTAAATGTATGTCATCATTGTGAAGCGAAATGGGGTTTAACGTCACGTCCAAGATTATTGCACTTATATAGTGACGTGCATGCACGTGTGTGTGTGCATGGCTGCTTGTACTAGTCCGGACTGATGCCAATTTATAGTGCAAGCACACTGAGATACCATGCCACAGTTTAACATGAATACCCCACTCAGACACAGTATACTGACTCCGAGCCCACCAGTCCTTGTTTTAGCCCCTTAATGCCGGGCGCCAGACAGGGTAACAACAAGTACCTTTTTAAGGTCTTTTGGTATAACACGGCTGAGGATCAAACCCCAGACTTCCGCTCTCCAGACGGATGCTCTACCACTAGACCACGGAGGCAGTCTGTCATCATAGTCATCCAGGTGTATATGTGTCGTCATAGTAATGCAGGTGTATATGTATGCTGTCATGGTAACCCAGGTGTATATGTGTCGTCATAGTAATGCAGGTGTATATGTATGCTGTCATGGTAACCAGGTGTATATGTGTAGTCATAGTAATGTAGGTGTATATGTATGCTGTCATGGTAACCCAGGTGTGTAGGTGTTGTCATAGTAATGCAGGTGTATATGTATGCTGTCATGGTAACCCAGGTGTATAGGTGTTGTCATAGTAATGGAGGTGTATATGTATGCTGTCATGGTAACCAGGTGTATATGAGTTGTCATAGTAATGCAGGTGTATATGTATGCTGTCATGGTAACCCAGGTGTATAGGTGTCGTCATAGTAATGCAGGTGTATATGTATGCTGCCATGGTAACCCAGGTGTATATGTGTCGTCATAGTAATGCAGGTGTATATGTATGCTGTCATGGTAACCAGGTGTATATGTGTCGTCATAGTAATGCAGGTGTATATGTATGCTGCCATGGTAACCCAGGTGTATATGTGTCGTCATAGTAATGCAGGTGTATATGTATGCTGTCATGGTAACCAGGTGTATATGTGTAGTCATAGTAATGCAGGTGTATATGTATGCTGTCATGGTAACCCAGGTGTATATGTGTTGTCATAGTAATGCAGGTGTATATGTATGCTGTCATGGTAACCCAGGTGTATAGGTGTTGTCATAGTAATGGAGGTGTATATGTATGCTGTCATGGTAACCAGGTGTATATGAGTTGTCATAGTAATGCAGGTGTATATGTATGCTGTCATGGTAACCCTGGTGTATAGGTGTTGTCATAGTAATGGAGGTGTATATGTATGCTGTCATGGTAACCAGGTGTATATGTGTTGTCATAGTAATGCAGGTGTATATGTATGCTGTCATGGTAACCCAGGTGTATAGGTGTCGTCATAGTAATGGAGGTGTATATGTCTGCTGTCATGGTAACCAGGTGTATAGGTGTTGTCATAGTAATGCAGGTGTATATGTATGCTGTCATGGTAACCAGGTGTATGTGTTGTCATAGTAATGCAGGTGTATATGTATGCTGTCATGGTAACCCAGGTGTATAGGTGTCATCATAGTAATGCAGGTGTATATGTATGCTGTCATGGTAACCCAGGTTACCCAAGTGTGACTGCTTCCCATGCTGTGATCAACATTAACTGCATGACACTCTCAAAGAGTTGATGAACAAACATGGCTGAGAATAGATAATACCAGTGCTATTCTTCATGTCCATGTGATGATAAAAGTGTTGTTGGTTGACGCGAAGGAAATAATGCATACACCATTTATCCACATTGACTGATTTATTTCCAAAAAGCATAGTGTGTAACAAATAACAAAATATATATAAATAAGCACGATACATATTGCATAAAGAATGTAGATATAAACACTGTCAGCTGTCCATCTGGAATATACTCTCACTTTCATAGAGCAACAGCTCATAAACTAAGGGAGCAAGCATTTGTTCATTCTTTGTGTTCTTTTGTTTTTTTGGGGGGATGGGTTGGTGGGTTGGGGAGAGAGTGACTCTCAGGTAAAAAAACCCAAGCACCTGTTCTACCGAGACAAAATTACATGTCTTTCATTGTTGCCAAAAATTGATATTGTGCCCTTTTCTTGCAGACAACTGTCCGATAAAAACCTGGGGTACAGCAAAAAATAATGACTGAGCACCTCATCTTATATCCCGGCCTTGAATGTAGACCACTGACCCTGTCATCCAGAAGAGCATTGCTGATATGGTTATGGTTCATGAGCGAGAGATATTCTGTGACTAGCCAGATTGAGACAATATGTTCAAGTTAATGACACAGAATGGGTCAAAGGTATTTGTCATAATATAATGAAAATATAACATCCTGGATCATCAAGAATAGGGTGTGGTTCTTTTGAGAACGTTGGCCCCATTTCACCTCACCACACCTACAAAATACAACTGAAAAATACTGGAAACATTACATTGCAAGGTCATCGTTTTACAGACTAAAAAATAGGAACAATGGGGCAATGGCAAGTCTGAAAAGCAAGTTTGTATGTTTTGTTGAGCAAGCCTATCAAAGAGATTAGCTAATCTAATGCTTTTTGAGCAAGCCTATCAAAGAGATTAGCTAATCTAATGCTTGTCGAGCAAGCCTATCAAAGAGATTAGCTAATCTAATGCTTGTTGAGCATGCCTATCAAAGAGATTAGCTAATCTAATGCTTGTTGAGCATGCCTATCAAAGAGATTAGCTAATCTAATGCTTGTTGAGCAAGCCTATTGGATAGATTAATCAATCTCTCAAATAAGCTTGCTCAACAAACATTCTATCTTCCCGAGGCAAGAGAGTTAACCGACTACAAAAGTCCAGTTTACACCCTTGCCGAACTAGGCTGGAATTCCTGCGCTTATCGTAGTGCCACCAGTAGCTATTACGAGTTATGTCCCTTCTATGCCTCTCCTATGGAACAATCAGATTCCAACTCTTGTTTCACTTGCATTTGCTTCAAACAAAATGGCGGCGCCCAGTCAAGATGATTTGATCGATAATCAAGACCTATATTGTGATAAAACGGGTCTTACCCTGCAAAGTGCTACAAATCACAGGAGCACCTTGATTAAAAACATGAAAAGATGTGGAAAAATATCCTGTTGACAACGAGTTGCCGGTGCACATGCTTTGTAAATCCTGTATTTACGAACCAGATTTCGATTTCCTTGCGCGATTTTGACTGGACTATGCATACACACGTTAGACAACAAAGAATGTAACTCCATAATTCCAGCCTAGTTCGGGTAGGGTGGAAACTGGACTCTTGTCGTCAGTTATTCTCTTGCCTCGGGAAGATGCAAACATTCATACATTTCAATCATTTGGTAATTCACGCTTATTGTCAAATTATTTTGATTGTTTGAAAAGCATTCCTTCTAAAAAGAAAATATTATCAACGCAATTGTAAGTATTTGCTTATTGCTTATATTGTTATATGTCACTGAGGATCCTTGTCTCTTTGTTACAAACAATGGCTGACTGAGCTGTCTTGCAAACACACATTTTTATACATTTTGTTCTGAAAAGGCTACGGGTTATATTGAAAACAACACACTTTGAATTACAGACCATGTGTATCTGGGACTAACCTTAGGACAGACAATCCTCAATTGCAAGTAGGTCGTAGATTAATCTTTGAGTATCTCATAGTGCTCTACTGGGATTTATCATTCAGTGTTCTGCCAAGAAACTGAACAAGTGGGGACTGGGACCCCTTCAGGATAAATTCATGGGGTCATTTTCAAAACTTATTTGGCCACACCCTGAGAGATCATACAGGTTATTGATACAGAATCACCGTCCACAATTAACATTACCGAAACACGGAATGTTTCACATGACTTCTTCCCCAGATGTAATGTACTGTAGCCGCAACGTCCGATGTCACATACTTAGCCTCAAAAGCTTGTCTGTCATCACTTCCGTATTGAGATTTGTCTGCCACCATGGTCACTGTCAGGTGACCAATGCGAAACTTTCTGTGTTTCGCAAACATAAGATGTGGTAAGCGATTTCTGCGATACCAGGGTCATTTGAACCAGAAACATCTTTGGCATTATCAGAACTATGACAACTTATTTTCAAAACTGTGTATGCTGAATTCTGATTGGATCATTTGTGACTTCGACCAATGAAAGTCACTGATAGCAACTCAGATGCATGGGAGACCGAAAATCAGGATGTTTACATTCAATAACTGAAGCAGGTGTCCAAGTGATGTAACATAATTTTAAGACAGTCAGTGACTCCATAATTATATAAAATAAACCCATCAACATGAATGCGCCCGATGTCCCACAGAGTGTAAATATTATGCACCAATTATTAAATTGTGGAGAGAAACCCACAAGGTAACTGCCTCGGCAGAACACTGGATATATAACATTAATATTTTCACCTGTAACCATGGTAACACAGTACACAGGCACCAGAACCCTAAAAGCATCCAATACATGTATACATCATTGTTTAATCCTCATACACAATTTTCGTTATTTTCAATATTTGGTGTTTCATTAGAAATTGTAAAAAATTATCGTCTTATTATGGCAAAGAGATTGGGTGATCAACAAATATTGATCAATGGCCTGACTGCGCTGTAGAACATGATTGGTCAACAGAACATCTGTGCTGTGCATTTCATTGGACAAGCTCTTCTCTTCCTACCAACAGGCAAGATGTCTGTGGTCCCATGGTAACTCCTGGACAGTATGTGTGGAGGGACGTATCACATAAGTTTGACAAGCTCATCAGCGAGGTTCTTGATTTCCTTGTAGTGATTTGTTCGAGACCTCCACGACTCAGGAATGCTGTCTAAACCATACTGAAAATATATAAATGACGTTTTTGGAATAATTGTCAATTTTATTAAAATGAAAATTAAGTCTGGACCAGGCAGACAAGTTTTGTTTGTTTGTTTGTAGTTTAAAGCAGCACTCAGCAATATTCCATCTGGTCTGACATGGTCTGTAAACAATGGAGTCTGGACCAGACATTCAGTGATTGACATCATGAGCATCAATCCACACAGTTTGGATATGATGACATGCATGAACCCAAGTCAGCGAGACTGACCACCCGATCAAGCAGTAATATGCATAAAGGAGTAATGCAGGATAAGTAAAAAATCTGGTATTGTGACCACCCAGTTCCCATCCCCATTAATCCAGGGCATTATATCTCTAAGGACTGACTTTGCTCCAGAATCCTCATGGGGTCCGTCTGGGAACAAAGTGAGTGAGTATGGTTTTACGCCACTTAGCAACATTCCCGCAATATCACGGTGGGGGACACCAGAAATAGGCTTCACACATTGTACCCATGTGGGGAATCGATTCCGGGCCTTCAGTGTCGAGAGCGAACGCTTTAACTGCTAGGCTACCCCACCGCCCCTCTGGGTACAGAACTGAGACGTGCATCACTTCAGGCTTTCCTCCCACATTAAGCTGACATGCTGTGATGTAACTGGAATACTGTTAAAAACAGCGATAAACCCAACTGACACACACACCATTCTGTTATGATAAACACCCTGGATCCATTTGTCCTATTAAATAATGGGAGTGAGAGAAACTGTGCAAAATTACTGATAAAAGATACGAAAGGAAATCTGAGTGAGTGATTGAGTTGGGTTCAACGATAGTTCTAACAGTATTCCAGTTATATCGAGGCGTGTCAGCTTAATGTGGGAGGAAAGCCTGAAGTGATGCACGTCTCAGACGTTTACCTCTTCAGTGAAACGGGTATGGTGCTGACAAACCTAGAAACATAATCATGGCGAACCGGAATTTGAACCAACAATCATAGGTTTCTGGCATGCCCAAGGGACACAACTCTGCACAGCGAATTGCAGCGCCTTGGACAACTGGGCCATCTGTGCCCCCCAAAAGGAAATGTAACCAAATATTAAAGTATGTACCTATTTATTAAAAATACTGCTCAACTTTCAATTTACATGTCCAAATTGTTTTTTAACCGCCGAGTTTGAAACTGATGAATACTTATGCCCCACGACTTTATATGTATTTCAACACTAACCTGAGCTGCCATACAGGCCCCAATGTAGCCTGATCGGGAGCAGTTACCTCCCCCTGCTCTGCTTGTGGTCCTCACTGGTCCAATAAAATCGGTGGCATTAATGATGGCATGGACGGCAGTCTGCCACGCACCGGGAACAGCTGTCAGGAAGTGAACAAAACACATGGCATGTCATTTATGTGTTGACAGATCTGGGCGAGATTATATGTAGTGTTGCAGTAAGTCGGTCAATAGATTCTATCAGTGAACACATGCCATACATGACAGCATGCCATGCTTCCAAACATTTACATATTGTCACAAACTTGACACAGTGAGTTGGGTTTAACGCCGCTTTTAACATTATTCCATTTATATCACGGCGTGTCAGCTTAATGTGGGAGGAAAGCCCGAAGTGGTGCAGGTCTCAGACATTTACCACTTCGGTGAAACCAACGAGCACGGGTATGGTGCTGACAAACCTAGAAACAATCGTGGTGAAGAGGGGTTCGAATCCACAATCATAGGTTTCTGCAACTCTGCATAGCGAATTGCAGCGCCTTAGACGACAGGGCCAACTGTGCCCCCCCACAAACTTGACACAACAGAACCAAACAATGACAATGTTTGAAATATACATAAAATGTTATAAAACGTAAAAATGTTCCTCTCTAAATGAGAATGACAGAGCCAGAACACCCCAATCCATCTTACGACAAGCATGGGTTGGTATAGAGCAATCCTAACCCAGATCTTCATGGGTGAGGCAGACCAGTAGTTACAAGCATGAGAACAATCCACACCGCTGGGATACAATGAAACATAATCAACCAGTTTAAACACTGGCACCATGAAGCATAATCAACCAGCTCAAACATTGGCACCAACTGACCCAGACTGTGGTTGATTCATACAGGGAGGGGCACTGAGGCCCTACTTTGCCCCGGAAACCCCATGGGGTCAGTCTGGGTACAAAACTGGTATTGTGGCCACCCAGTTGCCATCCCCAATAATCTAGGGGATTATATCTCTGAGGCCCTACTTTGCCCCGGAAACCCCATGGGGTCAGTCAGGGTACAGAACTGGTATTGGCAATCCTTGATTGTTTGAAGCTGCACTCATCAATATTAATGTACAGTGTCTAAGGCCTTTGCTACCTAATATGTCTAATGTCTTTACTGCCTAAATGTCCACTTCATACACTAACCTAATGCCTACATCCCTTACGGCCTACACCACCTGATGCCTACAATGCCTAGTGTCTTCACTGCCTAATGCACTCAATGCCAAAGGGCTACACAGCCTAATGTATAGAGCTTTGCCTAAAGGTTTAAACTCAACAGTATCACAATATATCGATTTAGTTATTCTGTATGTGTATAAAAACAAATGTCTCCTTTCTAAGACACAATTAAGCACCATAATGATAAATATGATGTAGGCTGGTCAATTAAATGTTTCCAAATGCAGTAGAAGGCCCAATGCAGTATAAGGACTAAAGCAGTACAAGGCCTAATGCACTACAATGCCCAATGGCATAATGCACTACAAGGCCTAATGCACAACAAGGCCTAATGCACAACAAGGGCTAATGCACAACAAGGCCTAATGCACAACAAGGCCAACAAGGCCTAATGCACAACAAGGCCTAATGCACAACAAGGGCTAATGCACAACAAGGCCTAATGCACAACAAGGGCTAATGCACTACAATGCCCAATCACTACAAGGCCTAATGCCACATGCCCTAATGCACTACAAGGCCTAATGCACAACAAGGCCTAATGCACTACAAGGCCCAATGCCTCATGGCCAATACCTACAATACATTATGCCTACAATGCCTTATCTCTAAAATACTGTTTGCCTAAAATGCCCAGTAAACAGCAATGTCTAATGCCTGATGTCTACAATGACAACTCCTACAATACCTCATGCCATCAATAACAGCTTAGTTCTTTGGAGTCTTCACACGTGAAAGGTCAGGTGCTCCAATGGTTATGTTGTATTCACAACAAGCAGCCAACTTACTACAAGCTCTGCCAAAAGCCTTGGCCACGTCATTGTGGGGCGTATCTTTCTTCTGTAAGACGGCTCGGAGTTTTCCTGCCTGGTCGTCCGATAGCTTGGATGCCGTCTGCTCCACAGCATCAGGGCTTTTCCCATGGACGATATAGTATTCCAGCAATCTGTGGGCATTCAGCAATCAGTATAAAAGCTTGGAACACAGACAGGATCGAACAGGATAAAAAATTCACATAACAGTAACATGGCTGTAATTAATCGTACAGAAGATTACCCATTTTAAAACAAAACATGTTCTGGTACCTTGCTGATGACAGAGCACAGGAAACAGCTACTGGGGTATTATGGGAGATTTTGACGAAATCCTCGACCTTCTGCAACATATCTGCTTTCCCAGCATAGAGAGCTACCACTGGAATAGATCTGATTACACAGTCCATCTGGTCGTCAGTGTCAGAACCTGAAATAATGTCCAGCACTTCTCATTATTAAATAGAGCCAGTATTTACATTGTCCAGTTGATGCTTAGTACAGGAATAATATGTGTGTGTCTGCGTCAAAAGAGATCTTCCTGTGTTTGTTTGTTGTTTAACGCCACATTCAGCAATTTTCCAGCTATATGACAGCGGTCTGTTATTAATCAAGTCTGGACAAGACAATCCAGTGATTGATATGAGAATCGATGGGATACAATGACATGCATCAACCAAGTCAGCAAGCCTGACCATCGATCCCGTTTGTCGCCTCTTACGACAAGCATTATAAGTCGCCTTTTACGGCAAGCATGGTTTGCTGAAGACCTACCCCAGATCTTCATGGTTCGGTTACTGGAGTGCCTTGAATTGAACAGAATTTCAATCATACCACACAGTGCCAGGTTAATGTGACACGAATGCCCAAAGTGTTTGTTTGTTTGTTGTTCAATGCTGCCACAAAGTGAAAAATGTCTTTTGAGTCCCAACAACATGGGTAGGCTGCTGACCATGGATCATAACCTGGGATTCAAACCCATGACCAGAGGATCCTGTACAATTTGGCCACCTTTGACTTCTTGGCCACTCATGACCACCTGACCTTCGATGGGTATCATCTTCTGGAAGGCAAGGGAGTCAACTGACCATAAAACTCCATTGTCCACCCTGGGTGAACTTGGATGGAACAAAGTTGGAGTAATGTTTGACTAACCTAATGAGTCTCTGAACATCGCGAAATGGAATTTCAAGATGTGCAACTATTTCATGTGACTTAAACAAACTTCGACTGGTATTTGTTGCAAAATGTAGTGAGTGAGTATGGTTAAGCTGGACACCATGATGGGCTTCACACATCAGCGTTAGAAATTGGTACCAGTCCCGTAGTCCTTGCCAAACTGTCCAATAGTAAAGGTATCATAATAACGAGTAGAAATTTGCCATTTTTAGGGGTTTTGCTATGTGTTATCATTTATAAGGACTAGTGGCCTAAAACTGTTCTATCCCTTCATATTGTACCCATGTGGGAATCGAACCCTGTTCATCCACGAGACGAGCAAACGCTTTAACCGCTAGGCTACCCCACTACCCCTTGTCAAATGCAAATGCTAATGACTTTCATAGTGTTTGTTGAATGTTACTGACCGGTGTTGGTTTTTCCCTCGCTGTATTTCTGGAGGAATTCCCGCACACAGCCATTCCTGTATGGCCCCTTCAGACGCTTGGCCCCAGTCTTTTCTGAAGCACAGAACTAATCACACTGAGAACATGAAATACATCTGCAAAATAGTGCAATTTGCGAGAGTGAGTGAGGTGGGTTTAAAGCCACTTGGAACACTATCCCAGTTATATTATGTGTGTCAGCTTCATACCGGAGCTCAGCAGGTTTAAAGGTTGGTAAAACCCAAGAGCATGGGTATGGTGCTGACAAACCTAGAAACATAATCGGAAGTCCGGGACTCGAATAGGTTTCTGGGCCCCGGACACACTTGACCTCTTTCAAATATAATTTTTTTTTAAATGAAAAGCCTGAAAGCTCTTCACCACTTTCTACCTTCACTTCTGAAAGCTGCTAAGAAAGATGGAAGCTTGAAAGCTCAACAGTGTTTCCAACTTCTTACTTCTCAAAGACTCACATTTAACAGTGACCCCAAACTGGCTTGTTAGTCTCCGCTTCTTTTTCACTGTAAATTTCACTATAGTATGATTTGGGGGTGAATTTTTAGATATCGCAAAGACGTATATGTACGTCTTTGGATATCGTCAAAGTGAATCAAGATGTTCAAAATACTGCCTGCTCCAGTTTTATAATATACATTTTATAAAGAGATATCTCAAAACATTTAATCAGATCTTGTTATTTTGAATTTCATTAAAGTTGTGACTGAAGTCAACATATGCTTATGGCTGAAATGTGGATAACTGGGTTATCTATCTCACAAATACTAAATATGAAGTGTGCCCTTTGAATTTATGTCTCTATTGAATGCTGCAATTCAAATCACAAAAGGTGATAAATACTGAGTTATTTGCCAGCTTAAAGACATGCATAAGTGTCGTCATCGTTTCATAATATACAATGTTATCATTTTCATAATTTTCAAAATAGATAGATATGAGATAGATATGAGAGAGAGAGAGAGAGAGTGAGAGTGAGCGAGAGAGAGAGAGAGAGAGAGAGAGAGAGAGAGAGAGAGTGAGAGAGAGAGAGAGAGAGGGAGAGAGAGAGAGAGAGAGAGAGAGAGAGAGAGAGGATCAACATGGAACAGAATATATTCCTTGCCTCTAAACTCACCCTTTTCTTGTACTGCTTTTTCATACACTGACCCGGGTCCGAAGACATCAAACAGAGTTTTCTTCATTGCTGCCAGATCGATCCCTGTTTTAAAATATAACACTTTTGGTTATGATGAAAAATACCCAAAACACAGGCCACGTGATTCATAAAGTAAAATTCAGACATATTGACAGAGTTTTCCTCTCCAGTCCGACCCGTGGAGATTCCGGGGTAGAACAGGTCTTCAGCAACCCATGCTTGCCGTAAAAGGTGACTCTGCTTGTCGTAAAAGGCGACAAACAGGATCGGGTGGTCAGGCTCGCTAACTTGGTTGATGCATGTCATCAATCCATATTGCGTGGATCGATGCTCATGATATTAATCACTGGATTGTCTGGTGCAGACACGATTTACAGACTGCCGTCATACAGCTGGAATATTGCTGAGGGCGGCGTTAAACAACCAACCAACCAACCAAAACACAGGCCACATGAATCATAAAGTAAAATTCAGACATATTGCAGAGTTTTCCTCTCCAGTCCCCCTGACACTGCATCATGTCCTCCACTTCAACCCTCACTTTGAAGCCGAAAAAAATTCAACATACAGCATATACACAAATACACGCCACAGTTTTGAATTCTGTGGGAAATTCCCTGTTCTGTGATATCATCCATTTTAGGCAAAGCAAAATTACTGAAAATGACCTCTGAAAATTAGGTACATCGAAAGTGTTGCCATTTTTTACGCATTACTAAATCACCATTCACGGCGTTATTTACAGCATGTTTTGAGATCTATATTTCGGATATTTACTGGGAGACATGAATTTCAAAAACAGCTTTTTAGTGATCATGGGTATCTCGAAGCTCCTTGAACGAAAGTACACATGATCATTGAATCCTGCTGTTTATTGTTTCAATTATGATGTAGATTTTGCATTTCTTTTATGCATTTTTTCACACAATTAATTTCACTATGATTGTTTATCAATGTTCAATATGATATATGTAGATATAGGCAACAAAATGCATGAATCTTTGATAATCTACTATTTACTTGAACATTGTTTATATAAGAAATTGATAAGTTTATAGTGTCGTATTCAATATTTGTAAACAATATATAAACCGTGACATGTACCCCGTTGGTTACACCTTATACGATATCCTGATAATTATATACCAAAGGAGCTTTCTTCGCATCTTTAATTGTATAATTGTGATATGAGATAAAGAGAAATAATCACATAATAATGAACAAAGACATGTCCAATATTGAATATAATTTTGTTTGTTTTGAAATATTCATTTTGGTACTTGATTACGTAAAATTGATGCCAAACAGGTGCGTGTCTTCTCCAATTAGATACACGGTAAACTATCTAATTGTTTATCTATTCACGACATTATTTACAAAAGCAGTCATTTTATGTTGTGTCAAAAACATCAAGATTTGCCATACCATGAACAAAAATTAGGGGAGATATATAGTAATCAAAATACCAAAATCGTCTCCGATGTTTTCAAAGAAATAAAACCAGCCATGACGTCAAACAAAATGGTGTCATTTCTTTATTAATTCATCACATTTGATGATAAAGCTAGTCCTCCATTAACAATGGTGCAACATTATTCAGCATTAGTCACAATCAGGAGAATGTTGGAATCTAAGGGCCATCCATTTCGCTTTTACTTCCTTTTTTTAAGACGTACAATTTCATAATTTCTTATGTTGTTTTTTTATATACCTAAACGTATACAGTTTCATTATCGATATTTTTGTCAGTATAATTTGGTTCCTTGTGAACAAAACACCATGAAAATATACTGTCCTTATCCGCTGCCACTTCTCACCAAGTGACCTGAGTTACTATAGGTCTTCAGCAACCCATGCTTGCTGTAAAAGGCGACTGTGCTTGTCCTAAAAACGACTAACAGGATCGGGTGGTCAGGCTCGCTGACTTGGTTGATGCATGTCATCAATCCCAATTGCGTGGATCGATGCTCATGAAATTAATCACTGGATTGTCTGGTCAAGACTCGATTATTTACAGACCGCTGTATTATAGCTGGAATATTGCTGAGTGAGGCGTTATACAACAAACAAACAGTGTGTTTAAGTCTACTGGCATTTATTTAAAGCGTTTATGACCCAGATTGTTGGAACCTTTGTCTAGGCACGTTTCCCCTTAGGATCGAAAGAAGAATGAGAAATGCATGGTGTGAGATAAGATACGTTTAAAAATTGATACTTATAAGTTTACTTTGTAGGTGATAAGAAAATACATTGTTTTCTTTACTACCTTTATTGGCCACAAGGGACCTCAGAATGACCAATTCTTGGTCACCATAGCAACTCTGTTCCCCAGTTTCAACCTCATAGAAAGGATTTGATGACGGCGTCAGAAACTCAATCTCTTCCTTTCCATTGATGATGCTTTTCAGAGTGTCATCATTGTATATCCAGTGCAGGGGCTCCGCTGTAACAGGCAGCAATAATAATAATAATAACAACACAATTATAATAACTAACAATATATCATCCTGGAATGCAATGACTTCCTAAACAAGGGATGACATCAGATAGATCCATGATAACGGAAAGGCTGTGTTACCATTGGTTACAAGAGTGCTGAGCAACATCAACTGAAACATTTTTTTCCGGTAAAATATAAACAAAATTTAACAATTCATAAATAAATTGTCGCCGTGCCAAATGTCATGATTTTCAAATTTGGGAATGAGAAATATATCCATGTGATTATTCGGTGGTCTGACTGGACCTGAAACCATCTCAATCATCAGATCCTTTGTTTTTCGCAAAATGACCAAGAGTAATAACCGCATTCACTGTATTAAGCGCCCTACTCAAATAGCTCTCCCTACCAAGACCGAAAAGTTACGTGACAATCCATAATTCTTGTGTGTGTATTACTAGAAAACTTCTACCCCTGAAGATCTGAGGTAGAATAGGTCTTCAGCAACTCAAGCTTGTCATAAAAGGCGACTAATAGGATCGGGTGGTCAGGCTCGCTGACTTGGTTGATGCACGTCATTGATCCCAAATTGCAGTAATCAATGCTCATGATGCCAATCACTGGAATATCTGGTCCAGAGTTGATTATTTTCCGACCGCAGTCATATTGCTGGAATATTGCTGAGTGCGGCGTAAAACAACAAACAAATAAACTTCGGTAAAAACCCACGAGCACGGGTATGGTGCTGAAAATCTAGAAACATAATCAGGGCGAACCGGGATTCGAACTCACGGGTGGCAACCCTGCACAACTCTGCCTTAGGTGACTATGCCACCCGTGTCCTCGCTTATAAAGACTGCATGCAGCTTAGTATATGGTGAATACGGTACTAGAGGAGATTATACATGCATATTCTTTTATCCCTCTTAAAACCACTCTGAACCACTTCAAATTGATTACTTTTTATTTTATGATAATTACGAAAATTAATATGCAAATATAAACCCTTAATATTTGCTCATCGGTTTTACATTCAAAACTTACACTTTGTGGTATCTGAAATGGGGTTTTAAGTCGCGTCCAAGATTATTGCACTTATATAGCGACGTGCATGTATGTGTGTGTGTTTGTGTGCTGCTTGTACTAGTCCGGACGGATGCCGATTTATAGTGCTAGCCCACTGAGATACCATGCCACAGTTTAACATGAATACCTTACTCAGACACAGTATACGCACTCTGAGCCGACCAGTCCTTGTTTTAGCCCCTTAATGCCGAGCGCCAGACAGGGTAACAACAAGTACCATCTTTTAACGTCTTTTGGTATGACCTGGCCGGGGATTGAACCCCGGACCTTCCGCTCTCCGGGCGGACGCTCTACCACTAGACCACGGAGGAGGTGGTAGATAAAAATATCCATACTATGTGGTGAAGGTATGATTTAAAGTCCTACATTATTTTCCAAACAGTGAGTTGATATTCCATTCAACTGAGGTGCATAAGGCATGAATTGCTATAAGATATGTTTGCAAGAAATTAAGGGGATATAACTCTAAATACTATTCTTCTGAGGTCACTGTGTAATGAAGACCAAGTCATTCATTAATAGCTGTAAGGAAATATCCTATTTTGGTGTAGCAGACACCCATGAGCTCCATACAGTGGTGGACCATGGACCTGTTTGGGCAGAGTTTGGTGTCTTTCTTTATTCTTAAAACAATGCTTTCCCATTATTCAAAATAATTCATATTGTGTACTGAGGTAAAAAATATATAATGAAAAGATTAATTACATCATTTCGTTACTAAAAACTGTTTTTGTAAAAAAAATTCAGGTGAGTGAATACGCCAACTACAACAGACAGATACAAGAGTTGCTCCTTCCCAGCGCGTGACACGTTCGTTACACTCTCGGTAACAGTATAGGGAGCTCCGCGAACGGGCTATAGCTGTGGGGAGCTTGCAATTAACAGTTAATTCTCAACACCAATCAAAGTCATTTATCCCGCAATGAATGTATATTTGTTATCTTTATGTACACTCAATGTAGTGGTCTAGGGGAGATAATTCCGGACAGCTTATGTTATAAAATGCACTCTTCAGTTAGGGAGTAAGAAAAGGGAGAGTTCCAATATGTCTGCCTGCATGTCACTCTCCTACCCAGAGTTCCATGCGGCCGGCAGCCAGCTAGCATAGTACCTCTGCCACAGGCCAGCGCCATGTGACGATTCGTCACATCTTTCACAGTCCATTCAAGATATTGTATATGCTTTTCATCCGTTTCATGTTTGACAAGTCTACACATTTTCATAAACAAATGTCAAAGAATGGTTAACTTTCATTTAGAAAGTATGCAAATACGTAAAGATCTACTTGTTTTTGCGTAGTTATCCTATGTTTACATTGGTTGTACGGCTCCACGTGCTGTCATCGAAGCCCAACGGAGAGCTAGCGACACGGTCACTTTGATGCATAAGTATATATTGTCATGCAACTCACTGTCGCAGTTGTAGTAGCATATCTATATAGTTATGCAAAACAATATGTAAAGCGCCCCCAAATACTTGCATTAGTCCGTTCTATACTGATTTCTGAAAAAGCGCGTTTGTTTACAAACAAGAGAAAAGTCCAGTCACGTGATATGCAAATTAGCCTGTGGCAGTGGTGTTATGCTGAGTCACCACTGCGACGGAGTGTGCCTGCATGTATGCCATCAAGCTCCTTCCCAGCGCGTGACACCTTCGTTACAGGAGGAGCTTGGTATGCCATGTGATCTGTGTGAATTAAAACCCTTGTTCTACATTTCCCGAATCCATTATACAACAATATTTTAATCATTTTTTGGGGGGAATGGAACCTATTTTCAATGATAGATCTAATAGTGGTCTTCTTTTTATTCATCAGAAGGCAACATTACACAATCGTCTAGGATCCCTAATAACATGTAGCCGAGAGCCGCGATGGGGTCCGACAGACTGCCTTACCCCATCGCGGCTCTCAGCTAAACAACACGTAATCCAACAAATCACATAGCCTATGCATATCTCAGTCAGTGTCCTCAACGGATAGCCGGCAGTCAACCTTCACGGCTTGATTGAAAGTCTGGGCATTGGATATCTATTATATGGTCTCTGGTTATCTCTTTACAAGCAGTTAATGGCTGAGTTAAAACATTGTTTACCGGCCGCATCTGCAACCAAGGCTCCAACTACAGCAGCACTACGCCTTGCTTCTATAGTCGACATCGCTGTGGGTCGTTCTTGTTCAGTCAACTCACAAGTTCAGAATGGTGCATAGTCATTCACGTGAGACGTGAGCGTTCTAAGGGAAGTAACTCGTATTTTCTAATGATGCGCGTCTCAGCGAACAGTCCGGGTTGTCTTACAGATGCATTCGGCATTCCGGATTTCTGAATTTCATTTATTTTTCGAGGTTTTGATTTCTTTTCGGTATTCTCTGTTGAGCTTATTTGAAATAGGCTGATGAAATCAGCCAAGATGCAATGGTATTTAGACTACTTATTAATTCTATGGCAGCTAAGGTGATTAAAGTATCGCCGCGGATCGAGATGTAATATTATCTGTGAAATACGGAAATTACAAACGCTTAATTCAAAGTATATATGCTGTGCAATAACGTGGGTCCAAATCATCTTGTTACTTAATAAAGTATGTAATACCCGGTTACAAAAGGGACACGTTCACATTAAAATATCCAAAAATAAATGATTTGATGTAATGACATCTCTGATACATATTACAAAACATATCAGTAAAACACTGCACACTTATTCATAATGAAAACATATTAATCAAACGTTACACATTTCATTAATAAGATTTAACATATGTCGTTACTCATTTATAAAATACAGGTTATGATGTAATGTTCCCAGTCTCAAATGTCATCGTATCCTTATTGAGTGGATCGATGCTCATGATGTCAATCACTGGATTGTCTGGTCCAGACTCGATTATTTACAGACCGCCGTCATAAACAAACAAACATTTATGTCCCACATTTTCATCTCGTCGCGTTTTGTAACGCGATTGAACAGCCTCTGTTGTACGCCAACTCTACCCAAAGCTATTCTAGGAACTTGTGGTGAAGTCAAGAATGTTACTCGTCGGCGTGATGGACATACATCAACCAAGTCAGCGAGCCTGACCACCCGATCCCGTTAGTCTTCTCTTATACGACAAGCATAGTCGCCTTTTACGGCAAGCATGGGTTTCTGAAGACCTATTCTACAAGGGATCTTCACGGCTTTACGAAGGAAACGGACACCCGCGTAGGTACAAATAAATAACATGTAATATAATCAACTATTGGTTGGCCCCGTTTGGGTGGTCAGACCAGATGTGAAGAGATCACAATGCGACAATGCCGTCTTGGCCATGCGTCATATACATCCATTATGTATCCCTTGTGATAAGAGAATCACGGTCAAACATGTCCTGCTTGATTTTCCCATCACAATGATCAATACCGCCTCCGTGGTCTAGTGGTAGAGCGTCCCGGGTTCGATTCCCGGCCGTGTCATACCAAAAGTCGGAAAAAATGGTATTTGTTGTTACCCTGTCTGGCGCTCGGTATAAAGGGGCTAAAACAAGGACTGGTCGGCTCGGAGTAAGTACACTGTGTCTGAGTGGGGTATTCATGTTAAACTGCGGCATAGTATCTCAGTGAGTTGGCACTATAAGACGGCATCAGTCTGGACTAGTACAAGGAGACACGGACACACACACACACACACACACACATGCACGTCGGTATATAAGTGCAATAATTTGGGACGCGACGTTAAACCCCATGTCACCACCTCACCTCACATTACGTTAGCTGTTGAAACATCACGTTCAGAAACGTTCTTGGTCATCTGGTGATATAACCCATCATCTGACGGTTGATCTGTTTGTATGATTTGTTCGTTTGCAATATCACTGTAAGCAATCAAGTGGTTCATATCATGAGCATCGTTTCACACAATTGGGAGGGGCGGTCGGGAAGCCTACTGGTTAAAGCGTTCGCTCGTCACGCCGAAGACCCGGGTTCGAATCCCGACATGGGTACAATGTGTGAAGCCCATTTCTGGTGTCCCCCGCCGTGATATTGCTGGAATATTGCTAAAAGCGGCGTAAAACCGTACTCACTCACTCACACAATTGGCATACGATGACATCAACACAGATTCATTTCTCGGCTCTTACAACAAGCATGGGTTGCCGGGAAGTTATATTCCCACCAGGAGTCTGATCGGTCCCCGGTGGATCTGAATACAAGCAGTAATATATTCACATGACCCGCCGGGGAATGATCTTAAACACTTTATTTATGATCGTACAGACGATTCAGCTTCACAGCATAATGAGCAACCCAATATTTGTTATAGTTCTGTGAACATTGAAAAACATTGTGCTGGGCCATGTGATGATTTTCACTTAAACAACATATACATGTATTGTGCAGGACCAAGTATACCCCAGGCACACTCATTGGGCACAGGGCGATCGGGTAGCTTCGTGGTTAAAACGTTCGCTCGTCACGCCGAAGACCCTGGGCCCCGTTCCACAAAGCAATCTTAGTGCTAAGTCTGTCGTAAGTCTATGTTAAAGTATGGGAGTTACGATCATCTTAGCGCTACAATCACTTTGTGGAACGGGGCCCAGCTGGCAAGCCATGAATTAGTGCACTCAGCTCGCCTGCTGCTTGGCCAAATTCACGCATCAGTGACGCATTTTTTTTATATTCACCGAAAGCAGCATATATTAAGTTATTTGCATTTCTTCAATTATGACCCATCACTGGGATGGTTGGTTGGTTGGATTGTTTGTTGTTTTACGCCGCATTTAGCAATATTCCAGCTATATGACGGCGGTCTGTAAATAATCGAGTCTGGACCAGACAATCCAGTGCTTGACATCATGAGCATCGATCCCGTTAGTCGCCTTTTACGACAAGCATAGCCATCACTGGGACGCCATTGAAACTGAATTGAAATCTTGTGCACTCAACTCCCAGTCAACATCTCGTGTTAATTGGGACTAAGGCCAGACCACTGCATGGTTCTGATGCCATTGGTCGAGTCAGTATACGTCCCTTTCCCAGACCAGGCCTCAGAGCTACGTTTATCGAGAGGTATGCCTGTTATACTCGCGCGTGTAGTTCAACTATACTGTATTTAAGCTTCCGCACGACAATACGAAATGCGCGGCTATCTATAGACAAATCCCAGTCAAATTATAACAATTTCATACATTTTTGTCTGAATAAATATTATGAACGCAGTATTCTTTTATATATAATATGTATATATACTTACTCGATCAAGCTCACTCAATTTTAACACATTTAAAGCCATTATTTTTTTTATCTGTACTGTTAATGAGGTGACGATTGAGATCATCTGTGGTTTGATTCAGTCTCTTTAGACATCGTGGTAATGTATCACACTACCCTAAACTAATAAATACATGCATGTTTGTAAAATCCGTTTGTCTAGGTACTAGAACGGACATATACATACATATTCATTATACACATTCTCGCAATCTCACAAATATAGCTGACAAACGATAGCCGAACTTTCTTTTCAGAACACAGGCCACTTTAATTTACTCTGATCCCTTATTTTTTGCTATCAAGTCATCAGAGAGGTAAACAGATATGTTTAAACTGGTTAGCTCACTTTTTTTATACAATATTTTCTTTTGACAATCGGATTTAAATAATTTCTATCAAAGGGGAATCTCGACTTAACATAAGCTTTACCACTATATCCTATATCGTCGAATTCACAGATAAAAAATATGGAAAAATACATGCTTTGGCATATTCGAATCCAGTGCCATTTATGCTGACTCACTTTAATCTAGTCAACGTTCTTCAGAATGTATTCTTTGTAGCCACCCTACACATAGGTTATGAAATAGAGCTTTGCGTATTTTCGTTATTTTATAAACAACTACAGACAACTACAGACTCTTCATATTGCCTTGTATATAGCGTGTGCGTAAATCATCGCCGCTACCCCTACAACTAGTTTAATACAATTATTTTTTGTATACTCAAGCCACTGACTGGTCACTCTACACATTACTATTATATAAAAGAAACATCCTTGTGTATTTTCCCCATCAATTAAACGAGAGGCGTACGTTGGTCTGGGAAAGTGACAACTACAGAGTCTTCATATTGCCTTTTTTAGATATGTAAAAATCCTCATGGCTACCCCTACAATGGGTATAATACAGTGCTTTTTTATTCGGTCCACTGAAACGTCACTCTTACACATTATTATGAAAAAAGAGCATTGCGTATGTTTCATATTATTTTATACGGGGCGCGAACATTGGTCTGGGAAAGGAACAACTGCACACTGTTCCTATTGCCTTGCATTGGCTGTGGGAAAATCATCGCCACAATACCCCCATAACTAGTATTATACAATTATTATTTGTACGGGGGACGGGCATTGGTCTGGGAAACTGGGACAACTTGTTGCACGAATGGCCTTGTATATACATAACAGGATTCTCTACTCCAGTATAACAATATCTACTCTACTGTATAAACATTGCTTCCGACTTGTATATACTTGTCAACCAGGCTCTGTATATCACTTTGATAACGGCTTTAGAACCTACACCGAAAAGTCGCTCTTAATTGTAATAAATAAGTTGTTCATCCATAAATTCTTATCCTTACTTAACATGTGATTCTCAATAAACCCTCAGTAAAGTCAAGGTACCCCGTACAGCATCCTGAGCGAAGAACCGAACACAGTGATCAAATAATTATATTGGTCTGGGAAAGGGACAACTACAGACTGTTCATGTTGCCTGGTGTGGGAACAATAACCCCACTACCCCACAACTATTATAATACAAATATGTTTTTTATATTTACGCCACTGACATGTCACACTGCACATTATCATATAAAGGAAACATCCTTGTGTAGCGTGTGTGTAAATAATCGTCGCTACCTCCACAACTGTTGTAATGTATATATATATATATATTTATATGTATGACCCCTACTGGTCACTCTACACATTATTAGTTAAAAGAAACATCCCTGTGTGTTTTACATTATCCATTTAGCGGGAGACGAACAGTGGTCGCGGAAAGGGACAAGTACAGACTTTTCATATTGCTTGTGTATAGAGTGTATGTAAATAATCGTCGCTACCTCCACAACTGTTGTAATATATTTATTATTCGCACTATGTATGACCCCTACTGGCCACACTACACAGTATTAGATAAAAGAAACATCCCTGTGTGTTTTCCATTATCCATTTAGCGGGAGACGAACAGTGGTCGCGGAAAGGG